ATATTATCTTCCTTTTACATACAGAATGTACATAACTATAATAAATAACCAATAAAAGATATATTGTGATTGAATTACAGTTATGCAATGAAATACACCCATACAACAGCTTTTGTCTTACTGTTGGGCACGATCGCAAGCCTTTGACTACTTTTCTTTATATTTTTATGATGGAATTCCAGAGTCCAAGCATTTGGCCGGTATATCGGTATTACAAAAACGTATTGAAATACGACATTTTTTGTCAAGATACCACAATATACCGGAATATCGGTATTATTGCCCAGCCCTATTATTAGGTCATTTTGAGAAGCTCAAAGAAATTTACTGTCACTTAAAAAATAGCTCATAATCAATTAGAAAATAGAATAAAGAAGAAGGTTTATTTAATTTGTTTATCAGTTTTTTATATACAACCACTGAACTGCATTCAGTAGGAAATATATTACAGCAGTGATATTTTACAGGTAATGAATTCATAATTTATTGATGAACTCAGTTTATAATTAAGTCACATTTACGTAAACGGCAGCTCAGAAAGCCACACAGAACTATTCCTTTGATCTCTGTTAAAATATTCAAAATGATGTTAAAGCGCAGTTGAATATGTTACGCAAAAATAATCGATCAGTTATACATCATGTACATTAAATATATTCATGCCTAAATCTTTCCCAACATTTCATATTGATGAAAAAAGGCTCCATTACCATTCATTTTTGCTTGCTTGGGGCGTCAAAATAATTCCAACAAGGTTCAAGTGAAAGTTTTTTGTTTGTTTGTTTGTTTGTTTGTTTGTTTTTTTTTTTTTTTGTTTTTTGTTTTTTTGGTTTCATAATTCACTTGTAAATATTGTTCTAGTTTACTTACTTTGAAATAAATGCATCTGCGTTGTTTGACCATAGATGCTATTCATAGAATCATCGCTTTATCGTCGTCGTTGTCGTCATCGCATCATTGTGCTATCGCTTTGAACATTGTTCTGTTATTTAAAATTTTACATAAGAGATATCTTAATTTTTGTGAAGGACAAGTTATCATGTCAAAGATTTTGTTTGTTTTTTTTACCTTTGTTTTCTAAATTTTAATTTTTTTCAACCAAAAATTTTCCTTAGGTCGAAAATCTTCGGACACAAATGTTGAATAATCTTATTATTAGTTCAACTGAGTTACTCAGATGTCCTACTGCTATCTGTTTTTGTCCGTCGTCAATTTTTCACATTTTCAACTTCTCAAAAACCACTTATTCAATTTCAAACTTGCAACAAAGTATCCTTTGGTGAAGGGGATTCAAGTTTGTTCAAATGAAGGGCATCGCCCCTTTCAAAGTGGAGAAAATCAAGAAAAGGCAAAAGTAAGAAGGTGACATTTAACAAATCTTTTAAAGAACCACTGGACCAGAAGAGTTGAAACTTATATGAAAGCTTCCTTACATAGTGTAAATCCCCCCCCCCCCCCAGGATAGGGTGGGGCCAAAGAAGAGGATCAAAGTTTACGTTGAAAATATAGGAAGAAATTCTTTAAAATCCTATCAAGAACAACAAAACCATGATTAGTCATATTGATATTGAAGCATCCATCCTCAGGTAGTGTACAGATGACCCCTGGAGTATAGGATGGGCCTACAATAGGCAATCAAAGTTTAACATAGGAATATTAAAAAAAATCAACAAGAGGCTCAAGGGACTAGAATCACTCTTCTGAAAAATTATACAACCCTATCAGTTCTGTTCTAAGCATCTTAGTATCCTATTTATTTAGATAAAACCTTAAAATTCCAAAAGTAAGTCACTGTGTCCTAACCTACTTTTTGGTTAGACACTCTGAGAATCCAAGATGCATCAACTGACAAAGTTTGATGATCGTGAGGCCCATTATTATCTTAATTATTTAGATATAGATATAGAAATGAAATTCCAAAAGTAGGACATATTGACCTACTTTTTGGATGACACAATACAAGGACTCAAGTATGTCAACTGATGAAGTTTGATGATTCTTAGCCTCCTGGAACCCTAAATATTTAGATACAATTATATAATTAAAAAAGTAGGCCACTGTGACCTACTTTTAAGCTGACAGTCCGTCGTCATGCATCAACTGACAAAATTTGATATGTTTTGATTGACATATTCTGAGAACCCGAGATGCATCTGACAAAGTTGATTCTAAGCCTGTTATTATTTGAAATTGGGAACATACTGTTTTTACTCTGTTTCTTACTATTATTATTATTTTTCTTCCTGGGTACTTTTTTTTGTCCGTGAGTGTTGTCGGAAACTGCTCATCCAATTGAGTTGAAACCTTTTTAGAGTTAATAGGCATGTTTTGTAGATTTGCGGAACGAAGGTCATTTTGTTAGCACGTGCATGCATGTGCGTGCGCTTCTAATGCGTAAAATGACCAAAATACTCGATATAGCCGTAACTTTTATATTTTTTGATGAAATGCTTTGACACTCAGAATATACAGATATATTAAAAGTGTAGACAAGATGACATGGTCACCATGCACATGCATGCACGTGCGCGCGTGTGCAATGTGTAAGATGACCAGTATACTTAATATAGTCGTAACTATTATACTTTTTGATGAAATGCTTTGATACTCAGTATATTAAAATATATTAATAGTGTAGACAAGATGACTTGGCCATCATGCACATGCATGCATGTTCGCGCGCCTGCAATGCTAAAATGACCAATATACTTAATATAGCCGTAATTTTTGATGAAATGTTTTTATACTCAATACATTAGAATATATTAATAGTGTAGACAAGATGACATGATCATCAATCGCATGCTTGCACGTAAACGCACATGCTGCGATGCACTTCTGAAATGACCAATATACTTGATATATATAGCAGTAACTTATATATTTTTAAATTGATGTTTTGAAACTACGAAAATAATGATGTATTGTGAGTATAGACGAGAGGACATGATCATGCACATGCATGCACTTGCGCACGCGTGAAATGCATTAAACGACCAATATATTTGATTGCCTTATTTAATGAAGCATACAGGGAATATTAAACACCAAAGGGAGTTGGGGAGTGTTTGGGGAACATCTGTAACGGTCCCCGTTACAATTTAAACTAGTTAAGAACTGTGCCAAACATATACGTTGTTCGTCACATGGCACAGCCAAATACTAGCATAAGGATTGTAAAAATTATCTGTTAAATTTGAAGGCATCGTAAAAACCTGTAAAAAGCATTTCTAAATACCTAAATGTAAAAGGATCTTTTTTAATCACAGTTTTGAGTAGGGTCGATTAACAAATGAATATATTGGAAAATTATATTATATACTGAGCACACTTTCTTAGAGAGATCAAATCCAAGTAATGTTAGTAATGATATTTCATATTTAACACTGAGCACACATAGTGCGGACGAGCCACATTATGATTCAAACTGTTCTGCGTAGAATAACATGATACACAATTTACTATTTGCAAAATACGCAATAAATCTGTTGATAAATAATTAGGATAGCTTAAGCCTCTGAATTATTTCCTAAAAAATTTACATAATTTTGATCCATCGTTTCCCGCTTGCAAGTGCACTTTGACAATTTTGATTTGTATTCTGGAGTTACTGACGCATGAGTCATTTTATTTTCAACAATCAACATAAAAAGTGTAAATACATGTATAGGGTTTTTCTCTACTCTGATAGTTTGGCAGTAAATAAGAATTATTATGGATATCTATTTTAAATTAATGACAGATATTTGGTATATACCATTGAGATTAGTTCACTATGAACTCACGTACTAAATTTTAGTTTTAAATTATTTTTGAAATATACATGCCCGTAGAAACGGGGGTGGATGGGGGGATGGCAACAATTTTGCAATGCGTTCAATGCTTTGTAGTTGGATGTGAAATTTATTTCACGAGTAAAACAGGATTTTTTTTTTTATATTTACACGAGTGAAAATAAAAAAAAAAATTCTGTCTCACGAGTGAAATAAATTCCATATCCAACTACAAAACATTGAATTTTCTGTCTATTACATTTTCTTCGATTTTCCCTTTCCATCTGTCTTTTCTTAGTTGAGCTGTTGAGACGTCATAGCTTATCAATTGATTGTCACATGGATGTAAGCAACATATTTGGGAAGAAAATGACAGTTTTAGTCTCGATCAAGACGATTTAGTTACTATCTCTCTCTTATGACAGGTCAGAAATTATTTTTTGCTTACTTTGATATCCCGTTTCAAACTGTGAGAGAATACCACTTCTATGATATCCTTTCACACTGCGATAGAATATCACTTTTATTCAATAAATAAATCACATTATTTCACCGTTAAAAATGTAATAAAATATTTTATAATACATTATTATACAGTTATGGCCTCTATGAACTGAAATTGCTTCCAACGGGCCTGTTATATATATATATATATATATATATATATATATATATATATATATATATATATATATATATATATATATATATATATATATATATATATATATATATTTACATTTCCAGTGTCTTTGTCCGAGATAAAATTTCAAATAGTAAAAATACTTTATTTCTACATAAATCTACTGGTTCATCGATAGGCGTGCTGAAAAAATAATCACGTGCGGGGCGGGACAAATAGAGACAGAAGCGGGGCTTGTAGCACGTGAATTTGCAGAATCAAGAGCATGTAAATATAAGGAATAACTGTCAGATTTTTTGGTTTCATGACGATGATCAATCGATTGGCTTGCGTGATAATTTTATGCATAAACGCCTTCGGCGTTTATGCAAATTATCACGCAATCCAATCGATTGATCACATCATGAAACCAAAAAATTAGACAGTTATTCCTTGTATATATATATATATATATATATATATATATATATATATATATATATATATATATATATATATATATATATATATATATTCCCCGGGCAATTTTGGTCGGGTTAGGAAAAAAATACACAAGCACGGAAGGCTTGAAGGCTTTGGTAGGCTAACACCGATGACGTCGTGTGGATAGCGTCATCATCAACCATGTGGCGACCAGTGTATGTTTTGTCCTTGTGTGTAGTTGCATTTATTTGTGTACTTCATTTAATTACAAGTGGTAAGTAGAGTCTACCATAATGAGATATTATTCTTTCAATGATATTGCTCTCATTCAGACTGGTATTCTGTCAGATTGTCTAATCTCGTAATATTCGCCATGATGGTAGCCTACTTTTTAAAACGTCAATGAAGGCCTACGGTCGTCTACCTGTAAATAGTAAAAACTACTGCTAGAAAATAAAAGACCAATTCTCTTGTCTTAAGTAATGAGTACATACAGTGTGTATTAAAACCGCAACATTATTTCTGGAAGGGTTATTTTTCTCTTTCGAATGCAGTCGTGGTCTCTCTGACCCATGGATTCAAAGTCAAAGCGACAAAGGTTGTAGGTTACAGATTCCACAAACATAGCATTGCTAGCTTATAGTCTTTTTCCTTTAAATATTATGGGGTTAGGTCCCTGGTATAATCAAGTACAATGACTTTTAATCTACGCATGAAAAGTTGGTTGTCAGAAAGGAAAGTTTCGCATTAAAAAAGAAAGAGTTCGGGGTGTATAAATCTACTTAGGTAAAATGGTGAAAACTGAAACTATATAAATAGATATATTCCGTGAATCAATTCATGTAAGCAATGGATATTTCTTTGATTTGAATCATTTGACTGATGTTTTGCTGTCCTCTCTTCGACTTGCTGTGAACTCTTGTTGAACATCGAAAAGTAAAACGACCCGGACACACATCTTGATATCATGTCCATCACTCCCTGACATTGGAGGCGACAAATTCTTTTAATGACACATTTTATTTATTTACTTGATTGATTTACATTAGTAGTTTGATCTAACCTCAAAGTTTTGGGTTAATACTTCAGGGAACTTGTGAAAATTTGATCTCGTGAAGTATGTGTACAATAGTTATAAAGTTTATAGGTTAAACAAATAAACAAGAAGAAAAGTAATATGAACCGACAGCCAAATCTATATTATAATGGACAACAAAATGATGTACACTTGAGTTAACACAGGTCTAACTCCGGATGACACAAGTACCTACAGGACGTAATTGGTGTGTGATTAGTCTCATGATTGGAGGTGTCACAGTCTGACATTAACAACTTCGTAAAAATTTCTACAAATGTTTCACATAAATATTTTAAGCTTAATTGTAGACTTAATATTGAAGAGGGGGGGGGGCGCAGCCAATTTTTACTTAATATATTTTAATTTATATTTCAATTTTGTTTTAGCTGATGCAATTTCATGTCATATTTGCAATTCCAACGCCAACAAAACATGCAATAAGAAGTTGTTTGCAAACTTCAGCAAAGTGTGTTCCTCCAACGCCATAGGCTGCAGAAAACTCCTGACGGAGGATGAACTCTATGGTAACTATAAAATCGATAAATTCATTGCAGGCCATAAAATCCAATTGCTTTGGTGAATAATTGGAGAACAATGATTGATCACCAATTTCCCAAATTAAAGTATGAAACGTATTTAATACATTTATGCCCCCCCCCCTCCCCCAGTTGTATGATACAGTCATGTGGTTTTGTCGTTTTTTTCTTTTTTCGTTCTTCTGCCCATTGTATTATTTTGTTGCCCTTGATTTATGGTGGCTTAAAATCATATTTCAAGTATCAAGGCAATGAAATATTGATATCGTGCCTGGGTCATAACTCTACAAGCCTTGCCCATGACCTGACTGTGTGTCATGACCTGGCCCCAGGATCATGAAACGGTCTTGGAACTTATTCAAAATGTTGTCATTAAAAAAATGTACGGGCAATTGAAAATTAACAAAAATTAACAATATAAATATAAAGGAATTTAAAAAAAAATATTTCAAAGTTATACATGTACGTTTTCTAGGACTCAGTCTAAGTACAAATTTCTGACTTACAATTTATTCATATATAATTTTCTTCATTAAAAGTGACTAAAAAAAGGCTATGTCTGCTGCCCAATCCCAGCAGGCATACACTAATTTAGCCCTCTCCCTTCTTACAACCGTACGTCTGAAACTGCTTCTTGATCCGTGAGCCAGAACTCAAAGACATATATGTCTAAAATTTTCAGGTTGCACATCAGATACAGAAATATTGTCTGGGCTATAGCTTTTGAAACACTTTGAATTATTTCAAATTCGACCCAATGTTTCCTATTACTTAAGTATCAGTGAGGTCAAGGTCATTGCTTTGATGTTAAAAATGATTTTGGAAAGGGAGAAGGGGAGACATCTGTTTTGGACGAAATAAAGAAAAAACAAAACTTTCGTTTTAGGTTTTCTAGTTGTGAGGAGTTGCTATAACAACACATATAAAAATCATACAGCTCTGTTTGGACAGTTCACCCGGGATTCCTGCACCGAGTCCTACAATTCCGTGGAATGTATCTGTGACACGGACAACTGTAATGACGCCACGTTCCCATGGCAACACCCAGGAATACTTTTGACATTGACAGCGGGCATTTTCTTGTCAAAGCTGGTATAGAAAGATTATGTAAAATGCATGATTGATATCTTTAGAAAAATTTCAAATATAGCTGGGTTAGTTGAAAACAGTGTTTTGTTTTTTGTGTCTTTGTTTTTTAATTTCTATTTCAGAAATATTGATAGTTTTATATACTAGTAAGTAGAATCTAGATAATTAGATATATAGCAGCTAAAACTTCTCAATTTGTCTGCAAACTTTTGACTATCAACAACAGTGCTTACTGGGGATTTGCTCGCTTAGGAGTTCTTGGTTTTGTCTAAGGATTGGATGTGAACAACTCAGTCCATAGTTTTCAAATCGACACTTATTGTCTGTTTTGTGGTTTCTTGTTTGGGTCTCATCACTATTTCATGTACCTCAAATGATTTTTACAACAAAATGGATTTTATTTGGAAGGGAAAGCAAATTCCAGAACAAGTGTCTAACAAGAAATCGTGTGAAAATATTATGCCGTAAATATGTTGGTAGATCTGCTTTTCTCTGCCCAAATTTTGAAGTGTAAAAGTTATTTCAAGCTGGCACATTTCTTTAAATTTTTAAAATATTACAAATATTTTCAAATATTATCACACTGTACAAAGCATGTTCAAAACAAGCAAATTATTGCAAATGAATTATAATGCTTAGTTTTGTAATGCATAGATTTTTATTTTTTTTTTGGGGGGGGGGTTCTTTTAAGACAGAAATATTAAAAAAGGGCAATTCAAGTCGCTTGATAACTGTATAGTTAGTCGATCAAACAAAAAACTTGTTTAAACGACATACATGTATCTCGTGCAAACGACATTTGAGGACGGAAATTCATAAGCACCACTCAGTGCTATCCTTTAGATATGTTAGACAGATCTATGTTACATGTAGATAAATGTACATCTTATTAGAGTACATATAAATTGTCTATTTCTGATATCAGCACTTACACTGGGGTTACCTTATAATGAATGGCACCTAATTTCATGTTTATATAAAAAAAAATGCTGCTGCTATCCTAACCTCCATCCCCACTCCACCCCCCACTTGTGAGAATTTAACATATTTTGTGAACCAAACTTTTTGCTTTGATGAATTTCTGATGTAAGACTTTTCTAACGCTACAGAAGCGGCAGTCTGACTAAATCCAGTCCCTACTATTTCACAACGAGGTGAAGACTGCCGGAAATAAAGGCAAACCTTCGGAAAAAGAATTACCCCCCCCCCCCCAAGCCAATACACACGCACATTCAATTTGTACTATATAGGAGTAGTGTCCCATGATATAAGAAATTGTTCAGAAGCACAGGTAACAACACTACAATACAACCTATCATCATATTACACATGCAGGTTGTTTTGGTGGTTAACAGTATATAGACCTGCAGACGCCCTATTAATCGGAAGTTCGCTGTATTTACGAGATTTGACCGCTATTTGACACCCCCGTGACATATATCATTCACTAAATACCCCCTCCCTCCCGTGCTTCGATCTCTATGACATTCCTAATTAGCAATGATCAATCACAATAAATCGCACAGAGTTAACAACAAATTATTTATGTAACTTGAAAAATGAAACAAACTGCGCCGAAAAATGCAATGGCAGTTTACATTCTTAACAATTATGAATGAGGATGTTTTATAACAACTAAACACTTACACAAATATGTGACAATTTGTCATCAAATACTATAAAACAAAGAAAGGTGGAGACCTCTCACAGTCATGGCGTCGTAATGTAATAAACGTTTTTTTTTCCGCGTGTGTCTTACTCACTCGCACTCCCACGCCCGCTCTAATATATTCCTCAATCTGTGTTTAACTCGCAGTGAACGAAAAATGGCCGGTGGAAACGCCCCAGCAGCATCTAAGGTGGCCTCTGTCTTCATCGGGCTCGGGTTTTTACTTTTTGTTGTGGGATTCGGTGCTCCTTATTGGGAGAAATTTGTACTGGGGGGAAATGGTGGTTTATGGCAACGCTGTGGAGCATTTTTGGGACTGGATGGCTGCAAATACTACACTGATCTGGATGATGTTGGGAAAGACACTTATCGTAAGTTCTTTAAATTTTGCTTATTTCAGGTGCTTATATTAAAAAAAAACATATAATTATAAAAGTTACTACATTTGAAACACATCCCAAAACAAGCATGTATGCAACAGCTGAATAGGATCGATAAAAAAAAAAAAATTGAACTTCATGCAGCATTGAGGCTGGACGGAAGGAAACATATTGATCAATTATACCGTCTTCTAGCAATTTCTGTGGACTTAAAAAGTAATGTTTTTCATTTTCTTTAAGTGTTCAAAATCAAACTACCTGCTTGAAAAATATCAGCACGATGATGCAGGATTAAGCATGCCATAGCTCCCAGAAATTAAACAAATGAAAGCAATGGCATCTAGCTAGTAATATTTCGTATGAGATATGGCCGCGATAAGGGCGTTGGCGTCTTAATAACATTTCACTGTCCGAGCATGACGTTTGATGTAAACAAAAACATTCACACCAAAAAATTGTGTGCTACACTACAGGCGGATTTTCACCGTATGTAAACTACAAGTATATCCCAGATAGCAAGCTTACGTTGGGCCAATGCAAGCCCAACGGTGAAAATTACGTTGGCCCTTTGTCAGTTTTATGCGTTGGGCCAACATCATCTTGCTCATCGGCCCAACATTCAAGCAACAAGTTGGCTCGACGTTGGGATACCATTCAACGGTTGGTTATCTGGCATTGGCCCAACGTTTAACTTCCTATTTGCCCAATGTTGGTTCAATGTTTTTTAAAGCTAAGAATGAATGTTGGACCAACGTTGGCCCTACGTTCTATAAACATGTTGGCAAATGATCGGCGATTGAATTATTTAAGTTCAACAATATGAATTCCTGTAACCTTTTTATTTCCATAATTACGAGTAAAACACAATTGATTGAATAAATCCTGCATGGTAAATTAGCTTGTTCCACAAACAAATGTTTTATTTTTTGTCACTTCTATGGAATGAAATCAACAGAGGGAAATAAAAGTAGTTCAATGTTTTCTCAAGTCTATCCCATATCACTTCAATCACTATAATATTCCTCTAGAATAAGGGTCCCAGTGTTCAAATTTGTGAAACTTTGGAATGTTCTCCTGCCACATATTACTTCTGAACCATTCACTCCTTTTTTCCTGTTCATGTTATTGTTTCTTTGTCTGTAAATTCCTTGTCTCTCACACTGATAATTGAGATAAATCGCTCACTGTCCATTAAATTCCAAACATCAATGGTCTTGTAACACAAAGGGTTTTCTCCCCACCAGATGCTATAAATGATATAAAAAATATATCAGTTTAATCCATTCAAAAATGATGTCACTTACTACTTATACGTTATAACTTAACCAGATCTAGTAAATATACATGTATCAGTGGCGTATATTCCTATCTGCTAATGTGTAGGCTAGTGAGAAGTCAGAGATTTAGCCCGAGTGCAAAATGTGGGTAGGCAAAGAGAAGGTCACCCCCTCTCGATATATAGGGATTTGGGGAAGGGGGGGGGGGGTCGGTGGGATCTTTTTTGCGAAGACATCTACGATTGTCATCTACAATTTGACAAGTAAAAATAATATTGTTAACATTTCAGTTTCAGTTTATATCATGATATGAAGACTACTTAACAAAATTGAGAACTTTTAACTTATTTTTACTCTACTTAGAAAATATGCAAACTTCCTTACTGAATAATCTAAATACAATCAATACATTTAATTTCCTACTAACCAAAACTATAGTTCCAGTAATTGTAGATGACACAGATACGATTGTCGTCTACAATTTGACAAGTGAAAATAATATTGTAAACATTTTTTTTTAGTTTATATCATGATATGAAGACTACTTAACAAAATTGAGAACTTTTAACTTATTTTTACTCTACTTAGAAAATATGGAAACTTCCTTACTGAATAATCTAAATACGATCAATACATTTAATTTCCAACTAACTAAAATATTTATTTCCAGTTATATTAATTTTATTTCCTGCACTTATCATGGCCTCCGGTTGCTGTCGGTGATTTTGAAATTCTCTGGTACAGACTTGATAAATTACTTGAGTTTCGGATTTAAAAAATCCCAACTAATAGGAAGTTTTGTCATTAAATATATAGTAAAACTGTCAACGTTGAATAGGTATAAAAGTACGGATTGCTGAGAATGCTATTTTGGCATTTGCAACAAAATAAAATTAATAGATAAGAATTATTATAATCTTTTCTTCCTTTTTCCAACCAATTTTTTTTTATCCATAAGAAAATGATGTGTAGGCTACAGCCTTTTTGCCTACATGTATATGGAATATACGCCACTGTTGCATATTTTGAAAATTGCAATTCTTGAATACTAGTAACATGTTAAATTTTACAAACTATGCTCAAATTAAAACATTTACAGAGATAAAATTCTATCAATCACACCTAAAACGACTATATTTACATTTCAAGGGCTAAAACAATCCATTTTCTCTTTCTTGCGATTCAAAACGGACACGTACATGTATATATATACTTTGTTCAAGTGTTGCAAGTGATAAGATGTGATCACTCCGAGTTTACGAAACAGAGCTGATTAGGATGACTGTTTCCTAGGAAACCGGCCAGTCACCTGCTAAGCCAGTGGATTTCACCACTGACCTAATTATTTGGAGCTCTAAAATTCAGCACTTCCATGATGCTAAATATAGAACCTACAAAATTATATACTGTGCAGAATAATTAAAACTTCTATATATATGTATTTGCAAGAGTCTCGGACACGAATTACAAACATAAATCAGTATTAATTAAATATCTTAATTATTTTCATAAATTAGGTTCTGGAATAATTTTTCGTTTTTTATTAACATATTAATAAATGGGCTATTAAGATAATCCCTCGTTCATAATATTTTAACGAAAGATGAGATGTCTCTATTGAAAGAAGCTTTAAAGTGGTTCTAAAAGATACAAATTTAATATGTGTAATTAACAGATCACCTACATGTATGTTAATGAAAGTTGTTTTCTTCCCAATATTCACTCCGTTGAACCAACGCTGGGCCAACGTTGAAAGCCATATCAATACCTCATTATAATCAAAATTAACTACACTGGGCCAACATTGGTCCAACATTACATGCCCAACACACATTTCATGTGTTTTATGTCAACATTACTTGGTTGGCCCTATGTTGGGCCAACATTACATCCCAACACACAGTGGCTTTGTTTTAAGCCATCATCTACTTGGTTGGACCTACTTTGGGCCAACATCAAATGCCCAACGTATAATGGTCATGTTTCATGCCAACATTTACTACAATGGACCAACATTGGCCCAACATCGCATACCCAACACCAATGGACCAGCTTTCATGCCAACATATCATCCGTTGGACCAATGTTGGACCAACATTTACCGCCCAACGCCAACACTATACCAACCTACCAACAATCAACCAATGTTGGCCCGATGTAGTCTTGCTATCTGGATATCTTGTGAATGTTAATATTAAGGGAGTCCGATCCTCGTTTTCTGCAAATCAGCAGTAAAGTAATTAAAAAATTCTCACAGAAATGTCTCTGAATTCACAAAGTAATGTGTATTTATCCGTGGTATTCAGAGGCGGATCCAGATACTTGAATAAGGGTTGGGGCACCACTTTGTGGTCAGGATGGGGGCCCAGGGGGCCTCAGGTTTAAGAATTTCTTTGAAACAGTTCTTTGCCTTGTTTTGGCTATATTTTAGGTATAATGAATGTCCCACATCAAAAAATTGATTGATTAATCTAATGTATATTTTGGTCACAAGGGGGGGGGGGGGGGGGCTAGGCCCCTGTCTATATCCGCCAGTGGTATTTCTTCAAAGTTCATTTTAATAGTTACAATGTAATCGTATTTCAATATTACAATTCACTTTATTGACAATTACCATGTCGGCATACAGTCACGATTAATAATAAAATAAAACAAATTAACACGATTAATACATGCATAATTATACATTACATAGGGAAATTCATCAAATCTCAAGTATATTTTCAGGGAACGCAAATAAAAGCACCAGCTATGCATTTTCTAATTGAAAATTGATCAACGAGTTTACGGTCATCTCACATAGGCGTCGGAACCGGGGGGGGGGGGGGGGGGGGCTAGGGGGGCTTAGCCCCCCCCACTTTTTTTCAAAGACAGACAAAATATAGGCATTGAAAAGTGGGGCTTACCCTTTTCCGTTGGTTTAGCCCCCCCCCCACCCACCCACCCACTTTCAATTAGCCACCCCACTTTCAATTTGCTTCCGACGCCTGTGTCTCATAATGCTTAAAAGCATTGGTATCTAAGGCTAGATTAACGGAAATTTGATTTCCCTAAAAATATATTTAGTTTTGTATTTTTTTGGGTACACTGAAATGTCAACTTTTTACTAGACCTTTCTAAGACTTTAAAGAGCCTTGAATCATGCTGAGTTGCTTGAAATGAAAATTGGTACTCGAAAAGATTTCAATTTCGAATGAAACTTCATTTTAAAACTCTTTTCATTTAAATGATAATTTGAATAGTTGTTGTTCCTGACTGAGGAGCCGATACCCTTAAGCTGAAATGTTCAATGATACTCTGGTAAGAGAATAACCCTCGCTGGAATAATTGACTATTATTGCTTTATAAAACGGTCTTAAAAGGCCATTTGTTCATAAGATAAAACGATAACGTACTTTGCTTTCATCTGAAACGTGCCAGGAATTAATTGTCTTATGTAAATAAGTACTAAATAAAACACAAGTACTTCTTTATATGGTTATTAGAAAGCTCAGCCACACATGTTACCAAGAAGTTCCCTATAGATTACCCACTGATTCAAAAAAACAGAATTAATCAATATTGAATGAAATTAGCCAAAGGCTCAAATGGATTATCACCAGGGATCAAAATATGTCGGTCATCTGTCTAACTGCTCAAACTACACTTTTTATTACAGATAAACATCATAGGGAACACCGAGGGATATATCCCAGGGTATTAATAGGGTTTGTGTGAACTTTTTGCACAATAAATGAACGACACTATATACTTGAACCTCCTTTAATATGTTCTTAGTGCAGCATTGATTTCTCAAGGAATTTTAATAAATCTTTAGTAAATATATCCACGTACATGTAATACTTATGAACAGGGTTTATGTAGGGAAGATCAAGGATTTTCACTTAACCATTAAGAATTCGGAGTTTCTTGCAAGCGAACCATTGTGTTAAATCCATGTACTGTTTGTTTCAGTCCCTGACTGGTTTGAGTCCGTGAGAGTGTTCGAAGCGATTGGTCTGGTTGCCGCCCTCGTCGGTCTTGTTTTCCTCGTTTTATATGTGTGTGTATCGAAGACTTCCGGAAATAAAATTGTGGCCCTCCTTACTGCCATAGTTACATTAGGAACAGGTAATTTAGTGTCAAAGCTTTCAGAATAATAAAGATTAATTTGTTTTGATATGATAAACGATGTTCTTGTGGATGGTAAAGTTATGCACCAGGTGACTATATTCCAAAACTTTCAACTCTGGTCTACGATCAATTGAACAGTAAAAGTTATTATTTAATAAAAAAAAAATTACAAGGTAAATGCAATTATTTTTTATAAATTCTTAAAGCAGGCACGTAGAACGAAAAGGGGGGGGGGCACACCACTTTTTTATGTCATATTATGTACCTTTCTTAAAAAAAAAATAAATTAAAAAAGAAAAAAAAAAAAAAACCTTTCACGCACACACAAACACCTTTTTTTTTTTTTTTTTTTTTTTTTTTTTTTTTTTTTAAAAAACGATGCTAAGTGCCTGCTATGAAATATACTCTTTTTGTTTTTTTTACATTGGGAGGATTTTTACATTTCAGGGGGTGTTATTCTTTTGGGTGTCATCATTTTCGGTTCCAACAAAGACACGGATTACTTAGACTGGGCCTTCGCACTCGCTGCTGTCGGTGGTTGTTTTTACGTCATTGCAGGAGTACTTCTCTTTGTTAGCATGTGTTCTAAATAATGTCATTATATATGTCATTTTTTAGAAATTTTACATAATTGCTTATATATTATTTACTTTTTTATAATAGTTACGTATATTATACATACATGCACATTTTACAGCAATAAAATTTTATTACATTAATATTGTGGATGTAAAAATATAACAACTACATAATAAAGTAATTAAAAATTGTATTTGAAAGTTGTATAATTCATTTGACATCATCTTTTATACTTCTTTAATACATCTAGATATAATTCCTCTCGAAATGAGGGTATAATTTTCGCCTTACCAATATGTAATTGACATATGACCCCTAAGCTTGGATTCATTATGTAACAGAGGATTCTGAAGCTAAAACAGGCCTCTCTTGAGGAACACAATTTTCAATTGTCCTTTGTCTCGTAAATCTCAACCTTTGATAAATGATCTTGAGTCAAGAGCAGAGCAGGATATATCTCGGAGAATACAAAATTTTGGTCATTCAAATCAAGTGTTTTGGTTCACAGTTATACTTCAAATCTTTATCACTTGGCACACACTTTACGAAGTTTTCAAAGTACATGTATAACGTTTTAGTTATACTGGTCAGAGACCAGAAAAGCTTATGCATTAGTAATATGTCCCTCGTCCGTCTCTGTACGTCTGTCGGTAAATAATTTTTCAAAACGCTATAACGTAAACGGGACGTAAAAATTACTCATATCAATCAGCGACTTAGTAAAACTTTCATAAAGGTTTAACTGCATACTGAAGAGTTCTAATCCATATGTTTTATGAATTTAAAGTGATCTGCCCTTTTATGTAAGTTGGAATAAATGGAAATCTTCAGTAAATGACACAATTTGAAATAAAATGAAAGTAATATTGACCAAAAAAAACCCTGAATACATTAATTGCATGTACGTAAACATGAGCGAATACTTCATTTTCTTTAAACATCTTTATATATTTTTTCTTGGTGAATGTTGTAGCTAGGTACTAGTACCCTTGTTGAAATTGAAGTATCTACACGTTTATATAAAAGATCTCAAAGTAAAAAAAAAACGTTTTCATTAGAATTTAGAGTTCCCTTAAATCCATTTCTATGTTAAAAGTAAAAAATAAAATAAAATAAAATGAAAAGAAACTGGAAGTTTTATGAGTGAATATGTTTATTATGTAGCGTGAAAAACGTTCATGTCAAAAACAGGCAAAACTGTTCTTTACCGTATTAATTAACTTTCTTTAAATTTGTTAAAAATACAGGTTTGAAATCAATTCTAAAAAATATTTAGATGCCATTTAATATCAATTTAGTGTGTTAACACGCACAAATCGACGCATTCCAGGATATCTTCATTTTCCTCTTCGGTTAGGTGAAGAATTTCGTTTTGTATAGATACATTTTGGCATATAAACAGTACAGATGCACTTGGAACCATGGCTACTGGGCGTTTTATTAGCTTATAGTCCAAGATTGAGTTTTCCTTTTTAGCAAAATATTTTCCGTGGATGACTGTTGACCCTGCAACAAACGATCCACCCCACTTGTCTGTTTTGGCTTTCCGTAGAGTTTTGCTCTTTGATGTGGCTTGTAAAAGATAAAAGTCATTGTCGTCATCCCCTGTTCACAGAACAGCAAACACTGTTCCTTCAGTAATAAAATCTGAGAGTGTTTCTGCCTCGGTATATTCTTCCTCAGAAATGTCAGGATCCTGATGTGTAGATTCGCTATTCGACTTCATTTTCATTTCTTTGGAAAGTCCAACTTGAGGTAAATTTTCACACTTTTCCCCTTCTAGACAACTGTCGCAGTAACACGACATATTACGTAATATGATTTTCCCGTCTTTAGATGTTTCTGCTCGATGTACGGCTCGAATTCCTTTAATTGGCTGAAAGTTCTCTTCAAACCTCGGGATTTCTTCAATATATCGAAAGATTCTTCTTTTGCAGGCATGAGATCACCGTGTCCTGAGATTAGCCTCTGCAAAATTAAATAAATCAAGCGCAGATCTTATTTGAGCTTTCCCGCGGATAACGGCCATATCAGCTTGGTTCTTAAGCAAACCTCCCGCTGCATCCTGTGGTCCTTTACCATGGCTACTTTCAAAATAATTTCGTATCATTTTCTGATATCCAAGCTCGTCAACGGAATGAACGAGATTTCCCAAACAGTTCCTGCTTTTATATTGGCTTTGACATCCGTCACAAAACTCATGCATTGTAGAGAGCGGGTAATTGATGGACTGCAAATATTCAGATATCAATTTCTGAACACATTTAACAAAATGATGGTCGTGCTTTTCGTCAGGAGAAATAAGAAAAAAATGTTCACAAATAATATAAGGGTCATCGGGGGTGCTCGATACACCGTCAACTTCTAAAATAGCATGTCTATAAATCAGTGAAATGTGAATGGAAACCTCAGTTCGTTGAAAATAGTTTGACTGGATTTCAATCTGCTCACTACATCGGTAGTTTTCCGAGAAATCATGAACTGTTAAACATTCGTTTTCCGGTAAGTTTTCGGCAAGATTTTTCAGCTGATCCGTTTGCCATTTGGCCCTGAATTTAAATGATGACCTGGGAAAAACCCCAACACCTTCTTAAAATACTTTATCATCTCACCGGACTTTGTTATTTTGTCTACCAATGTCAGTTTCTTCTTGGTGCCATTTTTTGTTTTGATGTCAACATACTCGAATTTTTTCCAGTTTACATCTGGCGAATCGTCAGACATATCTAATTCAGCGTCACAAAATTTCAGCAAATGAACACCGCATTTTTCACAGCTTCTTTCTAAACAGTCTTTCAAATGTAAATTTCCATCCTCCGTATGGCACATCGTATCTTCACATAATTCCGAAATTGTTTTGTAAACCTTGAATGTGTTTTCGTCCAGCAACCCATCGTTTGCCAACTGATTTCTACGTGCCTTGAAAGCGTTGAACAAAAACTTGCTCTCTAGATGATACCTGCAGCAGCATGTTGTTCTATCCTTTTTCCTTGCAGATCGGACAAAATATGGCTTACATTTTTCAAATGTTCTCTGTGAAATCTGAATTTCAGGATAATGTTGGTTAAAAGACATGAACAGTTCACTCTGTGTTTTTTCTAGAATTTGAATAGCATGGCTACAGTAAGTTTTTGGACCTATTCGGACACGCTTGACATCAGTTTTATTTCCAGTGTGCCGCGAATTTTCAGGTAGACACCAAAAATCATATACTGTTTTTTGAACTTCTTCAGTTAGTTTATCTGACCTTGTTTTCCTTTTTGTAAACTCAAAGGATGATTGTTCTGAATGCAAAACTCGTTGTCGGATTCGAACACCCTTTGAGATCCTTCTAACTGGCATTCCGAGTTTTCTCGCAAGGTCAACTTTGGCCCTAGATTTTTGAACTAATGGTTCTGATACAGATGCAGCTAGAATGTCGACGACTTCCCGCGACTTATCACTCCTCTTAAATTTCACCGAATTCAAGAAAGATTTCACATCCTGTATAACCGATTCATTCATTTCCAATTCTTTGCGTTCTTCCGGTGATGGTACAACCTTTCTACGCTGTAGTTCCTTAACCGTGGGTGATTTCTTTGAGGACAAGTACGCCTTTACAGTTGCAATACGTTTTAGAGGTGTCCTAGGAAGAGCTTCCTTTAACTTTCTTATTGCACGGGATTTGCTCATTTTATTTTGAAATATTTGTTGTTCCTCTTGTGTGAGCGGAAGATTGTGTTGCTTGAGTATTTTTTTCTTTTCTCGCCATCGTCTTTGTTTCTCTGTGTTTTTCTTGCGTTTTTCTTCCTTCTTTAATTTCTCTTGAATCTGTTTACTCTTAAGGACTGCCCTACTTTTCCGCTTTCTTTCTGTAGCTTGTTGTCTTTTTTCACGTTCTTCCTCTTTTTTCCGAGCAAGCCTCTCTCTCTGCTGCCTCTTCTTTACAGCAGCTATAGATTGAGACAACTCCTTTGCTGGTCTCAATAATTTTTGTTTTTGTTTCCATTTTCTCTTTTGTTCTCTGCGTATTTCCTCTCTCTTTTCTTTGATCGTTGAGCAATTTGACATACCTGTACCAATATATGATACAAATTTTATAATTTATATGTAAACTAATATATTAAGGAACGATAAAAATAGTTATCATACAATATATCTATACATATGTCATCCAATAAGGAATGAAATTTGAATTTATTATTGAATGTTTCATAGACAACATAATGGCTGGGGGTCCTCTTTTAGGTACATGTGAAACAATATCACTTAAGATTACCCCACCCCCCAACAAGGGGAAAAATAAGGAATACTTTTAGATCAATTTTGTTTAGAGCCAAGAAGATTAAATTTACCAAATATGTTTAGAAAAAAAATAAGGGTTTTTTAATTCTTTTTTTTTTAATTCTTTAAAAAAAAATGTAATCCTTAATTTTAATGTATAATATCTATGCTATCCAATCCAAAGAGCCGTAGGCACACCTGTCGCGGATTAAAATGGGGTCTCTGAGGAGACTTCACCCCGAAATATTTTAATGTAAAAGACTGAATAAAAGAGAGAGAGAAACTATTTTCTTCCCTTTACTAATGCATGTTTTTGAATGATAATAATATACTTTATTTCCAAAACATTTTTTGTTCTCGTCGAATTTTTCTGTCCTAAAAATTGTCTTAATTTGATACTTTTTACCCCCCTCCCTAAACTTTTTAAAGCCGATTCTGCATCTCTGTATATCGTACTGAATCGAACGGGACGGGAGCGTTGCTAGCAATTCAACATTGATAACACCATTTCTTTTTCTTAAAACACACTGAAGAATTAGTATATAGGCCTTAGTTTTGTCGACATGAAAAATTGCGCTGGTATGCATAATATATTGTTGTTTTAAATTGATTACCTTTTAATGAAAGCTATACATGTATTTCTTTGATTCGCTCCCTTCATATTGTCTATGACAACTGTATACAATAACCCCTTATAAACTGTTCATTTGCCACAATTCAGCAAAAACATACATTTATATCTAATGTAATCAAATTCATATTTGATTTAGATAGCAGAAATTTTCGGTATTTGAATTCAATTTGCCGACGGTAATTGGCAATATAAAAAAAAAATATGCATACCACGTATTGTTCCGATTTTTTAAAATTTAAAGTTTGTCCCATATCGTTATCTGTTTATAATCATACTGTATACGTAACATGTGCGTCATTCCAAGGGCGGATCCAGAGGAGTGGTCAGAACCCCCCACCCACCCACCACCACCACCTCCATCTTTTTGCAGACAAAACTACACTTGAGAAATGAACAAAAGCCTTCATAAAAATTAGTATGTACTGATGAATTGTAAGTCTTAAAACTTTCCCATGTCTCCCAAAGAGGAAAAGGAAATGTAAATGGGATGTAGACTGTAAAAACTGTCTAAGCAGTCAGGTTGTGAATTCCCTCTACCCCCCCTCCCCCTTTCATTTTGTGCATCCCCTCCATTTACAATTTTCTGGGTTTAACAATGAATGTGTTGATGTGTCTTAATTAAGGTGAATCTAAACCGTGAACATCTGCGCTTTTTTGTCGCGAGACGTCATAAGTGCAGATCACGTCAAAATCCTGTAGATAGACAAATTAGTAGAACAATTAAACTTCTTCATTAATTCATTGAATATCATTTCTGTTGCAAAACAAAGGAACAGGAAAGTCTAATATGGGTATAATTTTTAGAGAATAAAGAGTTTTTTTGAAAACTTATCAAGTGTTTGAAATAATTGTTTTCAAAGAGTACGAGTTCGGTACCATAGCATTTAAAATCACAGAAAAAACATTAGAAACACTGTCGAGGACATTTGAGTAGACAGAGATTCAGTTAGAATTTCGTATCATATTTTGAGACAAAAAACGTTTTGGAACCAATTAATAAAAAGCATAGTAGGAGATTATAGACCATGAGTAAAATAATAGGAATTGAAATATAAATAAGTCTTATAAACTTGGACTAAATAGGGCTAGTTTATATTATGAGACGCCATGAAACCGTGAAAGATTTCCTGTGACGGACAAGTAAAAACATGCGAAATTCCACATGAGCTATTTTTATGCATTGAAATTCATAAAATAATGTTTAAGCAGATCCTTGATACACTCCTTTCAGAATTAAATTGCATATTTTTTCTGAAATTTATACGACGGACTAAAAAAATCAAACAGTAAGGGTTATATGGAATCACAATGTTTAAAAAAAAACATAACGTGACATAGGGGTTTTATATGATATGAGTTTCAAATAAATGCTAAAACGTTTGAAAAGGATTTAAAAATGAACCTAAAATTTTTCAAGAACTCTTGTAAGCATTTGTTTTTGATAGATATTTGTGTAAATCAAATTTCCAGTACTTTAAAAATATACAACACATCTCCATAAACACCCTTACCTGATCAAACTTTGAATTTATCCCCTCTTTTTTTTCCGAAGTCTACCTTCTATCTTCATGCGTTAAAGGGCGTATTCACTCAGATCTAACGTTTTTTACGTCAAATTACTTATGATGTCATAAAGACGATGCTTTTTCCCGCCGACTGATATAAAAACTATCAATATTACAATTTTATAAATCGCTCATATATGTATTACAATTTTGAGTATATGCCTCAAACGTTACCAGTCTACATGTGTGTCTATGCATAAATATCAAAGGTATTAATATCTTAATGTAGATAAAATAAAAAATAATGACATATTTCCGAGTTTCAAAAGATTTTCTAATTTATTTTGAAGCAAAGTACTCAAGAGGTATTATTTATTTACACAATTATAGAGTAATGCATGCCGATATTCTCATTAGAAGGAAAATCAATTCAAAGCGTCACCAACACAGTGCGTAACGTCTATACATCTCCCACAGTTTTGGTTTGATTTAAGAAATTCTTTCAAAATGATACTCAGTTTTGGTTTGATTTGAATAAGACTTGGTACATATATAGACTATACAAGATACATAATTCTAAACATCGGTTTTGATTTTGACACGGGGTGCTTTCATAGTTTCTAGAAATAGAAATTTCGGTGTGTTTTTTTTTTTCAAAACCCATCTCTTCCTTCAATTTTGGTCCAATTTCAATACGACTTGGTACATAGGTAGAATTTACTAAGATACATGATTTCTGTATATCGGCTTTTAGATTTTTGACAAGAAATGTTGCCATGGTTACTAAAAATAGAAATTTCCGTGAATTTCTTTCAAAACACTTCTTCTCTTACAGGTTTTTTTTCGATTTCAGTAAGATTTGATACACAAAGTAAACTACACTAAGATACATAATTCTGTTTAACGATTTTTGATTATGACCAAATGGTTACCAAAATTATAAATTTCTATGTATTTCCTCCAATTTCAATAAAACTTGTTACACAAGTAGACTATAATTAGATAAATAATTCTATTTATTGGATTTTGATTTAAACAATTGATGTTGCAGAGCGTTAGTGTTAATAGAAATTTCTGTGAAATTCTTTCAAAACATTACTCCTAGCTCCTACAGTTTCTGTCAGATTTAAATAAGTACACTATTCTAAGATACACTTTTCTTTATTATCATTAAAGAAGTCCTCGAGAACAACAATTCATATTTATAGCGAAGCATCCTGAGCTAGTGTATATTCAAGTTTGTTCAATCCATAATCTATGGGGGTAGGATGAGACCAAAATTGGCGATCAAATTTTTACATAGGAATATATTTAAGATTTTTTTAAATCTTGTATTAAAAAATCAACAAAGCCATGATTAGTCTTATTTATATGAAGAATCCTCAGGTAGTGTAGATTCAAATTGTTCAAGTCATGGTCGCTTCGGTTAGAATGGGGCCACAATATGTTATCAAAGTTTTATATAGAAATATATTGAGGGGAAACATGCTGATGGAGAACAGAAGGGCCATAGTGACTCGGGTGAGCAATGTGGTCCATGAACCTCTTGTTTTCTTTTTGACAACAGTCTTCCCATTTCCTGATCAAACGCCACGGTCATTGACAGTCTTGAATCAAGGTTATATCCCACCTAAAGTTTAATCATTGTACATGTAACAACATAGTTTTTCGAGTTCGACGTATTATAATTTCAATACAGGTTCCAAAGTAAGGCCCCCAATATCATAGCTAATGACCTTCACCTATAAGATATACGAACGTCCTTCAGTCAAGATCATGACAAACCTTTACGATATGGGTAAAGATTTTTTTCAATTAGAGATCAAGGGTTACGGTCCAAACATGATTTCCTGATAGACAGACAAACAGTAGATAAGCATTAGGTACTACACGTACAATTATGCAACACAGCATGTCTCCCCTCGTTGGGGAGGACATAATGAAGCACAGGAATGCCTAAGTATTTTTCCCCATTTTCGATATTCATTAACAACATCACTCATTATATACCAAATAATTAGTGGCGGGCATTTTCATGCTCAATGTTTTGAATGATTTCGAATTAATTTGAAATAATCAACTCGAGAGATTTTTAACTAACATGACTTTGTGACGTCGTAATTAACTGCTTACGTGCACTTTACCCAAGCTCTCGAAGGTTGCTCACTCACTGCGTTAAAGAGAGCAAAAGTGAAATGGCTGGATTCGGAAACGCCCCATCAGCAACTAAAGTGGCCTCTGTGTTCATTGGCCTGGGGTTTATTCTTTTTGTGGTAGGTTTTGGGGCACCATACTGGGAAAAATTTATTCTTGGAGGATACGGGGGCTTATGGAAAATCTGCGGCCAAGTTCTAGGCATTGAGGGATGCGCATACTACACAGATCTAGAAGAAGTGGGGAAAAATACTTATCGTAAGTTCATTGTTACTCCTTTTCATTTCAGAATTTTTTTTAATAAACAAGGTAGTCGAAGCGGGATGCATTGTGTGCGTTCGCACCCCCTTTTGATGTTTCAAACAAAATAAACTCGTAGTTTATCTGTTCGAAGTTTTTTTTTTTAATTATTTATTAATTTAATTTATTTATTTATTCATTTATTTTTGATACGTAAAGAAATGACCTCAAGAATGCACTAAAACCCACTCAAAAAAAAAAAAAAAACAATTTATTAACAAATTCTGGCTCCGAGGAGGGGATGTCTTTTTCTGACCGTCTCCCGCACCCCCTTTCATCGGAAACCTAGCGCACGGCCCTGACAAAGCATAATATTTTTATAAGTTCAGTGAACATATAACAAATTTTATATATTTACAAAAAATTGGTCATATTTTCCAATGTGCAGCTTCATTTAGAAATACATTATTGATCTGTGTATTTGCGATGGAGTTTCTTCAAATATTGGAAATTGCTGGAAAGTGTACAACTTTGAAATTAAAACGAGAGGCAACATTTACAATTAAGATATGGCCTAGGTCCAAAATGAATCTAAACCACTGGAACCGAAAGAATTTACTCAACTTCTTATAAATGCAATCAGAAAATAAAATCTCAGAAGATATATATATATTAAAAAAACACACAACAATTATACTCGTCTATTCACTCCAGGACATGGCGGTTCACGATTTAATGAATTCGTAATGTTATAATCATGTTAATCCAACAAACACATAACCTCTTCAGTGAAAAATATGCCCCGTCAGCGTCGCTGCCCTATAAGCTTCTCTGTAGCAGATGTATCTGGTGTCGCCATAGGTATCAGTGATAAAAACAAAACACACATGTACGAAATATGCATTCCAAGAGTAACAATTATGTACAACAATGTCGAACACAATTAACAAAGAGGAGAATCGTTCTAGCTTCTTTGATGCATAGCAAGTTTTACACACGAAAAAAAAAGAAATGTTTAATAAGTAAAACATTGGAGCTGTTTCAAAACCTCTCCCAAGCAATCTAAAGTCCAAAAGAACAACCAAACAGTCCACACAGTAGATTTTTTAATACATGTATTTTGCCAATGGTGTTTACTTAAATGAAGTATCTCCAAATATCACCAATTGTGCCAAATTAATTTTACTAAGGTCCAACCTAATTCACATGGCTTGAAGCTGCTTTTTTTTTTTTTTTTTTTTTGGACAAAGTATAAGAGATGTTTGGTGAAGGGGAGCATCCTTGTTATAGTTTTAACACTTTGGAAAATGATAATGAACTTGTCCACTGTTTAATTTTAGTTCCTGACTGGTTCGAATCCGTGAGAGTGTTCGAATCGATTGGTTTGGTTGCTGCCGTTGTCGGCGTTGTTTTCCTCGTCCTGTACACGTGTATATCAAAGACTGCTGGAAATAAAATAGTGGCCCTTCTCACTGCAATAATTACTTTAGGAGCAGGTAACTTCTAGTGTCAAAGCTGTAGGATTTTTGTTTTATTTTAAGTAGTTTCAGACTGACAGAATATACACCATTATATTAATTCCTTTCAGCTGAAAATTATGCACTTTTTGAATGCAGGGTCTTCAGAGAAAATATGGTGAAAGTATAATCATAATGTAGTATCACAAAAAAATGTTTATATTCCTCATGGATTCATTCCTAATTTTACAGGAGCGGTGATCCTGCTGGGTGTCATCATTTTCGGTTCAAAGAAAGACATGGACTACTTGGACTGGGCTTTCGGGCTTGCCGCTGTCGGTGGTTGCTTTTACGTCATTTCCGGTGTACTTCTTTTTGTGAGCATGTGTTCTTAGAATCTGAATCTTAAAAATGGCTTAATTGATCGTTTTTATACTTTTTAACGCTTGGAAGTGGTTGAACAGTTTATGCTTGTTTATAGCAACACTCCTTATCACTGTATTTTATTAAAATGAAATTACATCATGATGCTTGTTAGTTGTGTTGAGAAATACAGTGTCTTTAAAACACTAAAGTTTAACATTGTTAAAGATAAAATGACTTAAGAATATAGATCTGTATGTAGAAAGTTCCCGGTGTAGTGACCAAAATCGAGTTGTAGGACAGTCAATCTGGGTTGTTTTGTCTCAAATAAGAGTTTCCTGAACAATTATCAAGCAAAAAATCAACCTTTCGTCAAATATATAAATAAATGTTCAATGGCGTATATTCTATAAGCAAAAAGGTTGTGGCCTATACAAATCATTTTCGTAAGGATAAAAAAATAGATAGGTATATTTGGTTGAAATGGAGAAAAGCTGATCATTAAATTTGTTTCTTTATTATTATTATTATTATTATTATTTTCTATTTAATTATTTATTTATTTTTTGCAAATGGAAAAAATGTATTCTTAAAAATACACATTTTTTATCTGACCTTTACAGTTCTGATTTATAATTAATGACAAAACTTTTGATTCCCATAGCTGGACATCCTCGTAAGCCAGGGGTCCTGAGTCAACACGTTGCCGTTGGACCCCTGGCATATTTCATTCAATATTTGTGGGCTGACTGTGGCGACGTCTTTCGGAAAATTACAAATCTTGATTGTTTTTCTCATCTCTCAACCAATCACATTAAGCCATTCTATGATAAACAACTTGTAACACGTGCATTTCAGGTGTCAACTGAATCCTTATCTAACTATTTATGAAAGCTTTAATTTGGTGCTTCTCAATGAGAGAAGCAAGCCCACGAATATTGAATGAAATATGCCAGGGGTTCCAACGGCAACGTGTTGACTCAGGACCCCTGGCTTGCGAGGATGATAGCTGGATGAAATTTTAGTGTTATCATGAGGTCAATATCAGACTAAATTCAAGAAAATCGAAAATAACAGGCGTCCATGATTAGGATAGGAAATGAAATTAAAATTAATTACTGAAAATATTTTTGGGTAAGTAGGGAAATTAATCATTAAGAATTGTTTGTATTTGGATTTATTGAGTAAGTTATTGATTCTTTAAGTTTCCATAATTACCAAGGAGTTAATTTAAGAATTTTTATTTATTTTTTTTGTTAGGTCAATAATGGTCTTCATTCCATGACATAAATATGATTACACTGTTATATTCACTAATCAAATGACAATCACAGATGTCATCATGTTTGGAGAAAACCCCCCTCCCCGTCAAGATGGGCGAACCGCTCCATACCTACTAGATGCAGAACTGAAGCTCTCTGGTTGAGCAAATTTGGACAGATAAACCAGAGAGCTACAGATCCAAGCATTGTAAAAACCTTCGATTTACGCCGCCGCTTTTTTGTCGCTCGCTTCGGGTATTGTTTCTCGTATTTTATGCGTTCCCCCAATTTACAAATGGTATCCGATAATTAATCATATAACTTTACTTCCTTTCTTTATACTTTATTTACCTTTCAACGGTTCCAAATGGCTCTATATATGTGGTCTAGGAATATCATTTTAAAAATTTCCCATCTATTTTGAAATGGTTTCCTAGCAAGTATAACATTTTAGCATGTTTTACAACTTTATGAATAATATTTCTCTTCCTGGAGAATTATAAAAATAAGACCCTTTCATGAGTGAAAAAAAATGAAGTTTTTCAGTTTATAGAGTGTTGCCTTAACTTTGATTTTTAATATCAAGTTTTCTTGTAGTTAAGGAAATCTTTATGCCTGTGCATTTCTGTGTAAATTTTACAGCCAAAAGGACTATGACTTGCACAAACTTCACTCTAAACCACAAGAAGGTGCATGTAAATAAAAATAGAAAATTGAAACTTTTTGGCTTCTTAATTTTGAAACATTTACACTTTGACCACTAGTAGCCCCTGGGACCAAAGCTTGAATCTTTGTATGCTTGCATAATTATTCAAGAGTGCACGTGCCCCTCCCAGACAAAACCAGTTTGTGTTTGTTTTAGTCTTACTTATCCGACGAGATCACCCGTGGGTATCCGACGATAGCCTTTTAAATTCTTCAGTTTACATTTTTAAATTTCAAAATGCTTTTATATGTGTAACTTTGTTAAAATGTCAGTAAAAATACTATATTGTTTAGAGACACGCAATCCACACTCATTTTAACAAAAAAAGAAAAGAAAAAGAAAAAAAAAAGGAACATTCTTGTTTATGCATGGGTTTACATTTGGCCCAGGTGAAGCTATAAAGAAGCTTAAATACTGACCTAAAGATCTCTTCACTCTTAAATATTTATAGTTGAAAGTAAAAAAAAAAAAGCAAGATAAATTTCCACTAAATATAGTTTAATATAACTGATAATCACAGAAATACATACACATGTAAATTGTGAAAATCAGAGAAAGATATTAATACGATAGAGATATTTTAGTGAACATAAAAGAGTTATTGCCTTTTTCCAATTGATTAATTTTATGAAATCTTTTCTTTTAAATATCTTTTACTAATCTTCATATATCCTTTATTATAACTTTTGAAAAACATTTTGACAAAACATATAATTCTATCAAAGATTTTACAAAACCCTGTGATATCTGATGATCACATGAACTCGGTTGCTCAAGTGAAGGTATAACAAATCGATTTAAGCATCTTTACATACACCACGTGTGCAAGCTCTTATAATAAACTGGATAAATTCCTAGATGCTGAAATGACTATACACTGGAGCACCTATAGATTTAAAACATATGCAAGTTTGGTTTGCATACATTGTGCAATAAGCTTAGAGCAGACCTTAATTCTGCACTTATCCTTGTTTCAACAGATAGGCGGACAATACAATTTCCAGTGTACATGCATCTTCCACAATATCCTTGTGTGGACGAGATATAAATTTTTCACTAATCCTTGCTAGGGATTAGGGAAAATGTGTTAGAATTTAAAGGATGTTTCAAAAAAAAAAAAAAAAAAAAAAAGCATAATAATTTTATATACTAAAAGAATTTTATTATTGATTGAAATTGAAAATTATAACCTATATATGTGTTTTATCAGACTGCAAATACATTTGTCATTCCAGCATACTAGCAACAAAAACTTTATGGTAATTGTTAAAACCACTGAACATTCATTAAAACAAACAAAACAATAACAAGTACAATGCATAGGGGATAGAATACAAGATGGTTTTGCTGATTGATGATTGAACTTGAAAGTCAGAATTCTCTGTTGAGACTGTAGCTTTAATGGTGTGTACTTGAAAAAAAAAACGAATAATATAGCAATCATTGCAATATTTTTCAACTATACAGCATTTTGTACCATTAATGTGGTATATATCTGTGTTTCGACCCCCCCCCCCCTTTTTTTTAGTTATTACAACTGGAATAAAACTGGACAAGAATTACTGTTATTTTTTAAATATTTCACAGAAATTTCTTATTTAGTAACCATAATAAAGTTTTCATGAAATCAGACCAAAACTGTATGAGCTGCAGTTTTTGACCAGTAGAGCTAAAAATTATGTAAAGGAATAACTGCTTGAATAGTTAATTTGAACACCCATTCAAAAACACATTTGTACTGTTAATTACAAATTCTTTGGGAAGAAAACTTAAGCAACACACATGAAGTATGCCTCAAAGAAATCTTTTCCATCTAACATTTGTCTCATACATTTTATAATTATTTATTGTATTTTCTATATACAATTCAATAAAAATATCTTCATTTCAAATAAAATCTTATCTAAAAATATAACAAATTCTCTAAAATCATAAAAACTAATGATTACATGTCCTCAGGCACAATGATTAACAAAAACATTAGACATTTTCTGGGGGGTTTACCCTGGGAAATTTGATGAGAATATATAGATGGCAGGCAGTTTACCTATGGGAGGACAGTGTAATTTCTCGTACAAACAGAAGAGGTAGTAACACAGACTTTGTAAGAAATAATGGCAGGGAGAAGAACACAGGTACATGTGTAGATGGCTGATATGTTTTTTTTCTATATTTATAGTGTTAATCTTATAAATTACATTATAATAAAATATGGAGTACCATCCAAGAACAACAGCATAATGTAATCTTTATGTAAAATTATATGTAAACTTTTTAAGATTGCCAGTTTATGTAGCGGCATGCCTAATGGGTGACACTAAAATGGAAATAATAAGGAAAGAATGACTAGATATATGGATACATATTCATCTCTTATAACATTGTACTTCGTATAATTAAAGGGGCACAGACAGTTTGGATGGGGAAAAAAATGAAAAATATTTAATTGGATTAATAATTTGAAAGAACTTGATACATGTAAAAACATAGCAACAAAACGCAAATTTCAAAAACCGACACAAAGATTTTCTAATTGTTGTATGACTCAAATATTGCCTAAGTTAACTACTTTGGTAAGGAGAACGTGCCATTATTACAGCCAGATAGGCCTTTAAAGGACAACTAATTAGGCCAGAAAAATTCAAATTCGTACAGTAAAACTTAGTTATAGTAAAAACCTTGGGACAGATGAATTTATTTGGCTAAATCACCAATTCATTATATATGTAAAAAGAATTCTTAAAAACATATTTAGCATGCTTCACTTCAAGTATGGCTATCAAAAATGTTCAGGGAAGTATCTAACCTTGAAGTAATGAAGTTTTCTGATAAATTTTAAATATAAATACTTGCAATAAAATAATGTCAATATTATAAATTTTGAAAATTTTAAAAACTTGATACAGTGTATTAAAGTTATAAATTGTGTTATTTTTAACCTCTACTAGACAAAAAATCAGTTCGCTAATTGTAAACTCATTGTCCAAATTCAGTATAACCATAAAATTTTACATGGAATTCTTTAAAATTTTAATGGAGATAAAAAAAAATTCACCATATATGTAAATTCACTATTCCATGCATATATGTATCATTACATCAGGTTCTACAACTTGCATTAATTATATTGATTAAAAACAGTCCAGTTTCGAAACTTATTGCCATTTATGTTGAATTATGATTCAGTCAAATAGAATCAATTTATCTAAATTTTAACAATCTACTTTAATTTACATATTATTTCTAATAAACTAAAATATACATAATATGATGTTTTTGTTGTTTTATATTGAAATTTGTAACTAAATTCTTCTTGACATGAAGCTTAAAATTTTACACTTTAAAAAATATTATAAAATGTCTCATTAAAGTCAGATCCTTTATTTCCCTCAAATCACTGCACAGGGATCTGAAGTAAGGGATCTCCTGGTGACCTTTCATGACATAAATATTCATCAAAATTTTGACCAATCACAGAGCTTATACTTCATTGATATTTGGAAGCAATGAAAGGATCCTTAGGCCAGTACAAATCAGAGTTGAAAGACGATCTATGCAAAAAGTTCATTACATTGCTGCAAAGAAAAGATATTGCAATCTTGCCATACCCTGTAGATCATCTGGACTTACACTTCTGTAACTGAATTCTGAAATACTGGCATATTCTTGCAGCAAATGTTTGAATGGATAATTGAAAGGTCACCAGGAAATGATTCTCAATGGAGTCTCTTCAGATCCTTGTGTAGCAATACCTGCATATGTGAGCAGATATGCATCAAGATATGCATCATATCACATGATACCTGCATCATCCCTGCACACAACCAACGAAAGTGTTGTCATAATTCTAACTCTTGTGTGACACAGATCCCTTACCTGGAAAGCAATGGATTAAACTCAGTCTTCGTGCACTGATTAACTGAAATAATGACCCCAACCCTAATGAAAAAAGACAATCATAAAACACCTTGACTTTAAATCACAGTATGGCTATACTGATAATCTAATACTGCATTATATAGCACAAATAAAGAGTATAAACTATTTATATGTTTAAAGAGATGTGATAATATTCAGATTTCTAAACAAGACAAAAATGATAGAGACTGTTCTCAGAAAATAAAACATATTGCACACAAAACAGAGGCCATTGAAAGAGATTGTCTAGAATACTGACAAGTAAGTACAAACAAAATGGTCTCCTTGTAAAGGCAGTTAACTGTCAATATACTGGTCTATAAATTGTAAAAACTAAGATTTTTATTGGTTATCAGGTCTGACTTCCACATCAAATTCTAACACAGCTCTCCAATAGGAGCATTCTTTAGCCAAAGGTCATGCATAAAGGTGTAAAGCTGACTGCTTACAGACACCTGAAATAGGAAAAAAAAGATCTACAATCAAGTTAATCATCAGAGCAAATGTAACACCATACAGAAAAATCTTGTTTCTAGATGCCCTCACTCTTAAACATTTAATATGTACATAGACACACAAAAAGACTGATAAATGCTCTGTTAAAAATAAGGCAATATATTAAAATGTAGTTGTATTTTTTTGGGGGGGGGGGGGGGGGGGGGAATAAACTCCTTTCTATTTACTGATGTTAATGTCTAATTTGTCGACAATTTTTTTAATTATACTAAAAACAAGAGGCCCAAAGGCCTTAACAGTCACCTGAGTATAATGTAACGATCCATAGATTAAAACAAAATAAGCTGATAAATAAAGCTTTGTTGCCCAAAACCAAGAGAAATAGCATGATCAGGGATCAGGAAAATATTAATTTAGCATTCATATCCAGTCTTGAAGTTGATCTATATATTTGCCTGTATTTTCCCCCCATTTGTCACTATCCCCATGTGGACTAAACGAACCAATAGTTCTAGAGCACTATTAACACATTTTATTTCCCCTCACACTGGCATCTTTTAGTCTTTGAAGATTATTTAATGTACAAAGATACACTAATGTGTCCCATTTTCATTTATATATTATTTAAAAGGTAACTGACCTTTCAAAACTACAAAAGTACTTTTGTATTAAATATTATAAAAATTCTTGTTTAATTCTGTTATTCAATTGACCTTTTAAGTTACTTATGTTTTTTCTTTTACAGTGATTAATTATCATAGGTGAATAGCAAAGGGGAACAACTTCTTTCAGTAGAAATTGATAAATTGACCAAAGGGTACAAAATTTCAAAAACTGGTAAAAGCACCCTTGCATATTACAACTTTATATACTCTGTTTGCCTCCTAGATGTCCAGGAGCAGAGAGAAAGATTTTCAAAGAAATAATCCATTTTCACTATAGATTCAATACATGTATAGCATTATCCTATTATCAGAAGCCCTGACCCAGGGACCAAGATACATGTATTCACAATTTTGGAAGAGGCTCCCTTGCTCATCATAACCATGCACTAAAAGTATGTTTTTGTAATAATAATGGAAAGAAAAGATTTTCAAAGAAACAAGAGGCCCATGGGCCTTGAATCGCTCTTCTGATAAACTGTACAACCTATCACTTCTATTTGAAGCCTCGAAGTATCCTGTATATTTACATAAACCCTTGAAATTCCAATTCACACTCTGAGAACCCAAGATGATTCTAAGCCAATTAGTACCTGAGAGTTGGTCATGGTGACCTACTTATCACTTGTCATTCTCTGAGGACCCATCAACTAAGTTTGATGATTCTAAGCCAATTAATACCTAAAATATTTTTTAAAATTATAATCATAAAATTTTATAAGTAGGTCAAAGTGACCTACTTTTCAATTGTTTTACTCCAAGGACCCAAGATGCATCAACTGACAAAGTTTGATGATTCTAAGCCAATTAGTACCTGTAATATTTAATTAAAGCCATAAATTTTCAAAAGTAGGTCACCATGACCTAGTTTTCAGTTGCTGTACTCCGAGGACCAAAGATACATCGACTGAAAGTTTGATGATTCTAGCCAATAAGTACCCAAAATATTTAATTACAGCCATAAATTTTCAAAAGTAGGTCACAGTGACCTACTTTTCAGTCAACCTACTCCGAGGACCAAAGATGCATCAACTGACAAATTTTGACGATTCTAAGCCAAATAATTCCTGAGAATATTAAATACAGCCATAAAATTTCAAAAAGTAGGTCACCGTGACCTACTTTTCAGTTGTTGTACTCCGAGGACCCAAGACGCATCAACTGACAAAGTTTAATGATTCTAAGCCAATTAGTACCCAAAATATTTGATTAAAGCCATAAATTTTCAAAAGTAGGTCACCGTGACTTACTTTTCAGTTGTTGTACTCCGAGGACCCAAGATGCATCAATTGACAAAGTTTTATGATTCTAAGCCAATTAGTACCCGAAATATTTTATTAAAGCCATAAATTTTCCAAAAGTAGGTCATGGTGTCCTACTTTTTAGTCGACCTACTCCAAAGACCCATGACGCATCAACTTACAAAGTTTGATGATTCTAAGCCAATTAGTACCCGAAATATTTAATTAAGCCATAAATTTTCAAAAGTAGGTCACTGTGACCTACTTTTTAGTCGACCTACTCCGAAGACCCAAAATGCATCAACTGACAAAGTTTGATGATTCTCAGCCAATTAGTACCTGAAATATTTAAATATAGTCATATAATTAATATATATATTTAATTATAGTCATATAAATTGAAAAGTAGGCCACGGTGACCTACTTTTCAGTTGACCTTTTTTGAGGACCCAAGATGCATCAACTTACAAAGTTTTATGATCATAGGACTTAAAATGTCCAAATTATGCCTCTAAAACGCTTTGAAATCGATTGCCTGCAAAGTTCAAAAAGTAGGTCACTGTGACCTACTTTTTAATAAATATGTTTTATGGCCCCAAGATGCATCATCTTACAAGATTTAATGATTCTAAGCCTCCCCGTATTCGAATTAATGACCTTAATTGTTTTAAAAAAGATTAGCCATAAAATTCAAAAAGTAGGTCAAGGTGACCTACTTTTTAGTTGACGTACTTTGAGGACCCAAGATGCATCAACTGACAAAGTTTGATGATCATAGGCCTTAAATTCTTCAAAATATGCCTCTAAATCATTTTGAAAAAGAATGGCCGCAAAATTTAAAAAGTAGGTCACCGTGACCTACTTTTGAGTCAACATGATATGAGGTCCTTAGATGCACCAACTGACAAGATTTGATGATCCTAGTCCTTATAGTAAGCAAAATATCAACATTTTAATAAAATGTAATTTTTGGTCAACTTTGAAGTGACCTTGAGACCACGCCCTTTGCCCCAGGGTAAATCCCTTGCAAATTTTAATCTACAACATATCCTCATCCTTTTATATAAGTTTGGTGATAATCTGCCCAGTGCTTCTTAAGAAGAAGATTTTTTAGCAACCAGTACTTTTGTTTCTATTTTCCTAATTATCTCCCCTTGTTAAAGGGTCACAACCCCAGTTTTAGTATAAAAGGGAGCCCTTGGGCCAAGGATACCCTGTAACAAATTTGACAATAATTGGCCAAGGGGTTCTTGAGTTATGGCCCATATTCTAAAAAGTTTACACACACCGCACACCGCACAAATGGCCATAGCATTAGCTCTTTGAGCCTTTGGCTCAGAAGAGCTAATAATGCATTGCTACTATATACATGTACTCAAACGAGCCTAACCCTAACACCCAAACCACTGACCCTAGGCTTATGAATTTCAGACTTTTTGAGAAAAAAACCCTCCTTGCTCATCATAACCATGCAATTAGTTTTTCTGTTTAATACCCAGAGGCATAGAAGTTGTTTTTTTTTTTAAAAAATAATGCATTACCACTATGTATTCAAGAGACCTCCCCCTCTCACATCAACCCCTGACCCAGGAGCCACAAATATCACGATTTTGGAAGAGGCGTCCTTGCTCATCATAACTATATACTTGGTTTATCTGCTAGATACCTAGGAGCAGATAAGATTTTCAAAGAAATAATGTACTTCACTGTATAATCAATTGAGCTCCACCCCCTCAAACCCTCACCCTGGGGCCACAAGTTTCAAAATTTTGAAAGAGGCAACCTCGATCATCATAACCATGCACCTAGTTTATCTACTTTATATACAGGGGGAAGATAAGATTTTTAAAGAATTCATGCATCTTCACTATATGATCAATAGAGCCCCACCCTAACACCATAACCCCTGACCCAGGGGCCAAGATATTCACAATTTTGGAAGAGGCACCCTTGTTCATCATAACTATATACTTGGTTTATCTGCTAAATACCTGTGATCAGAGAAGAAGATTTTCAAAGAAATAATGCACTTTCATTATATAATCATTAGAACCCCACCCCTCCCACAGAACCCCTCATCCTGGGGTCACAAATTTCACAATTTGTCAACAATTTGACTGCTTGATGTCCAGGTGTAAAGAAGAAGATTTTTAAAGATTGCACTAAATTTGATGGTTTTGGTCCCACCCCTAAGACCCCAAGGGGGCAGGGACCATGAAATTCACAATTTTTTCCCCCCTTCAGTCATAGATGCTATAAGATAAGATTTATCGATACCAATTTGGGGCCCCTCAGGGCATACAAGTAAAGAATAATACGCATAAGAAGAAATGCAAAATTGATAGCAACAACATGTCGATATTAAAAGAAAAGAAATTAACTAAACAACATGTCGATATTAAAAGAAAAGAAATTAAAAAGAAGATGATGATTATTTGATGTTGCTGTATGCCAAAATTGGTTGATATTGTTTAAGTGGTTCCAGAGAAGAAGCTGAAAATGCTCAAATGTTAACGCACTACATTTGACGCACACCGATGGATGAAAACAGATAGTAATAGGTCACCTGAGTAACTCAGGTGACCTAAAAACTATATTCCTATTACTAAAGAGAAATATATTGGCTCTTACAGTTAGCTCTGAAATGTTACTTCAGGTTGCACATTGGTATTAAATTTTGCAATACATTATGACCAAAATTACAAAACTTTAAGCAGACATAACTCATCTAAAATAAGCTTCTGAAAGAATTCATTTTCACACTTTGTAAAACAATGTTTTCTGAACATTTTAGTACCAAAACACACTTAGCTATTCAGAAAGGCAAGCAAGTTTATTGTTATCAAAGGTGAACAAGTGCTAGAAAGTGAAGAACCTATCCATCCCCTCTTTAAATACTACGTACCAAAAAAATCAACAATACTTCTGTGTTTATAAATCTGGTAAAATCAGAAAGCCAACATATTGCTTTTAACCTCAGCAAAAATATAACCTCCTATTTCCTCAGAAATGCATGAATCCGAGGGTGAAAATGAGGAATTATTTTGCTTCAGCCATGTTTTGACTACCTACAGTTATATACCTACTGGTGTGACACCTGCAGCATTACCTTGTATGGTGTAGGATTCAGTGCCCTCTTGTGGTCAATTCTAAGGGTTTGTAGGGATTTAAGGGCCTTGGTTCGTAACTCAGATAGTGATGGAAGAGGTTGTACCACCTATTTGATATTGAAGTTTTTAAAATATTTATAAAATTATAGTCAAATATATCAGTACTGTAGATCACCAAATCTTCGCGACACCTTATTTTCGGAAGAATGGTATTTGGTATTTACCAGTATATGCAAGACAAAATTTTCACAAATTCTGGTTACTGGTGTATATAAGCTATACTAATAAAAATATACGCGAGAATGACATTTTCGCAAGCAGACAGTCTTGTGTAATTACGCAAAATAAAGTTCTCCCAAATAAAAAGTGATTTACAGTAATTAATTTTCATATATTTTAAATAAAACTGAAATGATAAACAGTAATAACTTTGAATTCATTACAATATGGCTTGAATTTACAAAATCCAATTACCTTTCCTTTGTCCCAGTAACACTTGTGCAAGAGTTCTACCTTGGCTGGGATTACATAGGCTCGTCTGGATTCCTGAAAGTTAATTCACAAAATCAATAAGTAAATTTTATTCAATATATACAAGAAATATGATGGTACATACATATACCAAGAACAGTCCATGAAAACTTGAAAGCTTAATTCCATTGGGGTCCTAGCTTTCTTGCACCCCTGTTGGAGAGAGGGGGTCACTTTTTGGGAGGAAACTGGAGTACCTAGAGAAAACTGGTGTCCAAGCAACCGACCACCTCACCCTCTCACTACAACCATTATGATCATAGGGATCGAATTCAAGTTCAGCGGTGAGAAGCCAGTTCGCTAACCACTGCGCTACCCAGACATCCCCGGGGTTAGCAGCAAATCTCGAGGTACCAGTACATAGTTTCTACTTCTTTCCATTAAGTGTTAAGACTGAGATACTAGTATTGCATCTTCATGGGAAATAAATTTTACTTGCTATAAGCATTTGCACTACAAAGAACATTACTTTAACCCCTAGTGCTGGCTGTTGAGATTGTCTTACATTACTGTCCAGATGTACAAAATTATAAGTAAAGTGCCTCGCCACAGCATGATATGCCCGTCAAATATTGTTCAATTCTCATAAACAGTTTAGAGTGCAAGAAAATTATGTCAACCTTGATTCAAAGATTTTCATGATTTTTCCATTCCTTATAATATTTGCTGTTTATACATCTCTTGTAGTGTAGGCATTAATTATAACAAATATTACATCATAGATTTCTCAGCTGGTTGTGTCAGAGCTTGACAAATGCCCATCTGCAACCCCCCTCCCCCTCCTCATCTGTCGTATTTGTTTGATATTTTCAAAAAATTAAATAAAAATATCATACTAAGCAATATCAAATTAGTCTTAACAATTTAATCTGTACCAAATTAATTTTGAAAGTAAAAGGCTGGCCATCAAATGACATATGCTATGAACTGACTAGTAGATCTTCTGTCTAAGGATGCAGATAAAAACAGCTTGATCAGAGATGCTCTAACAGAAATGATTGAGACAGCTAGCCTTCCTATATTGAACTCATTAATTAATTATAATCTTTAACTGGATGCATGTCCACTCATTACTCCCAAGGGATGAATGGATCTGCACTATCTGCTTTGTAGTCTGTATTGCAGTAAAAATGCATATTTATGTCATTCTGTTGAAAACAGAGATTTTTTTTAATTTGTTACAAAGATTTATAAAAAGAAACAAAAACTTGTGTAATCTTGATGCAACATTTTTAATAAGGTTACTGCATGACTCTTAGATTTGTAAGGACTATCTACCACATTTTTAAAATAAAATACTTGATTTTTTTTTTTTTGAATTTTGATGCCAAACTGGTTTTAACCTGCAGTGCATACGGAGAAATGGACATGCTGATTCCAATATCCCCCCCCCCCCCCCCCCCCCCCGGTATTAGTTTTAATTATATTATACAATATCAAATTAGTTTATTTTACAATATCATACAATATCAAATTAGTTTAATTACTTTTCACCAAATTCATTTTAAAAGTTAGGCTAGCCAACAAAATCTATTTGATTCTTTTGCCCAGTTCCCAAGAGATATAGATAACACCTGCTTGATCAGAGATGCTCTACCAGTTAGCTCCTCACACTAAAACTCATTAATTTCTCTCTAATTTGACATGCAATTTTCTGTTATCAAAATTCTCCTTGACCAGTGCTTGATAATTACACCCATGAGAGAGGTGGAATTTCTCTTATAACATTACATTTGTTATAGATTGTTGTAAAGTATATAATGAAAAAAAAAAATGTTTTCTTGATTTAACACTTTTTAATAAGGATACTGCAACACTCTTATATTTTTTGGGATTGTGTAATTCAATAGTATAGAGACACAGTTTTTTTTAAAATTTCACTTAAATTAAAGGTCACAGTGACTTTGAAATAGGTCGCGACACACCTTCTACCTAAGATGCATAAATTAGCCAAGTTTGATCATTCTAAGTCTAATAGTTTTCTAGTTATGAGCCGGACAGGATTTTTCTTGGCCATAGCATCTTAATTAAAGGTCAGAGCGACCTACTTTTAATGTGCCACACACTTTCTACCCATTACCCAAGAAGTATCAGCTGACAAAGTTTGATAATTCTAGGCCTATTAGCATTAAAGTTATGAACCGGACACGAAAAAGCTAACAGACGGATGGACGGACATGAACGCCATAACATAATACGTCCCGTCTTAAGACGGGCGTATAAAAAGTAATTTTATACATGTAGACGTACATGTACTAAGTCTCAACAAGTGAATTTCAGGAAAAAAAAATACAGAAGATTACAGAAAAAGAATTCATGCAAAAGAAAAAAGAAATCTGAAATAAACAAACTTTCTGGAGCATGTTGAACAATATATATTCTTGTATGTGCCTCAACATATTAAATATATGGAGAATATTCAATGTTTTTAGTTGGATATAGAATTTTTTTCATGGGTGAAAATATAAAAAAAAATCCTGTTTCATGAGTGAAATAAACTTCATAGTCAACTACAAAACATGGAATTTTCTATTTATTACATATTCTTTGATCTTCATTTTGCCTCTGCTTTTTCATAATGCATTGTCATAGGCTTTGAAGTCCCAGATAAGCAGTCAAGACATTATAGCATTCAGGGAGAGATGGTCTACAGAACATGTATATATCTGATTGGGTGTCATAAATGTAGCTCTCAAGAGAGATGGTGTACAAAAATGTACTGTACCTGGATAGAGTGACGACATAAGACATTCCACAGAACATAGGAACACTCTACCTGTATAGGGTAATGACATAAGTACACTCTACAGAACACGTACCTGTATAAGGTGACGACATAAGAACACTCTACAGAACATGTAACTGTATAGGGTGATGACATTAAACACTCTACAGAACACGTACCTGTATAGGGTGACGACATAAGAACACTCTACAGAACACGTACCTGTATAGGGTGATGACATAAGAACACTCTACAGAACACATACCTCTATAGGGTGATGACATAAGAACACTCTACCGAACATGTACCTGTATAAGGTAATGACATAAGAACACTCAACAGAACACATACCTCTATAGGGTGATGACATAAGAACACTCTACAGAACACGTACCTGTATAGGGTGATGACATAAGAACACTCTACAGAACACGTACCTGTATAGGGTGATGACATAAGAACACTCTACAGAACACATACCTCTATAGGGTGATGACATAAGAACACTCTACAGAACACATACCTGTATAGGGTGATGACATAAGAACACTCTACAGAACACGAACCTGTATAAGGTGACGACATAAGAACACTCTACAGAACACGAACCTGTATAGGATGATGACATAAGAACACCCTACAGAACACGTACCTGTATAGGGTGATGACATAAGAACACTCTACAGAACACGTTCCTGTATAGGGTGATGACATAAGAACACTCTACAGAACACGTACCTGTATAGGGTGATGACATAAGAACACTCTACAGAACACGTACCTGTATAGGGTGTTGAAATAAGAACACACTACAGAACACATACCTGTATAGGGTGACATAGCTTTTAGGGAGAGATGGTGTACAGAACATGTTATACCTGTATAGAGTGTTGACATAAAAATGCTCTACAGAACGTGTACTGTACCTGTAAAAGGTGATGACATAAGAACACTTTACAGAACATATACTGTACCTGTATAGGGTGATGTCATAAGACACTCTACAGAACACGCACTTGTATAGGGTGACGACATAAGACACAGTCTACAGAACACATACTGTACCTGTATAGGGTGACGACATAAGACGCGCTCTCCAGGCTGTGGAGCTTTCTCTGAGGGCTGCATCATCAGATCCACCAGAGCATTGCCTAAAAGTAATCAAAGTCTGATGCTTATTAGTACATGTATTGTAAATTTATCATAAAATCGCAGTGATCTTTTTCTACATATACAGTAGAACACACTTAAGGCAAACATGCTTAAAATGAACTGATGCTTACAGCAAAGTGATTTTCATTCCCAATGACTAAACTGTATTGTGATACTAACGGATATAATGAATTTTGTTTATTATGAATCAAAATCATCTGTCCCTGGCACTTAGTTATAAGCGTGTATTACTGCAATCTTTTTTCTTTTAAATTGACGAATTTGAGTGTTTTTACTGTTATTTATATTCATATCATGTTTCATCTCAGAATTATAGCCTATTACGAAATTGAATTTCCATTCCCACTACAGGAATCCAGAATGATTTCACTGATTTAAACACTGCCTTTATTACTGATAATTACAATTTTGTAATCATTTGTGTATATGTATATTATCATAATCACTTCTAATAGAATTTCTAAACAAATTAAACAAAAAATGTGTTTGCAATTATTTTACAATACTGACCGTCAATACCAAACAAGCGATAAGCATGTTTCCTGCCTGGAATGGTCACCTTTTCTACATCCTCACTGAGTTTCATTCGAGGATTTTCATTTATTTCAACCAGCTAAAATTAAGAAAAAATAAATATTGCAGATAACTGTACCTTTTTCCATATTTATTTATATACAACTAAAAATATTTTCAATGTTTAAAAAAAATCATTATATTCACTACTCACTGTAAATATCTGAATAATTGCACTTTTTCAATCTTATCTGTTAATGGGTGTTGTACACCCACTAGTCCTGGCTGTTGTACCCCCGCCCTCCCCCCCCCCCCCCCCCCCCCCCAGTGCTGGCTGTTGTACAACCCACAAACTCCACCGCCACCCCCAACCCCTCCACTAGTGCTGGCTGTTGGGAAAATCTTACCTTGTAAGTTGTAACACCTCTTACCCACTGTTGAGAATGTCTTACCTTGTACACATCCCCTAGTGCTGGCTGTTGTACACATTCCTATAGTTCTGGCTGTTGTACACACCCCCTAATGATCACTGTTGTACACATACCTATAGTGCTGGCAGTTGAACAACCCCCTAGTGCTGGCTATTGTATAAACCCCTAGAGCTGGCTGTTGTACAACCCCTAGTGTTTGCTGTTGAGAATGTCTTACCTTGTACACAACTCCTAGTGCTAGCAATGTACACACCCCTACTGTGCTGGCTGTTGTAAAGAACACCTTAGTGCTGTCTGTTGTAAAACCCTTAGTGCTCACTCTTGAGAATATCTTATCTTGTACACACCCCTGGCTATTGTACACACCCCTACAGTGCTGGCTTTTGTACATACACCCTAATGCTGGCTTTTGTACACAACCCTATAGTGCTGGCTGTTGAACACACCCCCTAATGCTGGCTGTTGTACCCACCCCCTAATGCTGGCTATTGTACACCCCCTAATGCTGGCTATTGTACACCCCCCTAATGCTATCTATGTACACCCCCCTAATGCTGGCTATTGTACCCCCCCCCCCCCCCATGCTATCTATGTACACATCCCTATAGTGCTGACTGTTGTACACACCCCCTAATGCTGGCTGTTGTACACCCCCCCAATGCTGGCTATTGTACACACCCCTATAGAGCTGGCTGTTATACACTCCCCCTAATGCTGGCTTTTGTACACACACCCTAATGCTGGCTGTTGTACACCCCCCCAAATGCTGGCTGTGTACACCCCCCCCCCCCAAATGCTGGCTATTGTACACCCCCCCCCCCCAATGCTGGCTATTGTACACACCCCCTAATGCTGGCTGTTTTACACCCCCCCCCCTAATGCTGGCTGTTGTACACCCCCCCCCTAATGCTGGCTGTTGTACACACCCCTAATGCTGGCTGTTGTACACACCCCCTAATGCTAGCTTTTGTACACACCCCCTAATGCTGGCTGTTGTACACCCCCTAATGCTGGCTGTTGTACACACCCCCTAATTCTGGCTGTTGTACACACCCCCTAATGCTGGCTGTTGTACACACCTCATTATTTTAGCTTTTGTATACACCCCCTAATGCTGGCTTTTGTACCCCCCCCCCAATGCTGGCTGTTGTACACACACCCTAATGCTGGCTTTTGTATACACCCCCTAATGCTGGCTTTTGTACACCCCCCCCCAATGCTGGCTATTGTACACACCCCTATAGTGCTGGCTGTTGTACACCCCCCCTAATGCTGGCTTTTGAACACACCCCCTAATGCTGGCTGTTGTACACAACCCCTAACGCTGGCTGTTCTACACCCCCCTAATGCTGGCTATTGTACACACCCCTATAGTACTGGCTGTTGTACACACACCCTAATGCTGGCTTTTGCACCCCCCCCCCAATGCTGGCTTTTGTACACACCCCCTAATGCTGGCTGTTGTACACAACCCCTAATGCTGGATGTTGTGCACCCCCCCCCCCTAATGCTGGCTGTTGTACACCCCCCCCCCCTAATGCTAGCTGTTGTACACCCCCCCCTAATGCTGGCTTTTGTACACACCCCCTAATGCTGGGTGTTGTACACACCCCCTAATGCTGGCTTTTGTACACCCCCCCCTAATGTTGGCTGTTGCACACCCCCTAATGCTGGCTGTTGTACACACCCCCTAATGCTGGCTTTTAAACACCCCCCCCATGCTGGCTTTTGTACACCCCCCCCCCAATGCTGGCTGTTTTACACCCCCCCTAGTGTTGGCTGTTGTACACACCCCTTAGTCTAGCTGTTGTACATCCCCCAACTCTAGTACTTGCTTCTATACTATCCCGAGCATGTTGACAATGTCTTACCTTGTACACACCCCCTAGTGCTGGCTGCTTTTGACATGTGACTAGATGAGTACCAACCCCAAAGCTGTCTATTTCATGGCCCTATCAAAATCAGAAATCCATAAATTCAGATGAATTTTAAACTTTTCTCAAAAGAATTCTGAGAAATTTCAGTGAATTTAAGTTTTGTTACCTGCTGATTAAGGGAATGTATAGTATCTTCATTGATGTCATTACTGGCCACAATGTTTAATTTAGCAAACCATGGAACTTCAAACCTAAATATCAATGAATCACACTTTTAAAAATTAAAAAGCAAAGAATATTAGTGCAAAAAGGTTTTACCCACAAAATAAATGACTTCATCAATGCCATCTTTTTATGCCCCAGATATACAAAAGATAAAATGGTATTTTTATCATTAAAACCCAGGGATAAGAACAACACAAGGGCTGAGTATATATACAGCTGCTTTCTTTCTCTTCCATAAAATCAAGTATCAGCTTCTTTCAAGCAGTCTGTATACACATAAAAGGTTTGCTCTTAGATTTTTTTTTGATTGGCGATAATCTCTGATAAAAAACAAAACAAAAAAACCTGGGATTTTTATAAATAATCATCCAAAAATTCTTAAAGAAGTTGTCATAAATTTGTGAATCACATTATCATAATCGTAGAATGTAAGATCAATGCTCCTTTAATATAAATACAATGAACACTTACTTATCAGCTACCTTCTTGAAGCTTTGTCTGACTACCTGAGACAGGTATGCCAAGTCTCCACTGTCCAGACGAATTCCCCTAGGTTCATATCCAAAGTCACTCAAAGCCATGGCTACAGTACAAAAGTTAGGTAGCCCTGACCTACAAGTCACAAAAAAGGAATAGTTCTCCTAATCAAATTCACATCATTTTTAATGTTAGATGTAATGTAAAATGGTATTTAAATTCACTTTATACTGTAGAGTCCTAAGTATACGCGAGGAATTAATTTAAGGAATCACTGTCTAGTTAGTAGAGTATGCCAGGGCATCAACAATAGTTGGAAACGTGGGATAATTTGCATAACCGGCGAAGCCCGTTATGCATAAATTATCCCACGTTTCCAACTATCGTTGATGTCCCTGGCATACTCTACTTACTAGACAGTGATTCCTTATATTTCCATTTCATTTTGAAATAAAATTGTAAATTTAGATTTTAAAAATGTAGACGAATAGATTTAAATTACACGAGGCCTCACATGTCAATTTCAATAGTCCCCGCCCACTGACGTCAAACACAAAGACAGCCGCACGAGAATTACATGCATATTAGGCCTCCTTAGAGTCAGACACAAAGACAGCCGCATGAGAATTACATGCATATTATGCCTTCTTAGCTACTGACCTTTCGCTTGGCAAAATTTGCATTCCGTTAGAATGATCAAGAAATCAACTCTCCTAACTTTCAAAGAGTTATCACAGAGAAAACAAATAGAAATGGAAATATTATTGCATAATTTTGCGAGAAACACCACTTGCAAAATAAAATTACTCATTATTTTTTATGGAGCTGAAATCCATGTAAAATCTCTTTACCGACCACTCGTGAATTATTGTTTTAGCGATTTGAAGTTAAAAGGTCATTTTGCGATATTAAATACTCGCAAAAAATATGGAATTTACAGTATCATTCATGTTCTTTAAAAATCCAAATAAATCAGTATGCTATATATCAGAATACTTACAGAAGAATATTTATGATTAGAATTGACAGTATAATTTGACTGTTATACTCAGTGTGAGTCTTACCTTATGACATCGTATGTGTCAATAAGAGCCAGGAATCCATCAGGGAAAGCCTGAGCGTACGCTATAAATGCAGCCAATTCTCCCTCTGAGGCCTGATCATCCAAAAACTCTAAAACATTATCAACATTAATGAAGAAGCGAAGACTGACTCTACAGATTCATGCTTTAGACAAATCAATCATATGATTATTAAACAACTTATTTAATACAGCTAATTACAACAATACAAGTACTGCAGGGGACTAGTTCTTTAGTATCCTAAAGTATCCTAAATCTTGAACATGCAACTATGAAATTCCAATAGTAGGTCACTGCAATCTACTTTTTAGTTGACACACTCCGTTGACCAAAGATGTATCAACTGACAAAATTTTATGATTCTAAGCTTCATATTATTCTAAATATTGAGATAAAGGTGTGAAATTTAAAAATAGGTCATGGCGACCTACTTTTTGGTCAAGTTCGATGATTCTAAGCCTCTCATTATCCTAAACATTCATATAAATGTGTGACATTCCAAAAATAGGTAAAAGTGTGACATTCAAAAAATAGGTCACTGTGACCTAGTTTTTAGTTAACACACTCCCAAGCCCCAAGATGCATCAACTAACAAAGTTTGAAAATTCTAAGCCTCTCATTATTTAAAATATTTAAATATATAGATGATATTCTAATAGTGGGTCACAGTGACATACTTTTTGGTTGACACACTTCGAGGACTCAAATGTATGAACTGACAAGGTTTAAGGGTCACATCCCTATTTTTAGAATAAATATAAGCCCTTGAGCAAAGAATACTCTTTGACAAGAAGCAAGGTTCACTTAGGGTCTTTTTTGGCCCTGTGAATTTCTAAAATATCAAAACTGCTCAGTTTTTAGTTGACAATGCTTGAAATATCATTTTGGCCATTTGTGACTACATATCTATGAAATATAAAGTAACACTAACAATGCATTATGATATCACATTCCCATATCCTGAAAATTTCTTCAGAAATGGCCAAGAGTTTGACACATTTTTCAATATTTCCTATAGAGCACACCTCTAATCCAAAATGTGCTACTATAGAACTATTTCTGGAAATTATAAAACATTATTTTTTTGGGGATCGAGGGATGTGCTCATATTTTAATTCCTTGCTGAAGGTAAAATTCAAAGATATCACAATTTTACAAAGCCCTTTCTCCAATACCTGAACTCTCAGAGGAAACTTTGTTATAAGAAATGAAAGCACTAAGTCTCCAAATTATATTGATGTTGGAAATGAAACTTAGGGTGTTAGTCAATAAATTGGTAAATCTACAGGGCTATTTTATGCATAAAGCGAACATAGCTCTTAGGCAAAAATTGGCTAGGTTCTTGAGATATGGCCCATATTCCAAATAGCTGATCCATGCTTCACAAATGCCATAGCATTAGCTCTTTGAGCCTTCAGCTCAGAAGAGCTAACAAGATGCCAAATAGCCTTAATGGTCACTTGAGTATTATTCAACACTGTAAAGAATCCACAGAAGTATAAAATAAATCAAAATAAACAGAGAGATGAAGATATGTTGCAAAAAAGCAAGAGAAATAGGATAATCAGAGATGAACATAATAGTAACAAATCATAAAGTAGATCAGCTTATTTGCCTGCACTTGCCAATAAAAATACACTTTATTTGTCCAAAACATTTTAAACCCAGTGGTCCAGAATTTCACAAATCTGGTAAAACACTCTTGCTCATTACAACTTTGTCATCTGTTTGCCTCCTAGATGCCTAGAAGAGAAGATTTTAAAAGAATTACTGCATTTTCACTGTACACGTATAATCAATACAGCCCAGCCCTAATACCAGAACCCAGGCCTTTCAAAATTTGCTGGTACCCCCCACCTTTTACCTGACTCAAATCGTGATTGTACCAGCCAAATATACAATTGTTAGAGAAAAATTTAATAACATATTTAATTAAAATCGCTTCCACAAAGTACCTCTTATTTTTGTTAAAGTACGCCCTGTTTCTAGTCTTTTTGAAAGCTCTGAGAACCCCTGACACATGAGCCATGAATTTCATAATTTTGGGAGAGGTACCTTTGCTCATCATAACCAAGCACTCAGTTTGTTTGCTAAATACCCAGGAGCAGAGATTTTCAAAGAATTTATGTATTTTCATCATATGATCAATAGAGCCCCACCCTAACACCAGAACACTTAACCCGGGGGTCATAAATTTCAAAATTTTGGTAGGGGGCTCAACGCTTATTACAATCATGTCAATAGTTTGACTGCTTGGTGTCCTGGAGTAAAGAAGCAGATTTTTAGAAATTGCATTAATTTTGCCCCATCCTTCAGGCCCAAGGGGAGCTGGGGCCAAGATTTTCACAATTTTTGTTCCCCTTTACCCAAAGATGCTAATAATTAAGCCAAAACCGGTTGAAATTGTTCATCTGTTCCAGAGAAAAGCTGAAAATTTTTATATATACACTGTTGACGGACAAAAACAGAAAACAATAGGTCATCCAAGTCACACACAGCGAGAAAGCAGGTCTATCACAAGCAAATGGCTTCGTGAAGATTTAAAGCTATTTACTTACTTGTAGTTTTATCTCTGACAAAGATATTTGAAAATGTAAATGTTGAGGGATTAAGATTCCTGTTCAACTATTGAATCAAACAAATGCTGCACCTACCCAATATTGGGGCTAACTTCTTCCTCCATTTGACACAAACTGCTGAGAATTTGAGTACCTGGTTAGTTTTTTTATTCAGCAGTTCCTAAAACATGTGATAAAAACATGAAACCATAGCTACAAATCTTGCTTTTGTAAGCAAGTATGTTACAATATGGAGAACAGAAGAGCTTCAAAGGTAATATAATTTAATAAAAATGCATGTACTTCAAACAAAAAGTATTTTAAAAAATTTACTTTTATCTTAAATATGGGAATATGATCAAAGTAAAACATCCTCTAATACATTTCACTCTATTCTCTCATTACTTTGTTGTTAAGGGACACAAAAATGACTTCCAGGAACTGCTTTATTGCATGTTTTAAGTATGTGCGATATTTACATTAACATCGAATTCACCTTTTCTTGAACTTCTGACAGAGAAGAGTAGGAATTCACAAAAGCATGGGCATGTGTTCCTCTCACTGGAATGTTGTACATCTTTCCTGCCAACACGTTACTGGTTCCATCAAATCCTACAACAAATGGTTGAAGTATATTTGAGACATACTGCATAGAATAAAAAATGTGAACACTAGAAATTGAGTCATCATTGGATATTCCATTATATATCTTTCTGTCTCCATCAACCCCCCCCCCCCCCCCCCCAAGTTGTGGCCAATACCATCCCCTACTCCTTATGGATTTAACAAATAATGGCCACATCCCTATCTATAAAACAAGTGCCAACTGCCTACAAGATGAAATGCTAATAAGTTATGCCAGCTTCACCAATTTTTTTTATGGACACATAATTACTATAATATATATTTAAATCCATATAACATTTTCCGATGATTTTCTGTTATGCAGTTCTGTAATATTTGAACAATGCTAATACAATCCTTACTTAATATATATACATTGAATAAAGTTTAGTACCCCAGGTAAGGCCTGTTACATCTGATGTAGTTATGTAAACACTGGAAATGATATCTTTCTAGGTATGCTTGTATAATATACAAATTAAGGCTTATGTCAGCCTAGCAGTGACATTATGGCTGGCATTGCAGTACTATGTCACAAATACTGACATCTGAACCTGCTAATGTAAATTAATCATGACCAGAAATTAAACAGGTCTATAAGACGAGGAACTAACTGCTTATGATGAAACAACAAAATCCAAAGAAACTGTAATTTACAGCAAAATATAATAACAAGTAAACTATCTTTTTTTCTAATTTTCATTTTAGGCATAATAATCTGCTTTTTGTTCTTTGATAATCATTTTGTAAATTGTTGATGAGAAAACAAACTGATAAATAACACAAGATAGAATCATAATTTATACCTGTATTAAAAAATGTTATATATAAAAATATCACATGAATTTCTGAGTTCATACTAATATAATAGTCTATCATTGACAGGGAGATGGTGAAGTGATAATATGGGTTTGTAACCTAAGGACAAAGCCTTCCAAGGTATGTAATATCAATAAAGAAAACTATATTTAACAAGTATTCTCACTGGAACAAAACTTGGTTTTGTATAATAACCTTCTTTGGCACCTTTGGTAAAACATTTGTGCCATATTTCATTCACCTGGCATACACTTACCATAAAGATAAACATGCATATAATTTTGTATCAGTCAGTTAGAAGCCAAAGGAGCCAAGTTTGAATATGGATTAAAAAGTAATTTCCTTATTACAACATTTGGGTAAAGCTTACTAGAGATTTTGCCCATAGTCTTATGGGAGAAGAAGAAAAGATTAAACTTAAGTAAAGCCAGTACTTTTTTACTCTGCTGTTGCCCATATTCCTCTTGTTTGAGCTAGAAAGCACCGAAACTCAGATGAACAGAAAAAACAAAATCAGTCAAGAAAATATATACTGGTGAAAAAGAGGATTAAAATATTCTGGTTTAACACGTCACGAGCTGTGTCAACTAACAATGGCACATTTATGTCATCTAAAAAGTATTATCCTTAAAATAATACAGATCTCAAAATATTTGAAAATGATATTTTATGCACAATATCCTAATTGTGAAAAATAACCTCCTTTCATCATGATATTAGGCTTTCTGTAAAAAACTGTTTGTTTGGAATTGCCACCTGGGGGGAGGGGGGGGTTCAGACCCAGGAGGGAGCGAGGGAACTTTATATTATTTTTGTTCAATATTGAAGGAAATTAAATACTGTTGATAAAAATCTCAATAAGCAGTGAACACACTATTTTCTGACTTTTTCTAAAGGTATCTCCCATAAAAAAGAACCCAGTTTTTGCTTAGATCCGACACTAATTAAGAGTTTTGGTGGCACATGTGATAACAGCCAAGAGTTGATTAAATAAAAAAAAAAATTCTTATTTTTGGTCAATAAAATGTTTCCAGGAGGGGTCATTTCAATGAGGTGGGAGGCAATTCCAAACAAACAATAATTTTATTTTGGCCTAATCCTACAATTTTGGGATTGCATTTTTACAGTGTCTAATGCAAAGATACTGAAATGAAATATATGAATATAACAAATCAAACATAAAAATTAGATTATGGGTTTTTGTACATATACAAATCACACTGAATAAAAGTTACATAACTCCTCTCCAGAACAACACAGCAGACTTTTAATATACACTTTACACGGGGGAGATTATCTTTTTTTTCAAAAGGGATATGTAATTAAAAAGTAATATTTTACTAATCCTTTTGATCCCAGCTGAAGTGCACTCAAGGACAAAAACAAAATCAAGTTTGGGAACAACTGGTCTAATTTAGAAATCCTATTAGCACTGTACAACAGTTAAGGTTGAATCAGAAATCAATGTAAAGCTAATATTAATAAGAGCAGAAAATCAATGTTTCCTTAAAAGAATAAACAAATGTATTAAGTAGAATCAATACAATAATTAATACTACTGACCACCAAGATAGCAATATCTAGAGGCAGATAAGGCACCATCAGGACCCTGAGCTCGTCTCAGTCCAAACTCGAGTAGTGTTTTGTCTCGACCTGCTGCTTGTCTGAATCTCATTCCATTTGTGGCTACCAAACTACAAATTAATTTCAGAGATTTTCAGTGCATCTGATACATGTGTTTGCAAGGTGTTAGCTGCCAATAAAATTTTAGGCATTTGCTGTAAACTTTTTACAGACTAATCTAAATCTTAAAAGAAAACAAAACGCAAAGGGTTGTAATCTGATATAATAGATAAAATGAGTGTGACCTTTCTGGAAAACATGTTTTGCTTTTTTTTTTTTTTAACAGACATCCATTATACATGTATTTTTTAAATTAACTTTTCTCATATTGTCAAACATGAGCGAATCTAGAGGGTGGAAGGGACCTTTGAATCCCCCCCCCCCCCCCCCCCTCTGGAAAATGTGGACCCTGTTAAGTTGGTAGAAAGAGCCAAACATATGATGCTTAAGAAGTAAAAAAAGCCCCCCCCCCCCACTACCTTTTTTTTTTGCTAATCAAGAAATTTCTGGGCTGGATTTTTTAGTTATGGGGTGGACCCCCCTGGAAAAAAAATTCCTGGATCCACACCTGTCAAACAAAGTAAAAAATTATGGACATCAGTTTTTGTTTCATTTTTTTAAAAATAATTCTTCAATCCAAATATCAGCCTGCAAATTCATGTATATACTGTCATGAAGAACTGTTTCCTTTTGTTAATTTCTATTTTTATATACAAAACTCTTTATATAGTACATGATGTGCATACTGACTTCCATACTTGAGTGTATGAAACTCATGTTTTTTAATACATAACAAGCATACTTGTATTGATATTGTACTAGGAAAGGGAAAAATGTATGGCATTGGCTGGAGCAGGAATCGAACCTGGAACCCCTGCATCACTAGTCAGGTGCTGTACCACCTGAACTTTCAAAGCCAACACCCACAACCCAAACCATTACAACATGTACAACTAGCTATATATTTATATAATTTCATTTTACCTGGCATAGTTAACAAGATTTAGTAGAGGTGTTTCCATTAACTGAACTACAGGAAGGGGGCCTTCTACTGAGATGAGGGGGACCTTTGGGAACACAACCATCCCCTCATCAATGGCAATCAGTCGCACCTCATTTGTTGTTAAATTTTGAAGGTAATCAAAAAATTCACTTTCAATATTTTCAGGTAAAACTGTCTTAAGGTAGTTGATATCTGCAACACAAAAAATATATTAACTTTAAGACATAATCATAAATGCAAGAAATTGAAGAAGTGTACAACATGTAATTACTGAAGCAACAAAGCAAAGTAGAGTGTATCAGTTTGGGCACACAACCATGGTTATATTTAAGGCAAGGAAATATGATTTATTACTAACTTTGCAGATATATATAATATATCATGTATAAACAACATTTTAACCTTAGTTTTCATGACTTTTTTCTTTTCAAAATGTGTCCAAGGACCGTAGAAATAGGATTTTTTTATTGTCCATTACATGTTCAGATTGAGGTTTGTTTTTTTTTTTAAGTATGACATTGCCTTACTTGTAAGTTGTAACTAAATTGGGAAAAACTAGAGTAAAAATTTGGAAACATAGCTGACTTTTAACATTTTTAAGCTGGGAATAGGTCTGGTAACTGGACTCAAAAAGAACTCAAGAAAAAACCCTGGTAAAGCAATAGAAGTGAATAATAACATATAAATCATGGTTTTCTCCAAATATGTAACTTGAACTGACCAAGCAATTGAGATGTTGAGATTTTTTTAATGTATTGTTGAGGAACATTAAATCAAAGGAGAACTAAGTCAAGAAAAAATCTGACATCATTTCTGAAACTAAATGATGTCCAACTATTGTAAACATGCAGTAATGTATGTTTAAATTTCTATCACTTATATGACTAGCCATGCCCAACAACTTCAATGTTAGAAATAAATAACTCACCACTGACTGAGAACTTGAAACTTTTGACAAACTTAATACACTCTTCTAAACCAGCAAATATTGTAAATTCTCCTTTAAATGGATTTTTCCTGAAGTAAAGATCAAAGACTGCAGTTTCATTTCTCTTTCCACTTTTCCAGTAAGCGTATGCCATGGTTATCTGATACAAGTCTGGAATATAATAACATTCAAATTACTGTATTATTTGTATGCATGCAATCAAAATAAAAATTATTATTCTTCAAAATTTAGTATCTTTAGAATACTAAACATCCTAAAAATTCAAAACATAAATCTGACATATCACTGAAAATGTTGACAAAAGTGAAGTAACATGCTCCAAAAACTAAGACAAACTTTTACTATCCAAATAAATAAATCATTACCTAGTATATAAACATGCATTTTTTTTTTCAAATTCAGTAGCAGCTGACTCCTTGTTAACTAAAATCTTTCATTGATTAATATACTCTAATACAGTGCTGACACCTACACTGATTTCTATACAAGTGTACTTTTTAAATACTTAAAGTGAAATAAATTGGTCTTGATCCCTATATCAAATCTGGCACACTATTGTGGCACACTATAGAAGCTTGCAATGGAATGCATCGATATGAATGGGTCTTTCCATAACTGCAATAAACATTGCAGCCATATCCAATTAATATCTTATTGACCAGCATGACTGTAGTCCGTTTATAAAACTGAAGTATAAACCGCAAACTTTCATTTTCTTTTCCACGAACTTGGTAATTTTTTTTTTTTATCTCTGCAGCTAATGAATTTGTAAAGAAGCGTATTCATTGAAAAATATTGATTGAAATAAAATATTGGCTCCAACAGCATCAGAACCCCTGATGCGGAAATTAATCAATCCAACTGTTTAAACTACAGTATACTAAAATCAGCTGCACGTTTCAACACAAATGCCTATGATCCTACTTTCACTTTCGATGTGTTACCACTACTCTCGAAAAATACCAATTAATAGACATCTATTTTTTTAAGAGTACCTGTTAATGTGGCTTGAATAACTCCATTCTGCTCTTTATTAAGCACACGCGAAAAATTTGTATCCCCACTTGCAGACATCTTTGTTGCTATCCGACAAGGAAAAGCGTTTATCGCGATCGACCTTTCACTGAATGAAAACTCCAGAAGAATACCGAGAATTTAGTTCGTAAGGGCGATAATTAATATTCAAATTTAATGGCCGACAGTTGTGCAGACAGCGACGAAGATTTTCAGCCTAACGGAGATGAAAACTTTCTGGATAATGTACCGGGGAAATCCCAAGTCAAACAGATAAATGTTAATCCGAAGTATGCTAATATCTATGTTTATTTAAAGGCGTAAACGAAAATCAACTGTGGAGCTAGAGGTCACAGCTGTCAAGTTAATATGACGAGGTCGTAGAATGTAATTTATTATCCAATTTAATGAATAGACTAACCTGTAAGTAATATTTTCCCGTCCAAACTTGTCATGTTGGTAACTGAACCTGAAATTGATACACCGTGCTTGAAGAAGCTTGCCAAGTTCTGTGACGTAACAGTTAAGCATCCCAAGCAGGCATTTCAACGTTGAAACAACGTCGTACCTCAATGTTGAAATGACGTTGAATTTTAGTTGGATTTGAAAGTTGAATGGACGTTGAAATCCGACGTTGGTTCAACGTTGATATTTTACGTTGTTTCAACGTTGAATTAACGTCTACGGACGTTATATCAACGTTGAAAAAATGTTGATATATGAGTGGTTTTGGTTGATATTTCAACACATCTTTTACTTTGTAATATATTGAAAACCTTATCAAATTTGTTTGTCGTAATCTTTAACTCTCAAATTGAATTTGCTCATCTATTAATTGAACCTAGATCCATTACACACACTGGTGTGTATAATTAATTCCATGTATAACAGTAAACACATTGAAAGGAAATTTCCAATCAATTTAGTATTTATTTATTTCTTTTTACATCTATGAAAACATAATCACAATTTATTCCCATTTGTCATCACTTAATGGCAATTGCATGTCACATGTGGTTCAAGTCTAGGTAAAAATTTCACATAAGTATGAATCCGATGGAGTGATAATGTATTTTTGTTAACTATTCTTGGATGGTATTGTGAGTACTCCATCGACGCGGACATGTTACGTATTTCAAAATTCACATGATTTTAGATTGGTAAGGAAAGGACAGGACGGCTATAATTCAACATCTGCAAATAAATAAAAATACATTATTCAGCAGTTATATACATGTACAAGACTATATGTATAATTTGATCTTATATGTATCTTTGGAATATGATTTATTCAATGCGGATGTTCAACCCACTATGTCCTTATTCATCTGCTATTCAGAGCGCATGTGTGTCGCATTTTGAATCGTGCAAAATTTATGAAGGATCAAACGCCAAATATTTCATCAAAATTATTTTCAAAACACATTTGAGAAGCAAAAGTTGCATGTCATTGTAAAAAAAAATCATTTAAATAAACGCGTACTTACATTCATTGGGGATGTAACGATCCAAAATGTGGAATAGACATCAGCGTTTCACGAGTCTAGAAAACAAAATGGCGTTATCGATCTACACAGCTGGACAGGTTCTTTGTTTCAGTTCGCGCCAGTAATTTAATACCAAAGTGGTGAGCATGTTTTGGACATTGATAAGCTCGGACATTGAGGTTTTGAGGTCAAACCACATTCAAATAGCTACCGCGCCCTTGCATCCGATTTGTTTTTACATGCATGCATGTACTGAGTAAAATAAATGCATTTATTGTCACATCTTAATCAAACACAATTTATGTAGTATTTTGTAATGAACATTCGTAATTAATTATTCTTTTTTCAAACATGATTATATTAACAACACATTCAAATAATTATTGCATAAATGACAGCAACTATTTCGTCAAACTATCATTGGTTATACAACGTCAATCTGACGTTGAAAATAAGTTGTGATTTCAACGTCTTCTTTTCAACGTCATATGACGTTGTTATTTGGTTGATCAACGTCATAAACCAAGATCAACATATTTTCAATGTTGGTACAATGTTGTATGCCTGCTGGGGATCCTCATCTCTCGCGTCATTCTTCGTTTGAGCGAAAATAAATGAGAAACAGACAGAGCTTCAAGAGCATAGCAAGCGACTCTCGCGAAGTTCACTTGTAGGATTCATGCCTGTTTCCCTAAATTTGATAAAATTGCAGACTCCTGTAGAGAGAGTTTGCTAAAGATGCATATTTAGTGCATTCACCCAGCCAGGCATCGTCTCAAGCCACGGTCTATATCCGCTCATAGCTCTCTCCTACTCTCTCCAGAATGGGAGAGGATTGTACATTTGGGCATGGTTTGCAACGATGCAAGCCAGGCAATCTAACAGTTAATTGTTGATTTATGAGTTTTAAATTCTGAAAAAAAATTATGGGCTTTGTTTAATGTAAATAATTTTGGTTGTAACGCGTCATTATTGATAATTTAGTTAATATCATGTAACCTGTGTTACCTACATCACAATGGCATATGTCAAAAACATGGTATCAGGTCCGTTCGCCATATCTAACTGTTCGCATGAGTCTGTTCGCGCAGGGTCCGTTCGCCATAATTCTCGTTCGCCCTACACCCCGTTCGCCATACATCCCGTTCGCCCTATTGGTGATATTTTATGTCATCATTATTGTTGATTTTTTTTTTTTTTTATTAAATAGAACTAGTAAAATATTTAATATATTTCCTTTCCATCAGTATTGACTTTATTTCCGATTTTAATGTTTATAAAAGACGTAATCAGTTTAATTGCTGTTAATTTAGTACGGTAAATTAGGGAATACTTTCATTGTTTTGTTTTGTTATTTAAGATTCGTATTAAATGTATGTTTTAATAATAATAAAGGAAATTGAGGGTGATCATGTTGATAGGCCATTTTAATTAGGGATGAGCTGCGTCGGAGCAACATGTTTATTACTTATCCTTTATTCTCAACTGAATATAACATTATAAAACATTATTAATAAATTAACGAGTATCACATCGATTACTTAAGAGTTTCTTTTTATTTCTTCATCTATATTGAAAGTTCAAGTATTGGGGATATAATAAATTGTAATCTAAATAGAAAAATTCATGAAATTCAATCAAATCAAAGGAAATTACGAAAAATTAACCGACTAACATATAGAGGACAAACAGACTTTGGGCGAACAAGTTTTAGAGCGAATGGACTCTGGGCGAACGAGAATTAGGGCGAACAGCATCAAGGGCGAACCCATTTTAGGGCGAACGAACATACAACCCAAAAACATATCAATCTGCTTGACGTTACATTTACAATATGTACAGTTTGAAGGCATTTTTGAAGGAGAAATTGTCTTAGTTTCTATGCTTAATGATGGAAAATCAATTTTCGCGGTTCATTAAGCATAACCTGCCCTAATCCAGGTTATACAGTATAACTTGGGTAACTTAAATTCATTCCTTAAATATTTACATTTTAAAATTTCTTTGTCTGAGATAAAACTACAAATAGTAAAAATACTTCTTTTCTACATTAAGCACTAGTTCATTGATAGGCGTGGTTAAAAAAAAAATCATGTGCGGGGCGGAACAGAGAGAGACGGAAGTGGGGCTTGTAGCAGGTGAATTTGCGGAATCAAGAGCATGTAAATATAAGGAATAACTCGGAATTTTTTGGTTTCATGATGATGATCAAGCGACTGGCTTAAAAATTTATAAAAATTTGGATTGAAACTCGTATTTTTATTTATTTTCTTAATCAAATGATGTAAAATGTTTGTCCAATAATATTTTTTAAACTTAATGTTAGCTACTAAAATGTAATGTAAATCATATACATTATGCATACATATTAATAGTGCTTGATACGCATGCAGGCATGTACATTGTTTTTCAAAAAGGGGAAAGGGGCAGTCAGAAAAAAAGGTATACTATGTAAGATTAAAATTCCTGGGAAAAAATTCAGTTAGTGCCAATTGGTCAGATCTTGCACTCTTGATGTCATCCTTTAACAGTCCTGAAAATGGGTAAAAGAAGGGGATGGGGGAGGGGGGATCACTAGATATTCAATTTTCATGTGGAGCTTCCCTTTATATAAAAAAGGCTTTATTAGTGTTAATTATTGATAATTAACAAGATGGTTCAACAAATAAATAGTTGCAAATAAAGTAACATATGTATATACAATATAAAACATTTATTAAAAAAGAACAATGTAATTCTATACAAACATAACTCAATTATTTGCATAATCAAGAATATAATCTATGAAATCTTGGGTGCGTATCATTACCGCTACATTTTCAAAATTGTCATTACCGCTACATACTCATTACCGCTACAAAAAAGGTTACATTACCGTTACATTTAAAAGTATACATTACCGTTACATTGCCTCTTTCGGTAGCCAGCGGATTATGCTCGTACAGATTGATTTAAAATACAACATATACATGTATATGCATAAGACCTGTTTCCCAGGCCCTGCTCACCAAGGGGAGATGAAAATATAAGACTTTGATCAGAATGTTTTGGGGTTTTTTTTTTTAAATTTTATTTAAAATTTACTTATTTAATAAAAAAAAAAATTAGAAAGGTGTTAAAACCGAGCTTTGTTCATGGATAAAACACACAGTCTTTACATAATTGGTAGACCTTTGAAGGCAATAGGCTTGATGTACTGCTGTCTGGAAATCTCTTATATGAATTATAATGAACAGAACATACTACATGTAGTATTCCGTATCATTGCTGGCTGATTTGATATGTAGCAGTAATGAGCTGTAATCGGCAATAGTCTTATTGATAAAATGTAGTGGTAATGATCACCCGAAATTTCGAAGAAATGTAGCAGTAATGAGTCGAAATTTTTCGCAATGTAGCAGTAATGTTGACCTCACGAAATCTTCCAGACATATTATTTGAAGTGCAAAATGATTTTGGACTGATATTGCAGTCCATCTATTTTGAAAGTGTGTCAGTTATTTTGCTTTTGAATACAACCTCATTTCGCCCAAATGATGAATATCTATTTAAAATAGAAAATGATATACTATGGGGTAACTGTTCTGAGATTTGGGGTTTGATTAGGATATCATGGTAAAACTTGAAAACCAGTCAGTTTTGTTGAAAAGGTGATGAAGTGAAAAAGTGACCTTGACCCAAAACATAAAGTATTCATTTTTAAAATTTCAAATAAATTGCATGTATTAAGGTAGAACCTATGTCGGAAAAGTCTTTGTCACAAGATTTTCAAACTTTTCAAAATGATAAATTAGCACTCGCTTGTCAATCAGATAAAAATATATGGTATGTTTCCTTGTAATTAAATGTAGTACAGCCTGTGCAAGTTGGAATGATAATTTTACACTGCGACTACATATTTTCAGCCATTTTTAGGGGTACTGGTCATAATGAGAATATAGAAAATGACAACAATACTTCTTCAAACATCGTCTTTTATAGACTTTATCAATTGAACCGTATTAAGCAATATTATTCAACAATAAATTCTTTTTTATTCAATTGACATAAAAGATTAAGTCCACATTTCAACGATTATAGGCAAATGTGCTCAATATTTTTTTGAGTCAATTTACCACCTAAATTTGTATATATTTTTCAAAAGTCTTTGTCAGAATGTTTTCAATCTTTAATATGGTGAAGAAGATACACAAATAATTACAAAAAGTGATTAAAATATATACCTTTCGCCACAAACGAATGAGAGACACTCTATTTATCAATACTTCTTTTGTTGACCTTTCTGCACTAACACAGGATTTAATTATTAACTGACTGTTTTGCGGTTGTATCAGATTTACAATGTAAATATTTATCAAAAAATGTAATTTTTTCTATTTAAAAAGATATTTTAGGGAATCATTATTATTATACACCAACCATTATGAATAATTAACAAATAATTATGAAAGGGAATGTACATCATTTCATGATAGACATTACAAAATTTACACACAATATTTAACAGATCTTTGACTTGGAGACATTTTTATCAAGATATTGTACTATTTAGATTTCTTAGGTTTTTTGATTTCCTTCAAAATAGTTGCATGCCATTCACATTATCACAGTTGTGTAACTTCATTACAAGAGACATTCTTGGAGAAAGTACGGGGAAAAGTAACATTAAATTAATTATGACGTCATAATGGATCTAGCATCAAAAAGACGGTCTAAACGGATTTACTTGATATGACGTCATACGACGTAGGTTCTACGTTAACTGTAAAACAGTCTTTGGAAAAAGTATAAAAAGGAAGTACTGTAAACCAACTTTTATTCGCATGCGAAAAATATCTGCGAGTTTCGCGAAATACTTTACCTAGCGAACATTAATCACCGTGAACCATTTATTTTGCTTCGTTTTCATAGAGAATATATCCTCAGTTGCGAAAATTAGTCATTGCAGATTGATTTCAAAGTGACAAATCGCAAATAAAAGATGACGTGAATAATAGCTGGTTTACAGTGTATGGATGTATCTTTATATAATACACCTGTGTAAGCTGTAAAAATGTCAATTTATTAATTTCTGTCCAAAAGACTTCGCAGTGCTCATGTTTCACTGGTACAAAACAGAAAAAAAAGTTATTAAGAGGTCATTGCTATAAAATGAACACATTAAGCTCACTTTCATCTTCAAGATTAATGTGTGACTCAGCCACATTCCATGGAAAATAAATTTACAGGTTTGCCAAAGATTTAAGTATCAGCAAGGATGAATAACTGAGCATGTATTGTTCAAGAATAGTTTCTTCCAAAAATGACCAAAATTGTCTGTTGCTTTGATCTGAAAGTATCCATTTCAAAGAAAAGGGTTTGTTATGCCTATACACCGTGTATATAAATCCACTTTGACTCTATCATTGTAATGCAGAAACCATTGTAACTCCACAACTGATAATACGAAACAATATCACTACATATATAGAGGAGTAAACATGATTATTAAATTGTGATGTAACTTTATAGATGTTCATAATTGACATGTACAGTATATATAACTTCTTTGTAGAGATTGGGACTATGAGTGTGCTGTACTTCGAGTTGTTTCCTGCCTTTTGATTCTCTGTATTATACTTTTCCAGACATATGTGGATTACAAGGCATTTCGGGTGAGTTGCCCTTTAGTGCTATACATGACAATTGTTTTAATGTAAAAAAAGGAATGAAAAATAGCATAATGATCAACCTGACCCCCAAAAATTGAACTTTCACCTTTAGGGCCGTTTGTCACTCGAGACTAACCTTAGTATCCTGTGTGGCTTTGAAATTTGTTTTAGCAGAAATCTTTAATTAAAAGGTTTATGCTCTAATATTGAAAAAAAAATCTCAATTTATAGTGGATTGAAAGGTCTATACATGTATGTATGATCTAAGGATGCATACTTCAATAGAAATCTTTCTCAAGATGCTATATTAATCTTTCTTAGAATGCTGATTTTACCAAATGTGTATCAAATTATCATGACATTCCATACAGTGTACTAACATTTATGGAGATGAGCTGCAATTTATAATTGATGATTTTTTATGTTATTTGTAGATGCTGGAATTCTCAGAAGATGATTATGATGAATTACTTCCCCTTGGTTCTTCCTGCTCCCCAGACACTATTTTTGTGTGGCCTTCTAAGGGACATGGAGATTTGTGGACATGGGAACCTGCAGACAGAACACTTAAAGTCAATACAACATTATTTATTAGATGACATGCCATTTATTTTACATGTATTTTAGATATTTTGATATTTATCATAAAATTTTTCAAGTATATTTTCAGATCATACTTGGCTGTGAGTTCAGTTGTTTTACACTGACAATTTTTTTTAAAGATTTATTTATTTTTAGTCTCATGCATTAGCAGGCCTCAAACTGGAGTCATACAGTTACATGTGTGTACAATGTATGTATTCTGACAGAGATAATTTTTAGAATTTTATTAATGCATTACACTTGATCTTATTTTTACATAAAAAGTCAAAGAGCAGGTGTTGCCACCATGCTTCCAGTGTAGAATTTTTTTTTATAGCTAGGTTTAAGTTTGACCAAAGAGCCAATTGAGGCTTTTGTTGGTGTAAAGATTTCTTGCCTTATTTTTCTGTACACTACAGCAGTATATGTATTGGTGCCTGGAAACTTTTCCTTACTTGTTTAAATGTTTAATATTGTACAAAAAATGTACATTTAATATGTATTTAAGCAATTGATTTGTTGGTGCTGTTACATACAAAGTCAATAAATTGTGTCCTTGATATATGAATTTGTATTATTCTAACTTTTATTTATACAGTATGCAACATGTTTGATGTGATAGTTTTAAAATTTTGTAGAGTTGAACATGTTATGTAGAAAATTCAGGCTTACTTTCTGGAATTTTCAAAATTGTTCAGTATTTCTGTACATTCCTTTTTTCAAATGGAATTAAAGTTGTAAAATATTTGTGATACTGTGATGTACTTGTTTGAAATCACATTTGAAATTATAGTCAAAAAAATTGATACCAGAAAATGGTATAAATATTCCAACAGCTTTTAATGAATTACTGCTCTTTTGCAGGGCAAATTAGTATGGTTTGGTGAACTTTTAGTTGTTAGATGACATTTATAAACAATTGATGTTACGTCATATTTTACCAAACTACAGTAAAATCTGTCTAATCTGACACCTTTGTAATCCAGTTTACAGTGAATGCTGCCCCTTATTTTGATTCCCACTATTTTCCATGTTCTTTATCCTGTGTAATCTGACACCCTGTCTATTCCGACTCCAATTTTGTATACCGGTGTATGTCGGAAACTCCGAATAGAATGGTTTCACTGTATATCAGTTTACCCTGTAAAAGAGCAGTCCTAAGGTTATTGTGAAACAGTCTATTTTAATGCATTACTAATTGTTCAGTCAATAAATGAATTAATGAAGAAAAATGACTGTTTAAATTCTTTTTAGGGATGTAGTATTGTATTGTCACATGAAGTGCTTTTTATGGTTCAGTGTGCTGCATGAAATACAATCATGTCATCTATTCTTTGTCAGAATTCTGTAAAAGAGAGAACTAGAGGTAGCGTGAGCACCGGACTTACAAAATGATGCCCCGTCCCATATGAGTATAATGGCAAAGTCCATGTCTCGATATGGGAAACCAAAATATGTGTTCAATCAAAAGGTAAAATATAGTAGGTGCTCAAGGGAACTGTTTGAAAAACATTCGATGAAAGTCTCATTAAATTTTATTCAGTGGTTGCGGGTAAAAGATGGGTACTAGTATCTCCAATATTATAGAAACAATGGCAGTGTCCATGTTATATGTTTTGCTATAGGAAACCCAGATATATGTCCAATCAAAACGTAAAATATAGGAGACGCACAATAATAATGTCGTTTACGGAGTTTAATTTGAAAAATAAAAAGTACAGGACCATGATTAATGATAATAAACCCCCCCCCCCCCCAAGAAAAGGTGCATGGGAAACTTTAACAAGTAAAAAATAATTAAAAGACTTTCCTAATTTCGTAATTTTTTTTGTGGGGGGGGGGGGGGTTCCTCTCTCTTTTCGACAAAAAGAAAATTCGAAGAGGGGGGGGGGGGCAACTGGCCTTTAAATGATAATTAACAGAAAACATTTTACTCGGGAAACAGGCACGTAGCATCGGAGGGGGGAAGGCTGTCCCCCAGTTTTATCCCAAACATAACTTCTTTTTTTACTATTGAAAATGTTCATTGAAAGACGGTCCCCCCCCCCCACCACTTTTTGTTGCAGTGTAGTCAAATAAGGATAATGTAGTAGTCTATGAATAGAAGTGGTACTGGAAGAAGTTGGAATCTACAACCCACCACCAATACGAAATAGGATTTTCGTGTTTGGACCATACTTTTTATATTATTTTTATTTTTGCTTGTCAAGTTTTTTTTAAGTTGAATTTTTTTCTCAGGCTGCCCCCTTTCAAAAACGATGTTACGTCCCTGGGAAAAAAGAAGTGAAAGGGGGAGGGGGCAAGCCCTCCTGATAATACCTACATGTACGTGCCTGCTCTTCCTCAACAGAAAGCAAAGGGGCTCAAGACTTCCCCTTCTATTTCCGCCTTTGCTTCTCAGCGTTCGATGTTCCCATACACTAAGTGCAAATATGACGCAGTAATACCAAGTAAATAATAAAAACTGTCAAAATTATTTAATATTAATATATAATAATATTAATAATCCTGAACAGTTGTTATTTTCTCTGATCCTGTTTTCTAAAATAACACAACCTAATTAAATCAGTTTTGAATAATTCACATAATTTTAAATTTAATCCAAACTGAAATGATTTTGTAAATACATCTTTCGAATCTAACACAATGTCCCTGAAACCTGTACGCCATTTGTATAGACCATATCGGTAGAAAAATGAAACAAGGTTCTGAGGTTGTAATCAATGCTTTAAAACATCTATCTATAAGAAAACCTGAAATAGTTATAATCATGGACATTACAATTTTGTGACTTTTAGCTCACCTGAACCGAAGACTCAAGTGAACTTTTCTGAACAAAATTTGTCCTTTGTTGTCGTAAACTGTTAACAATGTGATCTTTTTCTCCAGAACCACCCGACCAATTTCAACTAAACTTGGGACAGAGTATCCTTCGGTAAAGGGAATTCAAGTTTGTTCAAATAAAGGGCAACGTCCTCTTCCAAGGGGAGATGAAAGAAATAGTAAAAATGGGCTGGTGTCATTAAAAATCTTCTCAAAAATCACTGGTCCAGAAAAGAAACTTATTTGAAGGCCTTTCTGACATAGTGTAAATTCAAGTTTGTTCAAATCATGACCCTCAGGGGTAGGGTGGGGCCACTATGGGTGAACAAAGTTTTACATGAATATATATAGGAAATTTTTTTTTAAAAAGATTCTACTTAAGAACACCAAAGCCATAATAGGTCATATTTAAATATGGAAGCATCCTCAAGTAGTGTAGATTAAAATTTGTTTAAATAATGACCCTCTGGGGTAGGGTGGGACCACAATAGGTTCAAAGTTTCACATAGGATTACATAGGGGGAAAATATTTAAAAATCTTCTTAGGAACATCAAAGCTACGATAAGTCATATTTATATGGAAGCATTTTCAGGTAGTGTAGATTCAAATTTATTCAAATCTTGACCCACAGAGGTAGAGTGGGGCCACAATGGGCGATCAAAGTTTTACATAGAAATACGTAGGAAAAAAAAGTATCTGCTGAAAAGGTCAAGAAAGGCTATAGCCATTCAGGTGAGCATTATGGCCTCATGCGCCTCTTGTCTTTTGAATAAAAGAAAGTATGTTTATAAATATATATACATATTAAGTACCAACATATAGATAGTAAGCTAAGTGAAATCTGAACATGGTTCATAAAAGGGAGAGAATTTATCTTTGTCCGCCATATTTCTCTTCATTTGGCAATATTTCTAGAGCCCCCATATAAGCCGTTCACTTGGTCACGATTCAAATGCTTTTTTAGGTCGTACATTACATTGCCAATGTACATGTAAAATACCCGGTAGAGACAAAAGTAACTACTGCATGCTTATTCCACGACAGGAGAAAAATTTACCAAAGAGAAAGAACGTCAGTTGCATAGGTCAAATGCAATTTCAAACCAAGACAATGTAAGTGTAAACTACGTGCCGTCCATTCCATTCAGGTATCCAGAAAGCAATTAGGTGTAACGAATGGTAAGTGTATATACTGCAGTGCTAATAAACTAATATGGTGAATGGCTATTTACTGGTTCAGCTTAAATTTAAAGGTACGTTTGTACCCGAATATAACGCTGAGTATATCTGCCAATAGTAAATGGTCAAGCTCCTAATAACTAGTAAACACAAACACACAAACAAGTGGACACTCATACATGGATAACACGAACGTTAATGATTTAAACTGAAACAAAAGCAATGGTTACATTCAATATATCTGATATGACGTCTGTCTTTGATAAAAGATACTCTGCATATGCATATCATTTAAGGTCATCAATGAAGGGTCATAAAGGGTCATGATATAGGACAAACAAAACAATCAGTATTAACCTGTGGCGACAGATTTAAGGTGAGTGATTTTTATGTCCTTTGTACACACCGATAATAATGGCTCATGGCAAATGAGAGTGTGATTAGAGAAGGTGAAATTTCAAATCGATGAGGACCCTAATACGCGGGGGAGGGGCTCTATAACCTTTCTTTGGATTTTTGAATTTCTTATACAAAACGTAACCAAAATTTAGCAAAGGATATTTTGCAAAGTTTAGTTGTCTTGGAAATTTATACAGGAAATGATAAAGTATTCATATTTTACATAAGTATTTAAAAAATAAATAACGCATTTGTTATATCATGTATATATGAAAGTTATGCATTAAATGTTTGATACATCTGATCTGCCTATAATGTGTGGATCAAATACACTTGTTAAGATTTTGGTCAGTATATATATTTAATAGTACATTTTCATCGATAGTTTGGACTTAATATATTGCAGGCTTTTGCTTAGGCGATTAGCTGCAGAACTGTAGCGTTATGGTTTTATATTCTAGTCTTTGACCGTAACGCTACAGATCCCGTAATGCAAATATGGTGCAATTTACGCTGCAAGATTTTTTGCGCACTTTAGAAATGTATTTCGCCGCTTTCCAACACTGGTCAATCAGCGACCTTTCATTCCCTAATAATAGACATATTTTATAACAAACCTGTATATTTTATCCACCTCCTAACCCTTTCTAGTCGTCTCTACAGACCAATAAACTATCTTCTTGTGATTTTGTTTTGATGGCATAACATTCTATTGGTCAGTAGAGACGACTAGAAAGGGTAAGGAGATGGATAAAATATACAGATTGGTTATAGAATATGTCTAGAATTAGGGAATGAAACTAAGGTAGTTGACTGACCAATGCTAGAAAGTGGTAAAATACATCCCCCAAAGTGCACAGAAAATCTTGCGCCGTAAATTGCACCATATTTGCATTACCAGCTGATTACGGGATTTCTAGCGTTATGGTCAGACTAAAATAAAAAACCATAAAGCTATACAGTTCTGCAGCTTTTAGGCGATCTGCTTAAACTCTTGTCAACCTGTCGAATACTGACCTATATACATGTATGTATCATATTTACTTTACATCAGAGAATGTTATAGGATCAAAGAAAACAGTAAACATAGAGAATGTAAAGATTATACATTCCAAAGTCAAAATGTTTTAGAACATCACTTGTAGTTTGTAAAAGATGACTACGGATGAGAACAATAATTACGTGGCATTTGTGGTCGGTTACACCGGGGAAACGGGGAAAGAAGTAGTCAAAGCACTGTCACTGACGGATTCCTTCAAACGGATCCTGTTAATCGGAAGACGTCAAACCAATGTCGCAGACAGTCTCGGACAAAAATTCGTACGTTCAATTTCAGGTGACATTTTAAGAGATCAAGATTTTTTTTTCTTATCAATTATGTAATTTGTTTTGTTGGTTTTCAGGAAGAAAAGATAGTGGACTTTGATAATCTGGAAGAGTATACTGAGGTCTTTGCAGGATGTGATGTCGGTTTTAATTGCTTAGGAACTACTCGATCTAAAAGTGGTGGAAAAGTAAGACTTATGAGGCAATTCTTTTTCGTTTTATTTGTGATTTATTTGCATGTGCAATAAGTGCACATATTGTGAAGAGCATGACAGGGTCGGTCAGGGATAAAAGACACTTTCTAATTTTAGGAAGGTTTTTACAAAGTTGACCACGACTATGTAATGAAGACGGCTGAGCTTGCCAAAGGCAATGGGTGTAAACGTTTCCTTCACGTGTCGTCCCAAGGAAGCGACAAAAACAGCTGTTTATTCTACACTCAGACGAAGGTAGAAAGAAAGAAAAAGCTTGTTTTTCTCAGGACATACATTAGTCTACTCCTATTTGAATCATCGCTATGTTATATTTTAAAAGAAATTTTAAAGAAAAAAAAATTTCAATGGCGAATAACCTGTCAATGCTGTAGGAATCTTTTGTAGGGGGTTGTGGAAGACGAGCTTCAGAATTTACAATTCGAACATTTATCAATATTTCGCCCTGGGTGAGTGTCAGCTTGTGATTACACTATATTACACTATAACTATTGTTATTTGTCATAAGTGCATAGCAATATATGTGCAAAATATCAAATCCATAATGATACCTCTTAAAGATCTCAAGACAGACGCCTGACCCTTATGTGTCCTTTTGCTCTGCAGGCGACACAAAAATGCAGACATGCACTGGACCAAGGCTATTTTGATGACATTCGTACTAAAGCACAGATATTACTCAATACTGCATGGTCTTATAGGGGCGTCAGTTTAATTGTTAGCGTATTTCACTTTGCCTCATACAAAGGATTTTATTTAAAAATGAACATTTTGACCCGGAAAGTTAAGACATCCAGTTAACATTCCTGTGCATTGCACAGCTTGTAAATGAATTCAACGAACATTGCAGTACATGGTAGCAGACTAATAATTACTTCTTCAGGTTTCTGCTCTGTGACCGCCAAGAGCGTCGGTTTGGCGAGAAGTTTGCCCAGTGCCTAATTTCGCCATGCCTCTGCTGCTGTGCCAAATATATTGGAGTGCCGACAGAAACTCTAGCAATAGCTATGGTGAGGAGGGCCTGCAAGCCGAACGGCCAAGTGGAAATCATTGACAATCCAACCATTCATTATATTGCTTCTTGAACATGAATGTTACTGTTATATTTATCATCCTAGTCATATCTTATTTAAATGAGGGTAAAGACATGAAATTCATATTCAATGTTATACACACCAAAGTATTCTATAAAATTTTGTTATTCTGTGGAAGGCTCGAGGTGATCCGGATGGCATTGGGACGGTACACGATTACATATATTGTAAATTTTGAATTACTGGGTGGAAGGTTAATTCAAAATTAACAACATTGTAGTTGCGTGAAAAAAAAACATTACTGATAAAAACAAAAGTAATCTTAGTGCTGATATTTCTCTCCAAAGTGTAAAAACTAACTGAAAGTCATAATCTGGGAATCCATTTTTTGCAATGTATAACCTTGACCTTTGGACCTCAAAATCAAGAGGAATCTTCTTTAAGTCAATGGAAGTTATTCATGTACATGTATATATAATTTCATTGAAAAAAGCTATAAAGATAAGTAAAGTTATCATAATGTACTATCAGAGGTGGAATACCTTAATTTTACCTTGACCTTTGATCTTTTAACTCTGACATCGATGAGCTTCCTCCAGTTGTCATGTAGTTTTTATTGCTAGTAGTCATGTGGGTAAGTAAAATAGCCATTGAAACTTCATCTGGAAGTCATCTTTTTCCAATGTATGAAATTCTGACCTTGACCTTTTTACCTCAAAATTAAAAAAAAGACCATGGGAAGTTGTAAAAATTTTATTGCAAAAGTAAAAGACTTTTGGAGATATCGTCCGGAAACGAAAGTGCTACAGACAGAATGTATGAATACTTGACCTTCAACTTTTTGACCTAAAAAACAAAAGGGGCCTTCTTCAGGCCATAAGGAGTTATGATACAAAATTTCGTTGCAAAAGGCACAAAGGCTAGTTTAGAGATATCATACGAAAACAAAAGTATTACACACAAACAGAATGACAGACGAGCGGTCAGACCATAATTAATATTCCCAACTTTCATTGAAAGACGTGGAAATATATAATTATTGCTGTTTTTGAGGTCAATGCGATGATTTAGCAACCCTCGAATTACAATATTCACCTCATTCGATTAAGCTACCTAAGGAGTACATTCACGGAGCTTGAGGGACGGTTGAATATTGTATGGTGGCTAAATCATTGTATTCACCCCCCCCCCCACCCCCCCCCCCCCCCGCTGCAAAATGATTTGTTCACCTGAAAGTCGGATGCCGATGAAATTACTTAATAATCACTTGAAACAATAGAAATCCTCGATCTATTTTTGGTCCATTGTAGAACAAGAGCCCCATGGGCCACAACGCTCATGTGAGTAACTTTGGCCCTGATGTTCTTCACCAGACCCCCCCCCCCTTGTAATACCTATTGTGGCCCCACCCTACCCCCCGGGGGTCATGATTCGAAGAATTTAATATCTACACCACCCAGGATGCTTCCACATAAGCTTCAGCTTTTCTGCCCGGAGGTTCTTGAGGAGAAGATTTTTAAAGATTTTTCTATATATCTCAATGTAAAACTTGGAATCACTATTGTGGCCCCATACTACCCCCAGGTTTCATGATTTCAAGAATTTAAAATCTACACTACCCCAGGATGGTTCCACATAAGTTTCAGCATTTCTGGCCCAGTGGTTCTTGAGAAGATTTTAAAAGATCTTTGCTATATATTTCAATGTAAAATTTGGAATCCCTATTGTGGCCCCGCCCTACCCCTGGGGGGTCATGATTTGAACAATGTAGAATCTACACTACCCTAGGATGCTTTCGTATAAGTTTCAGCTTTTCTGGCCCAGTGGTTCTCGAGAAGATTTTTTAATGACCCTACCCTATTTTTGTCTTTTCTTGATTATCTCCCCTTGTAAGGGGCTTGGCCCATCATTTTAATAATGTAAACTTCCCATCACCCAAAGATGCTTTGTAATAACTTTGGTTAAAATTGGCCCAGTGGTTCTTGAGAAGTTTAAAATGTGAAAAGTTTACAGACGAATGGACGGACAGACGGACGGACAACAGGTGATCAGAAAAGCTCACTTGAGCTTTCAGCTCAGGTGAGCTAAAAAAAGTAAATAAATGTTATGTTCACCTGGAAGGCTGGGTGCAGGTGAAATAATTGTATCAATCTGAAAGTTCTCGATCTATTTTTATCTGGAATATCACGTGCAGGTGAACATAACTTTGGATGATTTTTAGATTGTTTGATCTCACTCAGCCGAGAGCTCGGAATCATTCAATCATATACATTGTGTATAATAAATAGAAAAATCTCTCCCTCTTGATTATCTGGACAAATCAAAAGATTGCGTGGGAAGAAAAAACAAATCTAGATGTAAAGTAATATTATTTTTAATAAAATTTGATATTTTATATGTCTGTACTTCTAAAAAAAGCTATAGCCACAGAGTATTATGAAATTATCTCCCACAATTGTTGGAAAAATCCGGAGTTTTGCACTTCGTAGAATCTGTTAATTTAAAGATGGCTGCCGTTTTTATGCTTGCCTCGTTGTTCTGAGGAAGAACACGTTTAGCCTTTGCTCTTCTTGCATTTCTTAGTTTGACGGCTTGCATCTCAATTTTGTTCAGGTATGCTTTCTTGCCATTTGTCATGATGTCAGCTTTCTTCAGAAGAACAGCTTCTGTTTTTTGCCTATTCTGTTCTTGCTTCATGTATTGTGTATTTAGCATGTTTTCCTTGTGCCGAATACGCGCTTCTAAAATTTTCATATCCACTTGTCTTCCTTCATCACGAAGCTTTGCACAGTCTTTCGGTTCATAAAGATTTTTCGTTCTTTCGACGTGCATCTCCCTTCTGTCCAGCATTTTGGTTCTCTTGACTGGATCCTGAATAGCCGAACATAGCTCGTCGAAGAAGGCCTGAGGTAGGTTTCCACTAAATAAAAGTTTGACAAGAAATGGGGTTCCATAGGACCACAGGTTTGAAAAATTTCCCGGCAATTTCCGCCTCTGATTGCATTGGACCTGCAGCTGTGATATAGGTGGGAATCGGTTTTGAAAGGATTTTGAATTGACATGAACTTCTGTAGATAGAGTCTCAACTGTCAATTCATCGAGTCTGCATCTATCTAATTCATTTAATGGTAGTTTGAATCCTGGAATTAATAAAGACGGCAGTGGTTGACAAGTAGCCATGGTGGAGCGTCTGCAATGTGTACGTCACAGTACATTGTTATGTAGATCGAAACAAAAACGTCATAATAGATGACGTCGATATATTGTATAGTATACCATTTTGACCTGCGGTCTCTTGAAAAACCACTCTTGTGTTACAGCAAAAGTATTTTTAACAAATTGCACCCATGGTTCAAACCTAACGATGATGCAATACATCAACCTCTCCTTCCTTTTCTGTCTAAGAAGTATGCAGCGTAAACTGGCAATCGACTGAAAAAAAACCCTCTAAAATGACCAAAAAGTGATGGGGCTAACTTCCCACAATAATCTGACAAGCAAAAAAAAAACAAACAAACAAACCAAAAAAAAAAAAACCAAAAAAAAACCAAAAAAAAAAAAAAAAAAACCAAACGAAAAAACCCACGTAATTAACTGTTCAAATCCAGGCCCCGAGACCATGAAACATCTTAAGCTTAAGTCTAAATCTTTATGTTCTACTTAATGTTGTAGAAGTCATGCAGACCAAAATTAAAATGTTCTTCAACATTGATTTACAAAAAGTCTTTGTTATCTGCAAATTTAGGGAATAATTCAATAATTAATGAACATTTTATAGGCGATTGAAAATTTGACTTTAGTCTAAGTCTGTTTCATGATCCTGAAGCCTGAAATTTGCCAGTGGTCGACCTTACTGCAACAGAAAAAGTGTGGGGGGGGGGGGGGGGTCACCCAAATGGTATGTGCTTATTGCGGGCAGAGAATTTTGATTGGCTAAAATCTGTTTCTAAAATTACATCCGGAAAAATATCGCACTGTTTTTATGGAAAATGAGACATAAACAAATGTTATTTATTCACTGCAATATTTAATTCTAACCCCACTCATTTTTTAATGTTGCTGTCTGCCCGGGATTAGAACATACCATTTCATGGTGTCATTCGACTTATCCACTCGGCGAGCAGAGTTTTGACGCTGTTTTTGGAGACAAAAGAAAACTAAGACAAGCATGCCATAAGTGGTTGTGTAGATAAATTATTGTGGAAGACAGTAGTAATAAATAGTTTCCCAGTGTATTTCCTCTGAAAGTGTAAATGAATGCGATTCTGGGGAGGGGGGGGGGGGGTACTCCATGTAATTCGGAGCTGAATACCTTGTGTTTTTATTATACTATGGTTTAATTTTTTTTACCGAAACATGTGCCTGTGGCTCAAACTACAAGATAAATGTTGTCTATAAAGAACACCAAAATAACTAAAATCCACTTTTTGAAACACCTTTAATCCCTCTGTAATTCCCTTTTGTTCTTTGTTAGTCTTGTACACAGACCTTTATATCGCTTTAATCCGACTTACAAAAAATTTGGGGTGTAAAAAAAGATGAAAGTATGGAACTCCTTACATAGGGTACACAATATCGCCAATGAAATACTTTTAAATCAAATGATCTATAATTTTACTTTTTATTTATAACCATTCACATATCAATTTTTAATACCCCAAATTTTTTGTACGTTGGATTGAAGCAATCTAAAGGACTGGTCTTGAAGAAACCTCAAATAATTCTTTCCCAAATTTCAAATTTTATAAAAGAATCTTGTTCTAGGCGACCGTAAAAGGAGTGAATTAAAAAAAAAAGAAGTCAGATAAACTTTAGAAGGAGTTGGATTTATTTTGACAAATTGTGTGTACAAACAATTTGATCCAATAAATTAATCCATCACCACTCATCCAAATATGTAGTCGATTGTAAAGCTTAATTCGATCTGATTGTATCATTTGGTTGACAGATGGACTAGAACAAATCAGCGCCCTAACATTTTGACACAGCCCTGACATCCAACCCATCTATCATTTACATACTGTTAATCGTCTTTATACCTATAACATTTACCACCTTGGAACTTCGCGTAGAGTATAAACTATTCTCTTTAGAGAAGTGGACCGACTTTCGCCTACATGAGTACAAACTAGAAGTGTCCTGTAATGTGCTTACAGCCAAATCTAGACATCTCGGACACGTAGGGTCTGTCCAAAACCTTCATAATTAAGTTCTAAATATTGAAGTTGAGACTACGCTCTCGATTGCCTACTTAGACATAACGCTGATATTTAAAATGTTCAAGAAATCCAAGTTAGACTGTAGAGTTGTAGAAGTTCGGGCTTTACGGACCGTGGATAACGGCCTGGATAGCTCAGTGGTTAGAGCACCTGACTAGTAATGCAAGGTTCCCGGGTTCGATTCCCGGTCCAGCCATGTATTTTTTTCATGCATTTCTCCTTTCCTACTACAGAGTAATAATTTTTAGTTTTTAAGTCCTGATCATGTAAGCTCAAAATCTATAGGTGTCTCTAATCATTTTACTGCTATGCAGTGAATATGAAGATTCTGTGCGCAAATTATTGTGTGCTCTTAACAATATTAAATATTTTCTCTCGGCATTCTCCACTTCTGCAGCAAGAAACCTGGAGTAATGCATCACATTTTTTTTACCTTGATTTTTTAGCTATGACTAAATGAGCCCTACATCTACACTACAGTCAACCTTTTCTCTAAGCAACCAATACGAGACCAAATTTATACTAGAGAGCTTGTTACATCAATATTCAGTATTTATGACCTTGATCAATTGACCTTTAACCTTCTATCACCTACATTGAACTTATTCTTTATCTATTTTAATGGACACAGTGATTAATTTACAGTGCCTATATTGTACAGCTGTCAGACCACTGGTGCATGAAGTGAAAGGTTCGAACAGATGTTTACTATCTCAAATAAAAAGTTTGAAACTTTCTGATACTTTCTTGAAATTGTCTTCACGATCAGTTCCAACTTTCAAAAAAAAAAGTCTTGAATACATCACCCATTTTCACTTACTTAACATTGGTAAAACAATAGTAAGAAATTAAGTGTATTGCAAAATTTTTTATTTGCAGATCTAATAAAAGTCCATTGTTATATACATTAACTTTGTAAATCACATAAATACACATTTAATACATCACTGGTTATTATCTTTACTACTGTCTGTATGTGCTGTGGGACTAGTCTTTTCTCTTAGCTCTGTTCCCTCTGACACTGAAGATTCTGACACAGTAGTCATGTTTTGAACATTATTCAAGTCAGAAACCTGAGAGGGTTGACTAACATTAACAACTTGTACATTCGTGTTTGATAGGTCAGCTGCAGATGCACTCACATCAGTTGCTGGTGGTAAAGCAACATGAACAGCAGATGGATTCTGAGAAGCAGACTGTACATGGCTTGCTGGAACATTTGAAACCAAGTTTGTCACAGTTTGAACAACAGAAGTCTCTATTCTGGAGGAACTTTCCACAGATGTAACACTTGCTGGAGAACTTACATTTGATGTAGCTAAAGGATGATTAACACTTGGAGAAGCTGGAGGGGTACAGCTGGGATATCCTGAAGAAATGGGAGTGGGTCCTTGCCGAGAAGGTATATGTTCCTGGCCAGGATGAGAAGGTGGCCTAGATGGAGGTCTAGATACACCTGGTGAACCTTGGCGAGGTGAGTACCGTCCAGGAGATGGTCCAGCTGTTTGTGATGGACTAGCTTGTCTTGGAGAATATCGCCCTGGAGAGGGCGTTGTAGACTGCCTAGGGGACATCTGGTTTTGTGATGTTCCTCGAGGTGCACCACCAAAAGCAGCTTGTCTGGGTGACATCCTTCCATGAACCTGGTTATATGCATTAACATAAGACAGAGGAATCATTCCCCTGGGAGACATTCTTTCCTGACTATTTGGAGGAGGAAGTTGATGTCCTTGCATAGTTGATACAGGGGGGTATGTTTGGGGTGGCATATGTTGGACATGTGAGGTGACACTTTCTGTTTCTTTAACAATATTTATTGGTGTTGGAGCAGCCTCCACTTCTGAGGCACTGATTTGGGCTTTATCATGAGAATGCACTTGATCGGACTGAACACTTCCTTCAGCTGTTTTTGACGAACTCTCTGTAGTTTGAGGAGCTGAGTCAGATTCCTGAACATGAGCAGCAGAGTCTGTTTGCTGACTTTGAGATGGAGCACTATGTACCTGGGGTAGAGAACATGCAATAGCTGCACTCTGAGGAATACTTTGATGAATCATCACATTCATTGGCAAGATAGGCTCCTCTTGTTGGTCTTCTGTATCAGTGTTTTCACTTTGGTATGAAGGTTGAGCAATAGCTGTAGTGTATGTATTGCTAGGACCAGAGACACATGTTGAAGGAATCGCCAGAGAACTGGTTCCAGGATCCGGTTTCTTTGTTCCCGGTTTCTGGTCATTTACTGTGACAGACGGTGATGTTTCACTACCTTTGGCTTTTCCTGGTGATTTCTCCATGGCCTCGAGTTGATTTCGAGCTGTCAAGCCTGCTGTGTTGTTTAGAATTTCCATAATGCGTTTTTCTGTCTCAGACTGCGGTGTAAACTGGACTGGAGGTCTTGGCTCAGTGGCTCCAACATTGGTTGCTGCTGTGCCTGAAAAGAGAAAAACACAAAATTCAGTTTGAAAGTTCTTTAAAATGCCTTGTAAAGCATGAAACCAATTAAGCTTTGTAGTAACTAAGATAAATCTTGTGGAATCACATTAATTAATGGAGACCAATTTTCATGAACTGCTGAAAATTTCCATGAAGATTCAATTTCATGGGGGGAAATTTCATTAAAATAAAGCTTAGCCTATAGATTAGTGTTTGTTGAGGTTGTGAAAAGGTGGGTAAGGGGTACCCACTAATCCACAAATAATGGTATTACAAACTTGTACATTTCTATAAAAATCATTTTTTGTCTGTAAAGTTCTTTAACAATATAAAATTTGCAAAACTAAAATACAAAGAACTGAAGTTGAACACAAAATATAACTTAATCCAGATTATCAAAAATCTATGTGCCATTTACTAAACAAGAAAGTTTTGACTATGCATGCCATATTTCACACAACAACAATGGAATTCACCAATATACTTATTTGAAAAATATGATACTTTTTTTTTCTAAAGGATAGTATTGGTGTTAAATATCAGGATGGTTAGTTAATGCAGATACTCCCTGAAAGAGATAAATGAAGCATAAAACTGTGTAGATAACAATTAGTTATAACCAAAAAACTTGCAGTTCTTGGTTGTAATGGATTAAAGAACCAGAAACTCTGCTGGTGCTTAAATGTGCCTTATTTTTTTCATTGTCAATGTCTGTAGTACCTGTAACTATTTCTTAAGGTTTAGATTCAAGAACATTTTGGAAGGGAAGGGGGAGGGACCCTTTTCTGAGGGGAAGGTGGGGAGCCTTTTTACTTCTGTTCAAGTGGCTGTAATATTCCTCATTGCCTTAGGCCTCAAGTACCAGAGACTATTTATCCTGTAGCTGAAAGTACTGAACACTCTTACTATGAACTTCAAAATCAGACATTTTTTAATGCAACTTTTTTGGTTCTGGCATTTTCTGTTATCTAAAAATTATGGCCTCATGATACGTTCCTCAAATATCCAATTTTGTATCTCTTTGTAACATACTGAAAATACTTATAATGGAAACACCATCCTCATGTATCTTGCACAAATGCTTGGTTATGCACCTCAGTTTTTTGTGAGGAATCTTGTTTTAGTGGCAATACTTCAATCACAAGTTCTTGGGTAAAGTTATATTGAGGAATGTCTTGTCTGACCTTAAACACAAATGTGTCCATCATGATTGCAAAACAAACTTTCATCTAATATTTTGAAACTTAAGCAACTTTATCAAATTGTCAGAAAAATCTTAGAGAGCTGTTGATAAGTCAGACATGCTGTTTACTGAAATTGGAATTGAATTAATCCCATATTATTAAACAAAATCTTTAGCTGATATAAAACTTTGAATTAAATCACAGAATATATCGATAAATACCAGTGTATAAACACATTTCTCATTCATAATAAAGAAAGTCTCCAAGCATACGGAATCCAGTAAAATCAAGGACTTGCCAAATCTTAGTTGAAATCAGAGTACCTACCCTCAGGGGTACATCAAAGCATGCATCTCAGTAAGTATCCACAGATGCACCATATCTACAAGTTTGGTTTGGATGCCCTTTGGCATAGACCAGAAAAGTGACCTAAAAGCTGAGCTTAACCCCAACAGAAAATGTGATTCCAGTAAACATCACTATTTACAACTTCTTGGCTTGGAGTATATAATTCAGTATTTAAAATATTACTATCCATCTCTCTGTGCAACTGTGTTTGGGCCATAACTTTGTAATTAAGAAACAATGAAAGCTCATACTTGACACAAAGATTGCTTTTTACCTAAAGGTGTGTCATAGCCTTGACCCAAAATCATTCTGGGAAGTTCAAGGTTACTGCCAAGAAAAGTGTAAAATTTCTGTCTGGGCTATAACATTCTAATGGAAAATCTCTGGAAGTTTAAGTCATTCTGGCAAGTTCAATGTCACTAGCAGAAAAAGTGCATTATCCGTATCTAGTTCATAATTCTCCACTGGATAAATATTGGAAGTTTATGCATCAAAGATTACTCATGAACTGAGGGTTTGTCATGACCTTGACCCAAGGTCATTTTGGTAAGTTCAAGGTCACTAGCAGAAAAAGCATAAAATTCATGTCAGATCTGCAACTCTTCCATGGAGAAACATTGGAAATTCACACTTGACACAAAGATTACTTATGACCAGAGGGTATGTCATATTCTTGAACCAAGGTTGTTTTGTCAAGTAATGTATGGGCACTTTACAAAAAAATTGCAGCAGGGGGTCAAATTTTGTGAGCTCAGTCGCAGTACATCTAATTGTTCCTGTAATGAAAATTCATGAATAACATAAATTTTTTCCATATGTTATATTCTTTATCCTTTTCCAATAGAAGGCGTGCCTCTTGCAAGTCGACAAGGAAAATCAAAAGAACAATGAAAGATTCCAAATGTGAAGTTTGCCTTTCATACTATGTCTCAATGCTTGGTTCAACGTATTTACAATTGAAGAATACAGACCCGCCTTTTGTTTTCCTCATTTTTTTTAATCAAAAAGGTGAATTTTGAAATTTCTACAAAGATTCATGTGCAATATTATAGACCCTATAGATGCTCACTGGAACCATACATCTTTTGGTGAAGTTCATATGATTTTTCAAATTGCATCTCTTTTTGATCTTTTGATTGAGGACAAGAAATCTACATATTCTTGTATCCAGTAAAACCTTACCTGTTACGTGTCAATGAATATGGAGAAAAAAAAGAGAGAGAGAGAAAAAAAATAAACGTCCTTAAAATAACATACTGTCAGAACAGAAAACACACAGAGCACTAACATTCATATTAAGTTTCCAAAGCACTTGGAATTTGATGGAGAAAGTGAACAATGCAGGAGGTAAGGCAAACTAAGAACACCTAAAATTCAAATCTGTCCCAAATCACTTAATAAGGAAGCATGCAAGTAAATCTTCATACATCACAACAAAATTATACTTTTGATTATACTATATATAAATATGACGATGACACTTGTTAAAAAAATAAAAACAACAAAAATCTCTTATAATTCCTGTGAAAAAGCAAAGAAACGTTAGAGCTACGAATACACTGCACAACACAGATACACCTAGCGGCACACTTTTTTGATGGAATGCTTGTTGTAGTAGGTATGGTATTTTTGACTTGGTAGTATAAGGAAATAGTTAAAAGAATCTGCAGAAGAATTTGAGTGTGTAGCTCTACCGTTTAAAATCTTGCACAAGTTCCTGTTAAGATTAATTGAGTGGATCGAAAGTAATTTACGCAAAGACAAGCAAGATATAAAATCATCTATATAGCAAAAGCAGGAGGAGAAGGGAAAGGCAGATAGTTAATTCTTGGTATAAGGTGTTATTTGTAGCACATTATATGATTATAAAACATTCTCAAACAGGCATCCTCTCTATCTACTAATTAATTGTCCATTTCCATCTGCTTTAATATATTTAATTACTTACATATAGTTGTCAAACAAAGAATTCTCTTATAGTATTTTATCAAACATTTTTCTCATTTTAACCTTGAAGAATTATTTTCTAAACTTAAAAAAATATTTTTGTATATATCAAATTTCTGTTAAATAAAACTAGATATATTAAGTGACTTCAAATAGTTTTGAAACATTTCATATGGACTTTTCTCCCTTTCATAAACAATACTCCACGCAAAAAAAAAAAAAAAAAAAAAAAGATATGAGATAAACATTGAATATTATAAGGAGATAGTGAGGTTGTGCATTTTACCCTTGCCTGAGTAATTTGTAATAGAGCTTATGCTAAGAAAAGTGCATTACATGTATATGGGATAACAAACTAAACAAAAAATAGTAAAAAGAAAATGTTCAAAAAAGTGTGCCAATCAATGTACTGAGAAATGCCTTTACTTTCTGCAGTTTTCTTCTTCTTTTTACGTTTCTTTGATTTTTTCTCGCCAGATTCCATGTTGGTTACCATTTCAGTGGTAGGTGCAGAAAAACCTGGAACATCCATATTTTTTAATTCATAAATAAATCTCTATCTTATAAATGAAGAAATCAAACATTTCTGAAACCTTCAATTTAGAGCAAAACTACATTAGATCTTTATTTGTGTTTCATGTAGAAGAGAGCACAATGTAGTGGTAATTGAATCATTTTGTCCATTCTGATTAAAGGACTTAGAGGCAACAATGTTCACCTCCCCAATAAATCACCAAAACGTACAATCCCCCTCCCCAATATATCACCAAAACATACAATCCCCTCCCCAACTCCCAAATTCATCAGTCTACACAACTTGTTCTTGAAAAAAAGTCAGCATTTCATTATACCTCTACTTCTTGTTGTAAATCTGCCTTGGCAATGGGATCATACTTGGCATGGACATGAATCAACTCTACATATTGCAGAACTAGAAAATTGATAAAGTCAGGAGTCGATAATAAATACCAATATACCAATACTGTCCACCTTTGGTTGGCCTACCAACCAAAATATAGGTTTCTTTCCTTGTTATTTGACTGTGTGATATGGTCTTCAGTCAGGACTTGAGTTATAACTTCATACACAAAAGTGTTGAGAAAAGTAAATAATCTTGACTTTTTCATCTTGACATACACATTTGATGTCATGACCCCAAAATGTTCACCTAAGGGTTCATTCCTTCTTTAACAATCCTCTATTTAAAGATTACAAAGTATTTGTTTAACGGCTTCATACACATATATTGGGAGATGGACAGACAAATCAGTTATTAAGTACTATAAGGCATCTGCATAAGCCTAAGTGAGCTGAAATATTTTGCCTAAGCAATATTAATTAAGCAACAAGATGATGTCTGTGTGAAATCTGAAATTCAAAATCAATTCATCTAAAAAAAATGTCTTTTTTTCAAAAACAAGAGGCCCATTATCCTGAGAGTCACCAGACCAACTCAGCTCACCTGGGAGTGGACTCTGGTTTCATGTGATACAAATTTTACAATTTGGGGAGGACTTCATATTTAACATTACACTGCATGAAACTTGTCTTTAAGATGCTGAATCTGATTTAAAAAAATGAAGCTGTCATTTATTGTCATTAATTATATAAAATATGATGATTAATTTGCTAAATTTAATTGAGTATTTAATAGCATTCAGTTTTCAATCTTAGAAAACCAAATTATACAATCAAATCATTATCCTGATTTAGGATAAAGTTTGTAATGCCTGTGGAAGAGGCATTATTTGTAGGGAAAATACCGGTAGTCCCAAAGAATTGACACTGTATCAAGTATGTAAAATATAAACTACCAAAAATTACAATCATTTGTACAGTCCGATGAAAATAATCAATAACAGCAACCAGAAAACCAACACACTATAATCAATGTTTGTGACCATAAAGACCAAAGAGATATTAACCACTACTGAACTGAAAAGATTCAACAAACCAAGATGACCATTCCCTGATTCTACCGTTTTAAAGAGTAACTTGAGAATTCATCTGCAGGTTTACAAATTTCCTAAAATGATCCTCTACATAACTAATGAAGGAAAAACACAAGTAAAACCACCAGTGCTGTAAAAAGCTTTCATCAAAGAATATGTTTGACATTTATAGCTACTAGTTATCCAACTGATGACAATAAAATGTATTATCAAATTTATCACTAAAAATGACTTGCATTTCTCATTCAAAGGTAAAATACTAACAATACAATAATAGTAATCTGATTACTAAATCCTATTATGTGTTTTTCTAAACTTGCTGTTAAGAGAATTTACAGGAATCTATGAAATGACACAAACTATTTTTACTTTTATAGTAAATGATACTTTTACTTTTATAGTAAATGATACTTTCTGTGTCACTGAAATGTATAAATAACCCTTTTTTTCCATGACAGCACTCAAGTATTAATGCAAATAATCATTTTCTAGAGTACTAAAGCAGCCAAAACCAAATGATTCACTCAGTGAATCCCCTTACTAATGTAGTTTGACTATAAAACAATCCTAGTCTGTGTTAATCCAAATTATCAAGTCTACAAGATTCTGTTCATTTATAGCAAATTGACTTGGGAATAAATGAGAGCTGTTGATTATAAAAATAGGTTGTTTTGAGGGCACATCATTAAGGATTCTCAGGAAACTGTCAGTAAAAGGTCAGGACCAACCAAACACCCAATATCCTTGATTTAACACATGAAAGCAAACCCTGTACTTGCCTGCTTGGTATGGGATTTGTGGGTGTGGTCCCCCCTGGGGGCCCTCCACTTGGCCCTGGTTCATGGGTGTGTACATCCTTGGTTGAAAAGGGTGTCTAGCAGCAGGGTCTTGTGGTGGTGGTGGGGGACCAGGCATTCGAGCTGCTGCTTCAAAAGGCATACGCTGCCCAGGACCTGGTGAAAAGTTAAGTTCAAGGTGCTTAAGTCTGTCTTATGGAAAATATAGTTACTTAAAGCAATATAAGCTGTCAGCGGCGGCAATTTTTTTTTAATCACGAATGTAGCACGAAAACATTTTATCGATCTGAAATTTAAAATTATAGACTAAATTTGAACTCATTGAAGGTCTAAAATAAGTCGAAAAAGAGAAAAATAGCCGTTCATGAATTTTTGTCTTGCAAGACAATATTTCCCCGACGTAGTCAGAAATATGCAAGTGACCTCTGGGTCAAACGCTCGGAGACTGATATTCGTACTGATGTACGCATGTGCAGCTTGTCGGAGATGCAGAGCAAAGATGTCGGGAAAACGTGGTGCGAAGATTAAATTAACGGATTCGGCGAGAAAAAGGAATAAAAGGGAAGCGAATGCTAGGTTAAACAAAAACAAAATATATATTGGAGATCAATACGATCGTTGGACGGAGCTGCGGACAAAATTATCCGTGAAAACAAATATCGAAGTTGCAAAGATTCTGCTTGACAAGTAAGTGTGTACAAGTTTAATTATAGCCAATTTAATGCAAGATACTAGTATAAATGATTGGAGAAAACTCTTAGTACCTTACTTGACTTGTAAGCATCATTTCTTATTCAGCCGATGTTAGTTTTTTGTTGTAATATACAACAAATAAGTATCTTCGTAAGCCAGTTGATAGCGTAAATATTGTGAGGCACGGAAAGGGTAAATAACCAAACTCTGTTAAACGTTTAGATAACTATACAAGATATTTATATAATTATGTTAAACGTTTAGATTTCATTGTTCTAGCTATGAAGCTAAGGATGAGCAAAAATATACAAGTGTTCCTGCTGGAAAAAACTTCAAACCCTGTGTTACATCAACGCCTGGTCCACCAGCTTTGAAGAAAATATGTATTGTTCAGTCTGATTTGTCTGACATTTCACCAGATGAAGTGGGAAAAGAGTAAATATCCAAGCTTGTTTTACATTTGCAAAATTTTGAGAAGTATTTGTGTCAATTTTTGAATACATATATAATTACCAAAAACATTCTAAATGGAGTTTTGAAATTATTATCATTATTATTATGTAGAAAATTTACTTTTAAAAAGAAAATTTAAATAATATTTTCAGTGTTGAAAGTGCTATGTCTGGCATTGAGGAAATTGCAGAACCTACAGATCCAAGGACTAAGAGCTTTAAGCCATTTTCAGACAGTTTTGTGGATCCTTTTAGGTTTGACAACATTGCTCTTTTGTCACACATATTAAAAATGTTTCTTTCTAAGGCCAATAAAAATTAATTTGTGTGATGTACTCCGACTGACCTGTCAAAATTGCCCTTACCCTATCTTTTCCCCAGTACTTTAAATTTTAAATGTTTTTTTTTTTTTTGGGGGGGGGGGGGGGGGGTTCAAGGGAAATAGACATTGTTTCATTTTAAAGGTTTATAATTCTCTAAGATACTTTTTAGCTCACCTGAGCTTTTCTGATCGAAATTTGTCCATTGTCTGTTGTTGTTGGCGTTGGTATCGTAAACTTTTCACATGTTCATCTTCTTCTCAAGAACCAGTGGGCCAATTTCAACCAAACTTGCCACAAAGTATCCTTGGGTAAAGGGGATTCAAATTAAAGGCCAACCCCTTTTCCAAGGGGAGATAATTATGAATTCGTGAAAAATTAATGGCATCATTTAAAATTCTTCTTCTCAAGAACCACTGTGCTTGAAAACATGAAACTTAAATGGAAGCATCCTCAGATAGTGTAGATTCAAGTTTGTTCAAATCATGACCCCCGGGGGTAGGGTGGGGCAACAATGGGTAGTCAAAGTTTTACATAGGAATATATTGGGAAAATCTCTAAAAATCTTCTTCTCAAGAACAGCAAAACCATGATTGGTCATAATTATATGGAAGCATCTTTAGGTAGTGTAGATTCAAGTTTGTTCAAATTATGACCCCCAGGAAAATGCAGGGGCATATTTGTCATATTAATTCATAGGCATCCATATGAAGTACATCCCCCCCCCCCCCCCCCCCCCCCCCCCCGAACCACTTTTATATTTAAACTTTTCAGGACTGAATTGATTTCTGCTGTTTCCTAGCCAGAGTGCTCAGGTGAGCGATGTGGCCCCAGTGCCTCTTGTTTGAAATAACATTTTTATAGCAATAAATATTAAATCTGTCTTATCCGGTGTATCATGAAAGCATCAATAAATCTTAAGTTTATGCTTTTTATGACAGTAATTGATGTTAGCTATAGATACTGCAAAAAAAAAAAAACAAAAAACAAACAAACAAAACACCTACCTACATTCCCACCTTGAAAAATGTAAGTCGGAGTACATAAAAAAATATATTATTATTATTAGTGATGGCCTAAATACGTCATGTATTATTTTAGCATGAATGATTTTGATATATGCATTTTTATTAGATTGACAATGAGTGCCTCTGAACTGACATGCGAAGAAAATGACTCTTCTGATGATGAAGAATATGAGCCAAGTTTCCACCTGTCTTTAAAGTAATTTTTATTAGAATTATTATTTACTTAGTAATATAAAATTTAATTAAAAGAGGTTAAATATGTTTAATCATTGTAAATATTTCAGATAGCATGAAACATACTAATGGGAAAAATTATTGGTAATTGGTTCATTAAACTGTAATAACATAAATTTTATAATTTTGTTATGTTTTTTTTATTCTCTCTATAGACTTGACCATGGTGTGACGCTAGATGAGTCGGATTCAGAAGAGATTGAGGACGATGAAGAAAAATTTGTAGAACATGCTGAGTATAGTTGTCTACCAGTTATACGCAACAATGATGAAATTGAACAACTGGTCCATGATTGTCCAGCCATGGTTTACATTAATCAGCTGATTACCTTGGCAGAAACAGGAGTCCCTAAGATTTGTAGGGTGAAAGGATGTGAAGCTCAAGTTCACATTTCATCAGAAGTAGTGTCTTCAGCTGTGTACCTGAGATGGGTAATGAACTTCAGTATAATTTTAAAAGAATCATATATAATACATATTGTGACAAGGCATCATTCACCTTTCTTTTTGAAATACAAAGGCACTTTTTAAATTTCTGTTCCAGGTCTGCACAAACAATCATGAGGCACACAAATGGTGTTCGCAACCTCTTCTTAATAGACGGGTTCACAGTGGGGATGTTTTAATCTCAGCAGCTTTACTGGCGTCAGGAAATAATTTTCAAAAGATTTCCCTGTTTTTTAAGTTCCTGAAGCTCCCCATTCTGTCTGTCTCATCATTTATAAAGATACAAAGAACCTATGTCACTCCAACAATTGAAGAAATTTGGAAAAAGCATCAGAATGATATTCTAGAAGAATTCAGAGGAAAAGATGTTGTTGTTCTTGGTGAGTACAATATCAACCAAATGCTTGTATTGTTTGTTTTGTCAAGAAGAGGATATATTTAAATTTTCTTTTATTTTGATTATTTGTTTTTTTTTTTTTTGTTTGTTTGCTTAGGCGATGGTCGTATGGACAGTCCAGGTCATTCCGCACAGTACTGTACGTACACATTTATGGAAAATGAAACCCACAAGATACTGTGCTTAGTGACCATGGACAAGAGAATGACAGGAAGAAAAAGTGCAATCCTTGAAAAGGCGTGTTTTCAGAAGGGCCTGCAGTTTCTCCTTGAAAAAGAAATAAATGTGGTGGAAGTGGTGACAGATGCACATGTGCAGATTGAAGCTTTAATGAGTATGTGTCTTTGTATACTTCTTTGTTTTTTTTTTTGTTGTTTTTTTTTTCTTTTTTTAAAGCTTAAATCTGTAATTAGGATTTTTTTCTGATTTTTCTTTAGGGATAAATATATAAATTAGATTTACTGTAGCTATCATCATGTTTTTATAACAGAAAAAGATTACCCAGAAATAAAACATTCATTCGACATCTGGCATGGGTCAAAAAACCTTGGGAAAAAACTAATAAAGGTGAGACAATTTAAGATTTTTATTTTAAGAACATTTTCAAAATTTGGAAAAATGCTAAATGAGTAAACTGAATTTTGAACATTATTTTCAGACTGGACAAGAAAAATCAAAAAAACCAATATTACAGTGGACAAGAGAGATAGTAAACCATTTTTGGTTTTGTTCCTCTGTAGCAAATACAGAAGAAGAGTTTATTGTAAGTTTGAACTGTAAATAGAAAAACCACTTGATTCAGTTTGTGTTAATAGAGAGTGAAAAAAAATAATTTTAGACTGTTCTTCTTTTCAGGGCATTTGGTTTGGAGTCATACATCATGTTGTGAATGAGCATGAATGGATTTTGCCATACAGAGCAGGAGCAAAAAGTTCATGCCAGCATGGTCCATTAACAGAGGAAAGGAACAAAGATTGGCTTGAGGCAGGATCCCCAGCACATGTTGCCGTGCGTGAAATTGTTAGGGACAAAAGACTAATAAAGAAGATTCCTTACTACCTTAATTGCCGGTATACACAAAATTGATTGTATACTACATTTTTCTACAGATATTTTCTATTTATGCATATCCAATTATAATGTTTCCATTAGAAAATGAAAACACAAATGTGATATATATATAACAGATTTCTTAAATGTTAGATTAAAACTTTTCAGGAAGGTTTCACCATGTATATAGTTTATTTAGTGATTTTTTTTTTTTTTTTTTACAGAAGTACAGCCGCTTTGGAGAACTTTCAAAACCTTATTTTGAAGTACTCATCAAAGCGCCATTCTTACACACCTCCAGTGTACAGAGCGAGAAACCTTGTTGCTGCACTGGACCACAATGCAAATTGTGACAGAGAAGCTGCCAAAAGAAAAGATGGATCACTAAGGTTTCTTTTTGTCTCATTCATTTATTTTTTAAGTTAAAATCTACAATATACCATTGTAAATTATTTTGCTGACTAGGTTGGAATGCATTTTGAAATATATTGAATCTTGTACTTTAGGCATCAGCGGTACTACAGCAAAAAAAGTGGAAGATGGTCTGCCTACCCAGTAAGAGAAGAAAAACAATATCCATATGCAACTGACATCATGAAACTGTGTCTTCAGAATAGGATTTTTGACCCTGTTGGTATGAACAAGCCAGTTGTCCTTGATGTGGAGGATCCACGACGTGTGTCCGAGACCCTAGCTCCTGTTGCTCCACCGCCAACTGAATCTCTGGTGGCAGAGAAGAAATCTCGATTTCTCCATGAGAGCATTTAATTAGTCAGAATCAAGAAAAGAGACACGTCTCTGATCTTGTTTAATATTGCAATTTTGAACATTTACCTGTAACAACAAGAAGTCGGTGAGCGAATGCTCACTAGTAATACCCCCACTCTGATGTGAATATACACTCTCATGTTGACATCGAATTCATGCAAAAATGAATCCTACCATATGGCATGCCTAAACAAAGATTGTGCTAAAATTTCAAGCATCTGCGCAGAGTAGTTGCTGAGAAAACTGCGACGGAAATTTGGTACATACAGACGCATGGATAAACAGGAAGTTGACATCGGATTCAAACAAAAATGAATCTACCATATGGCTTGCCTAAACAAAGATTGTGCTAAAATTTCAAGCATCTGTGATGAGTAGTTGCTGAGAAAACTGTGACGAAAAATTTGTTAGTGACAGACGCACGGATAAACAGGAAGTTGACATCAGATTCAAATAAAAATGAATCCCACCATATGGCATGCCTAAACAAAGATTGTGCTAAAATTTCAAGCATCTGTGATGAGGAGTTACTGAGAAAACTGCAAAAAAAATTGTTTTGGAGAGACACGGAACACACAGACATACACACAAGGGTAAAACAGTATACCCCCCACTCCTTTGGAGTTATGCAAGCTACTTATAACAAGGATAATGTTGCAATCAAAAAACTTTTTAGATTTATGATATGCAATTTTCTGAATTGCTTGGATACTTTGAACATTTATGTTATTGCAGAATTTTGTAAATTTGTAAATAATACCTTTAACTCTGACACCCAAGTAACTCATCAATAGGTGTTTGATACAGTCTTTTAAATATGACATTGCATGTTTTGCTTTTTTTGTTCTTTTCTTTTCACATTGATGAATGAAAAATGATACATAGTATTTCAAAGATTTATTCAATGTTTAATTAACCTTATTGTTATATAAAAACAGCAATATGTGAAAATCAAATGTTGTCTTTATCAATCTAAGACTCCTTCTATGTATCCCACATATTGACCAGAAGGTTCAGGATATTGGTCTCGAATTTTCCATATGCAGCAGCTGGGAATGACCTTTCGGTTTCCAGCTCCAAGACGGCCATGCATCCACATAACATATTGTCTGTAAGCTGTATGTCGATGAGCTCTGTTGTAGTTGTCATCTCTAGGTTCTGCCAAAGCATCATTCCTAAATCTCATGGCAACTTCGAGAACCAATTCATCTAGCACTATGGTATAGAAATCCTATACATAATAGACATTACACTGACTGTTTATCTTCACCTTTTTTCATATCTAGTTGGTGTATAATAATATTTTGATCAGAATTTGAAAAAATGAAAACTTACAGCTAATTTTGTGTGACAGTTCTGGGGTATTTTTCCACAGCACAGTTTTTCCCTCTCGGTAGGCATCTCCCTACAGTTATTGCAAGAGCACCAGTCTGGAACCGCAGGGCTATTCCCTGGTGTTGGATCCCCATTATCATTTGCAGTCTTCAGGACATCCATCAATAATGAAGGCTGTTTCTTGCAGACTAACTTGAGAGTTTCCTGTAGTGCAGCCAAGTCCATATTGGAAATACATTCCTGAAATTGAAGTGCTTGTTTTAAAAGAATTTTATTGATATTTATAAGCTGGCTGAAATAAGAACTTTATATATTTCAATTGATATAGACATTGATATAGACATTTTATAATATATAAATATTAATATATATGTGTATATACTTCAAGCTGAGATTGTCTGTCCCGTCGAGCCTGAGCTGCCATTTCCAGTCTATTCAAGCCAGCTGGCTGCACGCGCTGTCGTCCTCTGCACCTTCCACGTCCTCGACCTCTCAAAACCTAAAATCATAAACAACACTTCATTTGTTTTTTATGTTTTATTTGGGGGGGGGGGGGGTAGGGGAGGAGTAGAACTGCACTACTACCTCAGTAGCTTTAAACTGTCACATTTTTTTGGGAGAGGGGGTAAAGAGTTTAAATAATTTGCTCCTACCCCAGTAGCTCTAGGCTGTCTGCCTCTACCACGCCCTCTTCGTCTGACATTGGATATCTCTTCATCTGATGAACTTGGTGAATTTGGTGAAACACTCCTTGATCTTGATCCATTTGATAACTATAAAATTAGTACGAATATAATCAAATATGATTTCAAAAATTATTTTTATTTTTTACATTCAAGTAAAACCCACAGTACCTGGCCATATGTGAGCCATATTTTTTTTCCACTATATATTTCATTGAAAATCCATTTTTCTAAAATATTATTGCAGTGTCTTTTGTTGCTTATTTTTATAACTAAAACACATAAATGTAGAATTTGTTTGCAGATTCTTCACATAATTTCAAAATAATTTTATCTGTAGTGTAAGAATTGCATTGATATAACATGTCAAATGTGAAAGTAAAATTCCAAGACTCTAATTTACAAGAAATCATAATTTGAGGTAAGAAATTTTTGTCTTGAAAAATTCATGAATTATTCTCACTCTCAGTGATTAGTGTATCATTTTGTTTTGCATTTTGAGACAAGAAAATTTGAACTATTCTGTATTATTCAGAAAAAAAATAATGGAAATTGGACCTCATAACATTTTTTTTATTAAAAAAAAAAGGTTTTTCCATGAAATATATAGACTGAAAATGCTGTTATGACTCACTTATTGCCATGATTATACTACATACACGTGTTGACAGAGAAATAATATTCTCAGCAAACTTACATAAACTTGATCTATGCACAATTTTTTATAGGCCTAATGGTTAAAATTTTTATTACTTTTTTTTCTATGCAGACACTAAAAAAGAAGTTCAAATTACTTGAGAGTGCAATAACTAGGCAAATAGGAGCGTAAAACGCGACTTGCACTTGCAGCATCTTACACATTCTACTGATCTGGAGATAGAAATCCCGTTGGGGGCCTCTTCATTTATGCAAACGTCACTCTATTTTCTGTTTAGCCTGTTATGCTTTCGGTGAGGCTTATTTAAGTTTTTATGCAATACTGTGAAAGAAACAACACTTTAAAAATGTTAAAGAGTAAATTTATCACGTACCTCTGATTCTTCCATCTTCGATTTGATAATGGATTCAGCATCTTGCACGCGCTGCTTAATACTCGGTTATCTCCGTATCCCGTCCCGAATATTAATTACCGGTGGCTGGAGAGACGGTCAGTTCAAACAAACGATCGATTTAATTAATGTATTTGTGTATACGCAACAGCTGTAGTTTACTGATACTTGCAGATTATCTATTTCTAACACATTATTGTTAATTAGCCTCATCAAATTGGGTTAAAAAATTGCCGCCGCTGACAGCTTATATTGCTTTAACTGAAGCTCACAAGTAATGAAAGTGGATTAAATCTGTACCAGGAAATCGTTGCATAGGGTCACCCGGCATTCTTGGGGCAGGGAATCGTCCACTCGGGTCATATGGCACGGTTCTGGGATCAAAGTACTGGGGCATCTGTCTCATCATTTCAGGTTTTTCTGCATTATTAGAAACACTGATAACTTTTTCCAAGGCATATAAGATTTGGATGAGGCATCAAATATTTGTTACAATGAATGATATGTTAATTCAACTTGCATCAAACGTACCTCGATATAATCAACATGGCATACATTCTTATACTATTTGATAAGTATACCATCAGAATCTTTAACAAAATATTATACTGTATTGAACCAATATTACATTATAAAGGTTTGATGGGAAGGTTGATCTGTAGTACCTGTATCGGGCAGTGGCTTGGGTAAGCTGTAAACTCTCTCTCTTTGTTCTCTCTCTTGATACTCCTCACTGAATGGGTTATTGTCCTGAAACAAATGACATTCAGATTTACTCAACAAATTCTTTTCAGAGGTAAGAAGGACTTCCACAATGTTACCTTGTACCAATGTATGACATTAATCCATGATTTTTCAAAGTAAATAAGATAAATTTGTATGGGAACCTAAACCCCCTCCAAATTCTTCTAAAGCCCATTTTTCTTAGATCGTCCATGGATAAATAAATAATTGTCATCTTCATTATTTATTTTGTCTACCATGCTTATGAATTCTGGGGAGATTAAATATTGACAGGTTATTTACATTGATTTAAACTTATAATTTATATAAACAAGGATTACAAAAAAGAAAATAATGGAGAAAAAAATGCACAGTGTAATATGTACATGTAAATATATAATGACAAGAAAATGCAACATATTTAGACCATGTTTATACCTAACAATAATATTTTTACACACACCCACACTCTATGGCACCACATTTTCTGGTAACAATTTGTAATTCCTATCAAATGCAATATTTATGACTGACTTTCTACAAGCAATAACACATTCCATCTCCACTGCTTTGGGACATCTTACTTAAGGTTAGATTACTACAATTACATTAATTTTTTACCTTTCTTTCACAAACTTAAATCTTTTTTATCTTTCTGACAGTTAAGACATCTTAACTCACTTTAGCTATATTACACGGACAAGGAAAGATTAATGTTTTTGTAATACCTGTAGCTGATTTCCAGAATTCATGGTGACAAGTAACAATTCATATCATTTCACATTTATCTATTATCTTACACTTTTTTTAAGAAGTCTGGCATGTTTTGACAATCCATAATGAAGTCAGACTTCTGAGAATCTGACCTTATTGTTGTTCAGGTACACAATCTGGACTGTATGCTGGTCAATAATGTTACTAATTTTAAGAACATGCCTCCACTAAGATAACCCAGCTTTACTATGTGACATGAGGTCATTTCAGAAAGTGGAAATATATTTCAGTTTTTTCAATGGTTTCACTAGACTAAAACTTGATAGTACAGTTTTAATTGTGGTGTGTCCTTCCATCAAGTTTAAAATTATTTTCAATAAAATAAAAATGTTAGAAAGTTAAATTTTCATAAGCAACCTCCTGTTAAGTTTGAATTTCATTTTCCAGATGCCTGAGGAATTCATGACTTGATAACATTTACAATATTGACAAAACATTTTTTTAAAAATTGAAATACCTTCAAAAACATTGTATTTGAAAAGAAAAATTTGATTTTTTTTTAAACTATACAATAAGACACACATATATATGTATTTTGAAATACTGCAGTTCACAGGTGTTAGCATAAGCAAACTAAACTTGTGCATGTTTTAGAGGAGCAATAAAAGAAAGCAATTACAACTTTATGTCAATTTTGGGAGGGACCAGACACTGTTTACCAATAAATTTTAACAAAAGAAACAAACCTTTACCACAGGTAATCAAGTAGCCCATTTCTTTTTTTTAATGCAACAGTTCTCTTCAAACAAAGATATAATCATTATTAAGCACATCTAAATGTTTGCAAAATATCTTTCCTTCTTATAACTCTTGTATTAGTGAGGACATAAAAACATATCTATCAAGATGCTTTTCCTACACCAAAGGTCTGTAAACAGACTGCCATCCTCTTTATAAGATTATTTTCCCAGTGAGTTAACATAACAAGATGGTAAAAAGGGAAATACAGTACAGGCAACGCGGATCCCGTATTAGACCGCGTCCCCTCCGCGGTATGTTAATCCTTTCCGCGTTACACCGTCGCGGGTTTTGATCGCGGTACTACCTGCGACCGTGTGTACACCGCGGCGGGGCCAGCTATCGTTATTCTTCAGCTTAGATATTGTTACCTGTAAAGTGTTGTTGATTTTTAATAGCGTCGAAAAAGGGGGGGGGGGGGGCGGGGGTAAGCCATTAAAGATTACAGCCTACATTAATTAAATGAATTTTTAATTCAATTTTTAAGTATTATCAAATTGTATAATAATTATTTTTTATCTATCTTTTTTTAATAGTCACAAAAAATTAATTAATTCTCAAATTTAAAAGGGAGCTTATAATGCCAGTGCGTGTGGTAAAATTGGATGAAATATCGTCAGCTGAATTATCGTATTATATATAAAATTTATTAAAATGATAAATCAATAATTCCACCATAATGATCATGAAATTGCTAAATAAATAATATACCTTATAATAGTAGCATTAGATTTTTTAAAAATGTCATATCGTTTTTTCTAAAATGCATTAAATACAGTGTTCACCATTTGCCAGTGCAGTTGTGTTCTCGATTACACGTAGTTATGCGTTTATTTGTCTGCGAGATTCTATCACAGTCATTGTTTTTTGGAAGAAAAAAAATGCCTCTGTATACAAATCTGTTATAAATATAAGCATGAAAAATGATGCTGGATAGAGATGGTAACAGTATGATATTAAAGAATAAACAAGTGTACATTTAGCATTAACTTCTGACAAATATTATGCGGTAAAGATGTAAGATTATAGAAGAAATATCAACATGTTCTTTTTTTTTTTTTTTTTTTTAGAGCACAGTAAATGAACTTATTATAATCAGCGATAGGCTACAATAGGGGTGCAACGATACACTAACCTCACGGTACGATACGTATCACGGTATTCAGTTCACGATACGATACGTATCACGATACATGACAAGGTTAAAAAGACTTTCAAGTTTGTCATATTTTTTTTAAACTTGACAGGGTTATATAAAATGTTCATATTTTTTTGATAATAATTAAAATAAAATTTTGTTAACTTGCATTGGATTGTTGGGTACATCTTTGAGTTTTGGCAATATTCTAAACCAATGATGAACGTTTACAGGGAACTACGGGGACCTTTCCTTATAATCTTCCTTTTAAATTGGAATGAAAAAGGAAGACATTCATTCTTTTATTCCTTTTATTTACGTAGAAAACCAGTTGTCATATTTCTCGTGTTAACATGTTTTAGTCAACAAGACAGTGAATTTTCATCGAAATACACACGTGATGAAATATCGTGTATTACCAAAGAATACGTTTAGATCTAAAGGGTTTATCATTTGTCTTAACATCTATAACATATAGTCACATTAAGTCCTTCTCAGTTTTAAATCTGAGGTCTGTAAGATGCTGGAGATGAGTTTAACTTCCGTTAATGCGTTATATTGGTGACCTCACGTTTTGCGCGGAAGCCATTTTGAAATTGTAAAAAAGGAAACAAAACGAACGATTCGGATAATTCTGGACCGATGGAACCGAACCGCGATATCAGTTTAGCGTATCGTGAATTGAACCGTGGAAAAATATACCGCGATATACCGTCAAACGGTTTATCGTTGCACCCTTAGGCTACAAGTTTTCAGGTGTCTGTGTAACTGGCCTATACCCTTACGAAATACCTGTAATTACGAAATACCTGTAATACTGTCAGATTGCGTGATCTTACATCAGCGATCTAGTGGAATCAATCTCATCAAACAGTTAGTTTTAGTGTCGGTGGCTATAACTGTTCCCGTGTTCTTCATAAATTGGCAGAATTAGACAAAGATAACTGGCCAATAAACTTATAAACCAGCTACAGTAAATTCTATCTATTCACAGAATCGACTATGAAACTGAACAAAATTTGATTCACAAGAAATTTCATTTAAATTATAACATGAATATTTTGTTTTTATTCGATGGACTTGATAAATCAATAAACTGATGTCAGGAAAAACTATGCACGTGCCGTAACATTCTATCCCTCTCTCTTGAAATTCTACTTACATGTACAGGTACATGTATAAACAAGGACGTAAACAAAATATGTATACTTATAAAAACTAATAGATTTGATTTATTTATTTTTATTCAAACTATATTAATTAATATGTGTCGTATGACTAGACAAAGATGTGCACATTCAGAGAGATTTACCCCAGGTACTCTAGGAAACTCACACTTGTGAAACCCCCAGGGCATGGCGTTTCGTGCTCTGGTCTGCTAATCTCTATACAGAGGAAATGATCGCGGCTAATACTTAATACACAAAGAAACAAAGTTTGTTAAAGTTAACGTTAGCATTTGATTTTTACCTTGAATATTATTGAAAATAAAAGTGTTGTAAGTGTAATATCCCCCTTCATTTTATTTTTCTGTGGAGTTCATCACCATGCATGCACATCCTATGTTTTTATTGAACTTGTAAAGGAGAAATAATTAAATAAAAACAAAAAAATCATCGTTTACCAACGAAATAAATATCAAGGTGAGGAAAAGATTATATTTTTTATTGATAGCTTGTAAACCGTTCATGTGCCCACCTACTGCATACTCTTGCCTTCGAATATTACGGCTTTCCGGTAATTTGACACTTTCAGAAAAAAATGCTCGCACATTTATACAATAAATCGAAATTAATTAAATGAATTATAGTGTTCTAAATTTGTTAAAAATACAAAAACTTAAACAATATAAAGATGTACCTTTTTTTCATAGGAATGTTAAAAGTTGTTAATCGGAACTCGCACTGACTATTGTTTAGCATGTGTATATCATTATTGCAGTTTGCATATAATTTGAAAAGACGTTTTAGAACTAATAATTCCTATAATATTTAATTTTGTTTCATGCTAAACTCTCAAATAACACAGCTTATATAAATATTTTAAACAAAAGATGTCGCTTAAGTATTGATACATGTATATAGTTTTAAAAACATAAATCAAAAAAGTTTATAATATCCTCTGCTTTACAAAATCTTTTTTTGGAGTATGTTTATTCTTTTTTATTCATCGTTGCAAAATAAAAGAAAATACTTTAATAAATAAACATACACTGGTTATTTTTTGTTACTACAGGGAGATTTCGCAAATTCTCGTTCGGGGAGATAACTCCCGTTTGTTTACGTTACTAATTGATCGCTGATTTATCCGCGGCGGGGACAGGTAGTTGATGAATTTCCCGTGAAGGGAACGCGGTTTACCTGTCTCACCTGGCCAAATCCCGCGTCGTGTTTATACCGCGACGGTGCGCGGAAAATACCGGATCCGCGTTGCCTGTACTGTATATACATTCTGTCCTCCCCTGCTATTTCTGTGAAATATATCCCCCTCACAACGAGGTAGACAAGCACTTCATGACATCCTGATCTTCATTTTACCAAATCATTATGTATATTATATGTATCTCTCATAGAATATCCATTACAGAAATTTAATATTACTTAGTACTCACAATTTAAACAAAAGTATTACTTTATGTTTGCTCTTTAGTTTCAAAAACTAAACAAGATACACTGTAGGAATGTTTTTTTCATGATTAAAAAAAATTAATATTGCACAAGCAAGTCATAAGCTTCTCTGACTTGCCCTAGCATGTTCTCTTCTAATACCTTATATCAGATTCAATGGTAATTATTTTCCATCTTGATGCAGGAGTGAACTTCCACAGAATCATTATAGTACAACAAGCAAGTGTTTTTTAATTTGTTGTCTTTAAATAATGTAACTTTGGTAAGCATTTGACCAATCTAACTCATTTAACTCCAGCATTTCAGACTTAACTATTGTACTCATGTCTCATAATCTCACACTATCTATGGTACTCATAATCTCAGGATTTCAGACTTAACTATGGTACTCATAATCTCAGGATTTCAGACTAACTATGGTACTCATAATCTCAGGATTTCAGACTTAACTATGGTACTCTTAATATAAGGATTTCAGACTTAACTATGGTACTCATAATCTCAGGATTTCAGACTTAACTGTGGTACTCTTAATCTAAGGATTTCAGACTTAACTATGGTACTCATAATTTCAGGATTTCAGACTTAACTATGGTATTCATAATCTCAGGATTTCAGACTTAACTGTGGTATTCATAATCTCAGGATTTCAGACTTATCTGTGGTACTCATAATCTCAGGATTTCAGACTTAACTATGGTACTCATAATCTCAGGATTTCAGACTTAACTATGGTACTCATAATCTCAGGATTTCAGACTTATCTATGGTTCTCATAATCTCAGGATTTCAGACTCATAATCTCTGACTGAATATGACCTCATGCGTTACCTTTCATGTTAGTGGTCTGCATTCTTTGCCTTGAAAATTGTGTCTTAGTAACTTAATACTTACAACATAAAAAGCATTCCTATATATTCTGATTAATTCTGAAGAAAAACTATTATAAAACGTTACTTCAAGGAGGATGCTGTATTAAACTGACCAAAATTACACATAAAAATAAACAATAAACGGGATAACAATGTATACTCCAAGACACCCCAAATGTTACGAGAACAACATGACATATTAAACAACAGATAAACTGATATAAAAAAAGGTCTATCCTAGGATAAAGTGTTGAGGGGTTATTTGTTGTCAGCGATTTGTTAGCTGAAGCGTTTGTTGTGTGTGTCATGCTGAGGCCTGTTACAGAGAAAATGTGACAATCTCACCTGTATGATAGCTTTGGGCCCTGCCACTTTAGTCTTGTTATCCTGAATAGTAGGGACATGAATTATCTACTATTTGGATTATCATTGGTTAGACCATCAAAATGCTACATATACCACAACCATCCACAGTCATTAATAGAAAGCTTTCTCATTCAGTGATTTCATTAATTATTCACTTAGCAAATGCACAAAATTACAGTCATTCTTCTAAGCAGTTTGCTTCACAGCAAAAAAAACGTTAAATGCTCTGAATGTCTTTCTTTTTTTAACAGACACAAAATGTGCAATACTATGTGATAATAATAGATGAGATTTATTAAAAACAAACATTTAATTTCATTCTTTTTGAATCATATTCAGTGGAAGAATTTTGTCCACAAAACTTGTTCAAAAAATTTCAGTTTCATAAAAAAAAAATCATTCTTACGATTTTTAAAAATATTTTTTCTGAAGAATTTTTTTTTCTCAGACAAAATCCTGCCACCTTTGTTAACAATCACATCACCTCAAATGTACAAAGTGATAAATAATGACTTACTTCTACCACAGTGTGTTGTGGACGAGGAGCTGTCGCAGGCATCTGCTGTGACTGTCGGAGTCGATCCTGCATGTACTCATCATAAGCCTGCCTGGCCGAGGCTGTCAGGCGAGCAGAGCCCTGCTGGCCTGGGATTCTAGGCTGTAATCCTCCTGTAGGAATAGGTATGATGGCAGGACCTGTTGTGGGGGGAATCTGACTGAAAGCCCAGTCTTGGCCATATCGTTCCTACAAAAAGAATAGGATATTTCGATTGAATCACCAAAACATGAATCTTTAAAGCACACTTCTAGAGCTGTAAAGAAATTCTCTATGTACATATCTGGAAAAGTTAACATGTAAATAACCTTCCTCACACACTTACTCTTGTATAAATTGCTTGACAACTTTTCCCTTACCCTTTTCTTTGTACGGTAATCTGTGGTCTGTATCTGGTGCTGTTTGGACTGCTTGCGGAGTCCTTCTAATTGTTTCTGAAGGACTGCCTGCTCCTGTGTCACTCTCTCTAATTCAGTGGCATCATTTGGTGAGGGTTCCCTTCCAGACTTCTTGGCCTAAATAAATCCAAAAAACATCCTCACCATGGTTATCATTAACTTTAACATCTACATACTATGGTTTGAAGCATCTATAAATACTGCTTACTTAGATGTGAAATAAAATGAAAGTTAACATTCATTCTACATTTAGAACAATATGGAAACACAAAAATATTAGAAGAATACATACTTGTCGGTTTCTAGCATTAATTGCCTTTTTGGTTCGCTTGCACTTTCCAATTTGCTGTTCCAATGCCTTGACTTGCATCTCTATATAATTTCCATGCCTCATAAGCCAATCCTCATATTGTTGTTGCTGCCGTTCTAGTTCAGGAGTCAACTCTCCTTTTAAAAAAATAGTTACAATAAATCAGGACCATTAAAGCTGTAAATTCCCGACATTAGATATCAAATCATTCACTGTAGGCATAAATGCCAAGAAAAACGGTCTTCGATTTTAAAATCTTCAAAAAGCACTGTGTAAAATACATCGAAGAAACATATTCTCATCTCTAAGATATATGTAATAGTAAGGAATTAGATACTGTAAATATACTTTTTTCCACAGGGTCATAATTCTGTGGGGTCACAATTTCTGTTCAGTCAGTGGGTAGAAAATTACATGGATTTTCTTGATGGACTTTGAATGTCTTAACGTAGAACCTACATCGTATGACGTCATATCAAGTAAATGAGTTTAGACTGTCTTTTTTGGTGCTAAATCCATTATGACGTCATAATTAATTTAATGTTACTTTTTCCCATACTTTCTCCAAGACTGTCTCATGTAATGAAGTTACACAACTGTAATAATGTGAATGGCATGCAACTATTTTGAAGGCAATCAAAAATCCCAAGAAATCTAAATACTAGTACAACATCCTGATGAAATGTATCTGAGTCAAACATCTGTTAAAAGTTGTGTGTAAATTTTGTAATGTCTCTCATGAAATGACGTGCATTCCCTTTCGTAATTATTTGTTATTCATAATGGTTGGTGTACATGTATAATAATAATGTTTCCCTCAAATATTATCTTTTTAGACAAGAGGCCCAAGGGCCTTAACGGTCACCTGAGTATAATACAACAATTTAGAGGATCCATAGAGTATAAAATGAACTGAAAGGTGAAGCTTTGTTGCCCAAAAGCAAGAAAAATAGGGTGATCAGGATCAACAAAATAATTAGTCTAGTATTCATTAACAGTTCATAAATTAGATTCTAATCTGTTCCCCATTTATCACTATCACCATACAGTATATTAAATAGCAAACTATCAGTGCTTCTGTACTATTTCAATTCCTTGTTAAAATCTCTTACATTGGCTTCTCTTGGTCTTTGATGAACATTTAAAAAGACAAGTTATTTTTGTTTCATTTTTATTTATCTATTACTTACAAGTATATCTGATCATTAAAACTATGAAATGCCTAATGTATTATACAGTAAACATTCTTGCATAATTCTCTTATTAGTCCCCTACCGGTGAAACTGGAGGGGACTATAGGTTTCCTCTGAGTCTGTCCGTCCGTCCGTCTGTCTGTCTGTCTGTCCGTCTGTCTGTCTGTCCCTCTGTCTGTCTGTCAGTCTGTCCCACTTGGTTTTCCGCACTTTTTTCCTAAACGCTTGCAGATATTGAGCTGATTTTTGGTATGTGAGTGTATCTTGATGAGTTACAGATCAAGTTTGCATTTCGTTCCGCTTCATTGATTTTTGACGGAATTACGGCTTTTTCAATTTTTAAGGGTTTTCCGCAATTTTCTTCTAAACGCTTGTAGATATAGAGCTGATTTTTGGTATGTGGCTTTACCTTGATCACTTATAGATCAAGTTTGCATTTCGTCCCGCTTCATTAATTTTTGTCTGAATTATGGCTTTTTCAATTTTTACGGGAACCAGATTACACTTGCCGGTAGGGGACTAGTATTGCTAATGCAATACTCTCAGAATGCTTGTTCCATTAACCTTTCAAGTACATTACTTACAGTGATTAATTATCAAAAGTAAATGGCAAAGGGGAATAACTCCTCTCAGTAGAATACAAATTAATAGAGCCCTGGCCAGGACCAGAACACTTGACCAAATGGTCCAGGTGTTCAGAAATCTGGTAAAAATACTCTTCCTTATTAAAACTTTTACTCTTTTTGCCTCTGATATGCCCAGGTGCAGAGAAGATTTTTAAAGAAATAATGCATTTTTATTACAGATTCACTATATTATCAATAGAGCCCCCCCCCCCCCTCCCCAGCAAGAAACACCAGATCCTCTCACCCTGGGACCAGAAGTTTGCTCATCATAAGTAATCACTTTGTTTATCTGCTTAACACTAAGAGTAGACAGGACTATTTAATAGAATTAATGCATTTTCACTATATTATCAAGAGCCCCACCCTTACACCAGCACATCTGACCCAGGGGTCATGCAATTCACTACTCTGGAAGAAGCACTCTTGCTCATCATAACTATACACTTAGCTTCTTTGCTTTTTAACCAGGAACAGAAAAGAATATTTTCAAAGAAATTTTGCTTTTTCACTATATAATCAACAGAGCCCCCCCCCCCCTTTTTTCACCAGAACCCTTGACCCTGAGGCTATGAATTTCATAATTTTGGTAGAGGCATCCTTGCTTATCATAACTATGTATTTAAATTGTGTAAATAATACTCAGGGGCAGAGAAGAAGATTTTCAAAGAAATAATTCACCTTCACTATAGGATCTCTATAGCCCCATCCTAACACCAGAACCCCTGATTACTGGGCCATGAATTTCACAATTTTGGAAGAGGCATACTTGCTTATCATAACTATGTATTTAATTTGTTTAAATAATACCCAGGAGTAGAGAAGAAGATTTTCAAAGAAATAATGCACTTTCACTATATGATCTATATAGCTCCACCCTAGCACCAGAACCCCTGACCCTTGGGCAAGAATTTCACAATTCTGGTAGAGTCACTCTTGCTTATCATAACTATGTATTTAATTTGTTTAAATAATACCCAGGAGCAGAAAAGAATATTTCCAAAGAAATAATGCACTTTCATATATGATCTATATAGCCCCCCCCCCCCCCCCCCCACCACCACCAGAACCCCTGACCCTGGGGCTATGAATTTCACAATTTTGGTAGAGTCACTCTTGCTTATCATAACTATGTATTTAATTTGTTTAAATAATACCCAGGGGCAGAGAAGAAGATTTTCAAAGAAATAATTCACCTTCACTATAGGATCTATATAGCCCCACCCTAACACCAGAATCCCTGATCCCTGGGCCATGAATTTCACAATTTTGGAAGAGGCATCCTTGCTTATCATAACTATGTATTTAATTTGTTTAAATAATACCCAGGGGTAGAGAAGAAGATTTTCAAAGAAATAATGCACTTTCATATATGATCTATATAGCCCCCCCCCCCCCTATCACCAGAACCCCTGACCCTGGGGCTATGAATTTCACAATTTTGGTAGAGTCACTCTTGCTTATCATAACTATGTATTTAATTTGTTTAAATAATACCCAGGGGCAGAGAAGAAGATTTTCAAAGAAATAATTCACCTTCACTATAGGATCTATATAGCCCCACCCTAACACCAGAACCCCTGATCCCTGGGCCATGAATTTCACAACTTTGGAAGAGGCATCCTTGCTTATCATAACTATGTATTTCATTTGTTTAAATAATACCCAGGAGTAGAGAAGAAGATTTTCAAAGAAATAATGCACTTTCACTATATGATCTATATAGCCCCACCCTAGCCCAGAACCCCTGACCCTGGGGCTATGAATTTCACAATTTTGGTAGAGTCACCCTTGCTTATCATAACTATGTATTTAATTTGTTTCAATAATACCCAGGAGTAGAGAAGAAGATTTTCAAAGAAATAATACACTTTCACTATATGATCTATCTAGCCCCGCCCTAGCACCAGAACCCCTGACCCTGGGGCCATGAATTTCACAATTTTGGTAGAGGGCTCAATGCTTATTACAATCATGCCAACAGTTTGACTGCTTGATGTCCAGGAGTTAAGAAGAAGATTTTTAAAGATAGCACTAATTTTGATGGTTTTAGCCCCACCCCTCAGGCCCCAGGGGGGCAGGGACCATGAAATTCACAATTTTTGTACCCTTTCACCCATTGATGCTATATGCCAAAATTGGTTGAAATTGGTTCAGTGGTTCAAGAGAAGAAGCTGAAAATGTTCAAAAGTTTACGACCGACAGGCGACTGACGATGGACGACGACGGACGAAAACAGATAGCAATAGGTCACCTGAGTGACTCAGGTGACCTAATAAAAAAAATTACATTTTTGATGAATATTCACATTGTAATTCTGAACGTTACCCCAAAACAGTCATTTGATAATTAAATCCTGTGCTAGTGCAAAAAGGTCAACAAAAGAAGTTTGATAAATAGAGTGTCTCTCATTCGTTTGCGGTGAAAAGTATATATTTTAATCACTTTTTGTAATCATTTGGGTACGTTCTTCATCATATTAAAGATTGAAAACATTCTGACAAAGACTTTTGAAAAATATTTACAAATTTAGGTGCCAAATTGACTAAAAAAATATTGAGCACATTTGCCTATATTCGTTGAAATGTGGACTTAATCTTTTATGTCAATTGAATAAAACAAAATTTAGTATTGAATAATATTGCTTAATACAGTTCAGTTAATAAAGTCTATAAACGATGATGTTTGAAGAAGTATTGTTGAGATTTTCTATATTCTCTTTACGACCAGTACCCCTAAAAATGGCTGAAAATATGTAGTCGCAGTGTAAAATTATCATTCCAAGTTGCACAGGCTGCACTTCATTTAATAACAAGGAAACATACTATATATTTTTAACTGATTGATAAGCGAGTGCTAATTTATCATTTTGAAAAGTTTGAAAATCTTGTGACAAAGACTTTCCGACATAGGTTCTACCTTAAAAGAACTTTAAGTACGCTGTGACAAATTTCCGTGGAAAATTTGTGACTGTGAACATAAAGTAAATTAATCCTATGCAGATAAAAGTACATCTAGAGTAACAGTAAATTGCTTCTCTGCAAGTCTGAAACACTGACATACATGTACATTGTAGTTTCATATATTCAATACTGTAAGAGGACACTAAATCCATGTACTTAATTAAATACTGACCTGTCATTGGGGGTTGAGGGGGTGGTTGTTGAGGAGGATGAATTCCCATGGGGCCCATACCAGGGGGCTGACCCCCATAAGGACCAGGCATCCTAGGAGGCATCTGTTGTCCTGGCATTCGTACAAATGGTGGTTGACCTGGGGGGATCTCTGGTTGTCCGTAAGGCCTCTGCACATTTTGATTCCAGTTTGGGTCCCCAGGGTGCCTACAAATGAAGTAAAATATAAATCAGACATTTACTCTTATATACACCGTATAAAAAATATTCACCATAAGATTAATTCCTACTAAAAATTGTTCAAGCATCCATTCTCTTACCTCATTCCCTCCATACGGGGACGGAATTGTCCCATGGGCATTCCCGGTCTAGGTGGTTGACCCATCATTCCCTCAGGTGGGGGCCGCTGCATTATTCCCATTGCTTGTTGCTGGGCCTGCCTTTGCTGTTCCTGCTTCTCCTTAAATGAAGCATACATAACTGATAACATAGTATATTGACCTTCAGTACTTCCAGGAAGCTATGGATTAAGATTATTTCTAGGGGAAAATCCCATTCTAAATGAATTATACTTAATGGCCTATACAAAACATACTTGTTTCAGCTTAATCTTCTCGTTACCCTCTTCATACTAAAATATGAGGATGTTATCTCAAAAAATATATGTGTCTGCAGATACAAATTTAGTTTATTTGATGATGTGGTGCATGAAGTTCCAGATTAGAAATAACAAAACAGAAATATCCATGTAAAATAGTGCAATTTTTGAAATGTGCGATAAGTGCCACATCTGAATAATCTGCTGAATATTTAATATGTTTTACCTGTTCCAACAAATCCTGTATCAAGAGCGGTTGTTCCTGAAGTAGCTGAGGTCGTACATTTCCCTGTGATCCTGGGGAAGATGTTGTGACAGGTAATGTCATTCCCCCCATTTGTGGCCTCACGCCTGGCATTCTCTGCCCTGGCATTCCATAAGGAGGCATTGAAGCTGTGGTCTGAGTGGTTGGTGGGTGACCCTGCACTTCTGATCCATGAGGTGCTTGGGAAGTAGCCATGTGAGGCACAGCAGATGGATCCATAGGATGCATCTGTGAAGTGGGGGTCTCCATTCCATGTCCCATTGGATGACTGGATGCTCCTGAGAAAGGTGGTCTACTTCCACTCATAGAAGCAGGACCTGGATTTCTCAAGCCATGCTGTGGGACACCTGATTGTCCTCCATACATAATACTGTTGGGTGTGGGAGTTAGAGTAGTTCCTCTTGGAGGTCCTTGCATCATGGGCTGACCATAAGTACCTTGCATGTACTGGTTTGTTGGGGTAATGGTTCCCCTTGGTGACCTTTGACCTGGACTTTGAGCAGGAGTGCCACCTTCCACAGTGGAGTATCCTGTCTGACTGGTGCTTCCAACAGGAAGAGAAAAGGGTGGCTGTGGTTTAGAGCCAGCATAAGGTGACTGTGGAGCAGACGACACTGTTGGAGAGAAAGGAGATTGAGTCTGTGGAAATGGAGACTGTTGACTGTTCATTGGATTGAATGGTGATTGAACAGTTGGTGTCCTAGGTGATGGTATGTTACTTCTTGGTGATGGCATTACTTTTGGAGAGGGTAGGCCAGGAGTTGGTGGTCCTTGACCTGGGGGATAGCTGGAGCCAGGTGAGGGTTGAGGCACCTGATGCAGAGGAGAGTGCATTCCTGCTGCATACGGCCCTCTGGATGCCATTCCTGGATAAGCAGCATTCTGATCAACACCAGGCTGAATTCCAGATGGAGTTAAAGGTCCTGAGCCAGGAGTTCTGGGTAGCTGGTCTTTACCTGGAGCTGAAGTGTCAGACTTGACAGAGTCTCTACGTTCCAGGGTTGGTGGCATGTGTTCGGAGCTCTGTTGTTGTAGGAGGGCAGCAATCTGACTGATATTTTGTTGGTCCTTTTTATCCATCTCACTCATCTGACTACCTCCCTCTGTCCCAATCTTCCTTTCCTCATTTTTCTTCTGACTGAACTCTAAAAACTTTGATTGGAAATCTGGGATTCCAGCTCCTGATTTTGATGTCTCCAGTTCAGAGTCCATTTTGTCTTTGGCTATTTTCATATCTTCCTTATTGTCTGCTTTTTCCATGGCACCATTTTCAACTTCATCCAGATCATCGAAGATGCTCTTGTTTTCATCAAGATTCAGTTCAGTGTCTGTGTCCACAAATTTGATAATGTCAAATGTTCCATCAGAACCTGTTTGGAAGAAAAAAAACAACTTAAAAACCTTTCACATCCCTTGTTTATATAAATAAATACAAACTTAAGTTACCATAATTTAAATATAGATAAATATTTTCAAAACTATACTTGTTAGATTGAAGCAAATTTGAATCATATAACAAACTCATGCACCTTGATGGTAAATGTACCTAAAGCATACAAGTTTGAATAAGAACAAACCTAAGAGATAAACTGACTACCTGTCTGAAAGATTAAGCACCTACATGGAATATCAACAATGACATTGGGTTCACTGAGTACAGTACCTACCTTAGACACCACTGATGTCTGTTTCATTTAGCACCTACTGATACAATATGGTTCTGTGAATAGTTACCTAAGAGATCTATAAGGTCAGTGTCATTAAGCTGTTTCTCATCCTCGGATTCTTTCTTTTCCTCTTTGTTCTCTGTTGTTTTTCCATCCTCTCTCTCTTGTTCAAGCTTCCTCTGTTCTTTCGTACCTTGGGTCATCCTGTTCTGTTCTCCGGACTCTGAGGGGTAAGATTTATAGGCCTGACCCTGACCTGGCATACTGGGCACCTGTTGGGCTCCCTGCTGATTAGGGGGCACTTGCTGACCCGGGACAGGGAAGCGTTCCATTATGTTAGGGAATCTTGGATCATGGCCAGCTAATGGATTCTGTAAACATTTGATATTTTAAAGTGACTATTATAAAAAATATGAAAAAATATCTTTAATAGGATTGAATTACTGTATTTAGGGGAATTTACTTGCAGTGTTGATTTTTGTTACATCTGCACTCTAAGTGCAGTCAAAAATTCAAGAAACAGTAATGAATTTAAAAAAAAGATCTTTATAAACATGTTGAAGAACACTTGCACAAATTTTTATTCAAACTTACTGACTCAAGAGTGAAAGGAAAAATAACTTAAGGAGGTTGGATCCTGTCGTCAAAAGTAATGAGATTTTTTTATCAAGTATATTTTTAGAATCTACACACATAGCTTAATTAAAAATGAAAACAAAAAATGGGGGTCAATGCGCTTCTTTTGGCGCTACAGGGCATTTAGTTTGACCTTTTTGCACTGTAAATACATCATACACATGATTCAATTTTTAAAGTTTTCCTTCCAATATTTTTTTATTCAAATAAATTATGGGAACAAACACAGTCTTATTTCATTTTGAATAGATACATTAAAATTTGTGACAACAAAAAATTTTTAAATTACTTCGCATGTTTAATTATTTGACCTTTTTGCACTCAAAAATATCATTTTTCTGGCATTAAAAATTTTAACAAGCAATAAAATCATTTGAAAGTAATGACATTTTACTGAATTTAAGTAGAATGGTTAAAAATATCTTATATATTCAGAAAATAAAATAAAAAGTGGGGGCCTGTGATGTTAATTTTTAGATAATACTAAAATAGTGCCAATTTTAAGCAAAAGTTAGGGCTATTTTTTTTCTGTATTTTTGCAATATATTTGCTATATTTATTAAATATGATGATAAAATTCATGATAGTTTATTTAATATATAATTTAGGACCAGCATGAAACAGTTCACGGCACAGAATAACTCTGTGTGCAGGCTGCATGGAAAAATAGGAATCCAAACTTAACATATTTCAAAGACTTCGAAAGAGAAAAAAGCGATCATTTTCTTCTAAAAATCCATCCGCCACAAGATATAGTTCCTCTCTTAATGCTTTTGATATGGAACTTAATCATGGAGTTTTAACTGAATATCGTTTAATTGGTATTGTAGAATCCAAATTTATTGTAAGAACTAAAACATTATGCAGAATTTTTTAAATATAGGTTAAGACAAAAATCTGCTCAAAAGCTCAGGTGCGAACCTCGTTAAATAAGCAAATGAAAAACCCTTTATACAAGTCTTAATTACCGGTAAGCAATCATTAAATTTTTACAAGCCCTCTCAAAAGATAAGATTTATTATGTATTTTTTTTGTCATGCAGATGAAAAATTGACTGCTGTACAATTCATGCTTTACAATAAAGGTACAAGACATACTTGTCCAGGCCTGATACTGGGCAGCTGGCCAGGTGACATCTGTTGGGATTGTTTGGGGGAGTACATTTCTGGCATCATTGGGCCATGGGGACGGGGCTGCCTCATCTGTCCTGGGTGAACGCCTTCATTATAAGGAGGTCGCATACCATAACCTTCCATTTCTGTAAAATAACACAGGTGTTTAGGAATAACAAACTAAAGATATAACCCAAATTCATAATTATATGTAACTCAGTAATTAATCTTAATTAAGACCAACTGATCTGTATCTTCTGTTTCATTTTCCATTGAATATAATACAGTATAGTGGTACAGTTCAGTATAGGATTAGGTAAAAAAAAATCATTAAAAAGTAAAAGAATTTAAAGTAAAGTACAGTTGAACTTCAGCATCTCGAACACCGATATATCGAATACCGTGGATATGTCAAAGTGATTTAGAAGTCCCAACCTCTTATTCTTTAAGTATTTTACCCTGGATATCTTGAATCCTCGGATATCTCAAAGTTTTTTCTCTGTCCCATCGAGTTCAAGATAACAAGGTTTGACTGTAGTCATATACATGCATTAACTAAGGACTGTGTAACAATTAACAATGAATCAACCATTACCTACCTAATATCTAGAGAAAAAATGTTTCTAAATGCAATTTGCCTTAAAGACCCTTTACCACTGGCTGGTACAATTACAGTTGAACTTGTGAAAAAAATTGCCAAATAAATTACTAGCAAACAAAATTTGTTGCTCTTGAATAAATAGATTTTATACTGAATCAAGAATTACAAAAAAAAAACAAAGCTGAAAAATGAGTTAATGTGCTAATTAAATCAATATTATGTTTTACAAGGTTTAGAATAATTAAAAGTAATGTACCCCTTGTTTCATGTTGAACTTCTCAAATTAACTGCACACAATGTTACACTTTTTAAAAACTTGATGGGATCGTAAATTCTGTGAAACCTTCAGTCTGAGAGAGATTTTTGTCAGACTGTAAATGAAATGGTTAGTTGGTGCAAAATGGACAACCTTTGTTATGATAATGTCTCTGTATACAATTATGAAACATGTGCATTGCAATAAAAAAAAGTGTACATCAATAAGGAGGGAAGGTGCTTAGATTCGTGCCAACAATGAGCATCAAGTAAATTGCAAATAGGTAAAAATAAAAATCATTTGGTTTTTAAACTTTAGTTTACAAGAATTTTCAAGCTGGGTTCATAGGAGATTATTTATATTATTTCTCTTTGCCATAACCCCTCAACAAACATGACAAATAAAATGACTTAAAACAGAAGTAATATTTCCATATAAAACATACCATGATTACATGAATTCTGAAGTACACCTACATGTACTCTAATGCAAATTTTGAAAAGTTTTCCTACTGGTAAGGTCAACATCATGAAACTATTTTGCAAGAATGAATTAATTTTTGGACATGCAGAAAATCTAATTTTGATAATAAGATGCCAGCACTACCAAAGGAAAACCTACCAGTGGGGTGGGGGATTTGCCTTGGCCCTGGCATTCGGGGTGGGGCCGGCCACGTCCCTCTGGACCCGGGGAAACGGGTCATCTCCTCAGTATAGGCTGTAGTAAAAAGCAGTGCAATAAAGACATCAAAGTGTGGAAGCACACAGCACAAACAAAGTATAATTAGTAATGGGTATTACCAGAGAGTACTAAGTATCTACACTTGTATATTTACATATCTAGTGTTAGAACAAGAGTACTTCAGAAGAAATTAGAGTACAGTGTCTCAGCTACGAGTAAATGGAGAGGCACCATGCCCCACCCTGAAATCAGTGCACCCTTGTGTCCCCTACATACAGCCCTGTATCCCCTGTTAGCGCCCCACATCACTATGATCATCCTGACCTTCACTCCTCTTATTATTTTGCTCCCAAGCAGATTACCTGATGACAATCAGAATTTTACACCTTCTGGACACTGACTATCATGCAATTTAATTTCGCATTACTTCCAACACAGGGACATATATATACACATTATCAGTTGTTACTTTGATATTCTAAACAGGAGTTCTCAAACAAAAACAAGCTGAAAAACCTCTGAGCAAGACCAAGCTAAATTGTTAAATCTTGTCAGCAATTCCACAGGCAAAATGCCCACATAGAGAAGAAAGAAATCTCTTAAAACCATTCACACTTCATAATGACGTCTACACAAATTACATGGATGCACATGGACATAAAGCAAATTTCTATAAAAATATGTAAAGCCTACCCTGTTATTTTTACATGTAATCAGAGTAAGACTGTCATAGAATCTGACAAAATCAAACGTCAGTTCTAACAAAGATATCTGGAACATTCACATCCCTTGATAAATGATTTACATTTTATCTGATAATGTTTAGGACTTTTCAATGACTCCTTGTACATGTACCTTATAAATAACTTTCTGTGAGGCTTTTTCCATTTCTTTTTTATAACGCAGACTTGGGAAGACAACAATTAGCATTATAACACAAGGAACACGTTATATGTATATATATTACCAGCCAGAATAAAACCAGTAAAACATAAAACAATGAAAGGAACCAGAAAAAATAATATAAATGGGTTAGTTAAGCAAATCTTTAAAACATCTAATGAAACAGAGATTAGTGGCAACAGATAACACATTGTACTGAAAATGTACGATCCTGAACATATTTTCATTAACTAGTTTACATGTCTTCACTCATCTACTGAATATTTTTCTAAACAGTACCGCAGTACTGTGCCAGTAATCCCATACCCCTTTCTTAATTCAATTTTCAGCATGATTTTAAACTATCTGCATAACCATTCTTATTTTATTGAAACTCCCAAACTCTACTTGTTTTCTGAACATAAAATCTTTGAATAAATGCGAAGGTTGAATTGACCATGAGTGTAGATAACATCAATTTAATGTTGAAATGACACGACATAATTAATACAGATGTTGAGCTGGGTGGTGCTGTTTTTAGTCTTACCTGGTGGGTGGCCCTCCCAGGGAGACTGAGGCGGTGTGGCCTTGCCCTGCCTCATTCTGGACTCTGCCTGCTTGTGTAGGATATTTCTCACTTGTTGACTTGTTTCTCCAGCTGATGTCTTGTCCTGCAATCCCTGCTTGTCAAGCAAAATCAGTATATTAAACATCCCTACATCATTCTTAGTGAACTTGGGAAGGATACAAGTCAATATATTTTTTTCCATATTTTAGATACTTTTTGAAATGGTTCCAATCAATCATGTCAAGGAAGAAAAACAATCAAACCTGTACCTGCCAGTGTTAAGCTATGTACACCACATTCTCATTTTTGAATTTATATATTTATATATATGTCAGTGTGTCAGATGACTGTAAACTGTTTCAATTTAAATAATCCCCCCTGGCGCCCCAGAGATAAAGGTAAAAAAAAGATTAAAAAATAAGAAAACCAATCAATGGAAGGCAAAAAGGCATCAAAATGCAGCAGCATGTATGTCAAACATCTTTAATTTTTTTTTTTAATCCAAAAATATTTTGCATGTGTTTTCATAAGGCCAACTTTGTTTTTCCCAACTCAGGAAGAAAAAATTGGGTCGGTAGGTAGGTAAGAAAATTTTTTATCATGGAAAATTTCAATTACAATGCTTATTTTTTAAAATCTATTGCCTACAATATATATATATATATATATATATATATATATATATATATATATATATATATATATATATATATATATATATATATATATATATATATATATATATAAAATAATTGCTGTCTGGAGGTTAAAAAAAGTTTTGAGTCGGGCCATTTTTAGCCAGTTGGTCATGAGAGGGCAACCAACCAATTTTTTAAGATGGCCTAAGTTGAGAATTTTTTACAGACAAATGTGCTTGAACAAAACTTCATAATTAAACACATTTTTAGTACTAGTATACATGTATGTACAATGTAATTACATGTAAAGGTGATGCATCTTGTACGGATGGTAAATAAAGTGCATAAAAATTCTCACAACATAAAATAACTGGACATTCAGTTACCATTTAAGGGGAAACAAAAACAAAAAGACGTTGAATCAGCTGTCCAGATTGTGCACTGCTGTGAGACTGGAGTTGTTAATTTGATTAAGTACTGGTACAACAACACTAACCTCCAATATGGATTCTGAATTTTCTGTACATTCAGAAGAAAACAAGAATCTTCTGTGATTTGTTAGATATGGTGCAGGTTAGATTTTCTAGTGGGAGAAAACAGCTGCTATGTATAGTAGGTTAACAAAAAGCACGTGCAAACTAAATCTGTGACCATCTGACATCTAAGAGCCTCTATCAGCTCGAGGCAACTATTTTCATGTGCCTTAAGTACAATAACTAAATGTACAAAGACACAAGAAGATGGGATTTTCTGGTAAGTCTGTACGCCAACATTCTCATATAGTAACACCAAATATTATCAAAGATTGAGACTCAATGCTGCAAGTCATATCTTTTTTAGATTAACATAAAAACCTATCCCTGCATGCCTTGATGGGGAGTAATATTAAACGGTAATTTTATTGTATGACACATTCCATTTACTATCAAAACCTGGATGATGAGCATGCCATTTTAGAAATCAAATTAAGATGTGTGCTATGTTGGGGTTACAGCTGTCATGCATTTGATCACCTGAAGACAATCCTGTTGTTTTAAGACTTACCAAATAAGGATGTTTAATAGAGGAAAACATTCCAGAGAAAGGGAATAGTGCATGACGTCTACTGGCAGCAGCATACATCTGCTGTAACTATGGCAACAAAAAAAGGTCAGAGGTCAGCAATTAATGACTACCATCAACTCAAAAGAGAAAAGTATAAGCCAGTGAGTTAACAAAAACTAAAATTATGCGTGAAGTCTACAACATCAATATTGTGAACTTTGTGTTCAAACAATCTTGTCCAACTTTTTATGATTTATGCCAATATATTGGATTTATGCATTCTTTTACTTTTGATCTGTGTAAGCTAAATAATTTTTGCCAAGGACAAAATTGTTTTTTAACTTAAAATGTTAAAAGACTGTTCAGGCATGGGCTATCTACATGAATAATCACACAAGTGGTTGTCCAACATAGATTTAATATCAATTTTTGAGAAACGTGTTGAGAAAATTTCAAACTGCATTTTTTTAAAATAACTATAAGCTTGAAACATAGCAATTTTACCACATCAGAAATCTTGCCTTAAACCTCTGTATATTTTGAACACAGAGATTTTTGTCATAATAATTAAACCTATCTGAAACCCCACTTGTGTTACGACATACAATTGCTGCAATTAGCACCTAAGGCTCTGTCTTTTCATTGTCATACTTTTCATTTCTACTGTTTAGTAATACATGAATTACTGAATAAGGAACATGCATAGCTGATATAAATACATGTATCTACAACTACTTGAAACAGCTGATATAAATATCTACTTATACTTAAATCAGCATCATTTAATGTAAAAGCATTTAGAGTTACATAGATTGGCTCATTTCCATTCCATCAGATGTAAGTTCTCAAGTCAGTAATGACAAGATCAGCACATGCTTGGTAGGACTATTTTAGGTGATAGCCATGCATCAAAAGAACCAGACTTGCTATACATAAATCTTTAGTATCCTTGGATCATTTGTTTAAGTAATTTTTTTTAATTATTAAATTAATGCTAATTTATAATAACTGTTTTACATCACTACAGACCTCCGAAGTCTTTCTTGTCCATCATTTGCTTATTGGACTTTACTTGTCAATTCTTAGATGCAAATTGCAGCAATTCACACCATCAAGGGTAATTTCCTAATACAACATATACCAAAAATAACAGAAAGCTTTACATTGCAAACCTCACCAAGAAAACAGTGTAATTAACATAGTATTTAATTTTTTCACAATCTCCCCATAAGTTGCAAAAGCAACAGATCTACCAATGAGGTTTGCAATAGAAAAATCCAAGGAAGCTAAAAAAAAACTAAACAGAGCAGGGAGTTACTTGAATTGTGTGCTCACAGTTGATTCTGATTTAACTGTATTATTAGAATCAAAGGTTAGTGTGCAACAGAAAAGCATTTGAGTAAACCTGCAAAAAACAACACTCTTAAAGGGGACTCAAAGTGAATGATTTGAACTTTTTCTCTTTGAAAAGTCATGTAACTGAACAAAACCAGAAACAAATTCAAAAAATGTTTCTGTCATTTTTGACTTTGGAAAAAAAACCAACTTTGTGTAACATCATGACTAAAAACCTGTGCTTGTGTTGTGCCTTTAACAGTGGTGAGACTTTGTTGATGTTTTTTCCTGTGGATTCTGGAGAATATTGTACTCTTCATGAGGTACCAAGTAGAAAGGAGTGTTACATACATGTATAACAAACACGAGGAGTTGGGTAATATTTTTTTTCTAGTGAAAAAAAAAACCCAAATGAATCACCATGCAGTGAAACCCACTGTGGGCTTGAATAACCATGCAGTGTAGCCCACTGTGGGCTTTTCATGCATTGAAGACTTACTGCAGATTGTTCCCTTGGTGGCTCCATACCAGGGTGTAAAGGTTGCCCATAGACATCTGGTCTTGAAGTGGGTGGACCTGGGGGTCTAAATGGGAGCCTCATGCCTGCCTGTCCACCCATTCTGTACAGTTCAGAAGCTGTACCATGTAATGGCTGTCCCATTGAACCTGGGACTGAGCTGGGTGGATATGGAGGCCGCAGATGATCTCCCATTCTAGGGTACATGTCTCCTGGCTGTCTCCCCCCACCATCTGGACTTTGGACCTCTCCTGCTGGTCTTGGACCAGGAGTACTGGGAGGAAAAGCATAAGGATCCTCAGTGTGGGAGGTCTGAGTAGCTGGCAGAGAAGACTGACGAGAGAATGGTGGCCTTGGACCCCCTTGTGGAGGAACCATTCCTGGCCTAGGTGTGTGAGGTGGCTGTGCATATGGATCAAATGGGTGACCTGGAGTTGGACCATGTCCAGAACTGATTCCCTCCATCGGAGTACCTGAAGGGTTTTCATAGGAATCAGACTCCTGAGCCTGACCAGGCCACTGCAGTTTTGCTGGGGACTTTTGGGGAGTTTGTGGTCCTGACATGGGAGTTGAGGGAGGCTTAACATAAGGATCCTGACTGTATGGGTCCATTCCACCTGAAGCAGTTCGGACAATGGGAGGTCTAGGAGGTCCCCCCTGAGGATGCCGCATTCCTGGTGGTGCCATTACTGTAAAATAAAATAAAACTCCAAATAATAACTAATTCAAAGTCAATTTCACCTTAAAAAGAAATTTAAGAATTAAAATGACACTTCAAAATTATTGTATATTTATATGCACCTAAACAAGGTGTGTTTACGAAACAGTATGTCATAGCTGAGAGTTCTATCTGAGGTTGATGTAACACTTGGACATTGCCAAAACATAACTGTTATTTCGTAATGCTGAAATATTATTGTCAAGATTGAAAAGTGAACAAATAGGCTGAAAAAAGAAAAACCTCTATCTCTGATCTAAAAAACATAAAACAAATGGCCCATGGGCCACAACTTTCACCTCAGTCACTTTGGCCCTGCTGTTCTTCATCAGCAAATTTCTTCCCCATCTGCTCACATGTAAAACTTTAATCTCCTATTGTGGCCCCATACTCCCACTGGGGTCATGATTTGAACAAACTTGAATCTACATGTACACTATTTGAGGATGCTTTTACATTAATATGACTGATCATGTTTAAGATATTCTTGAGAAGATTTTTCAAAGATTTTTTTTCTCATATATTTACTTATAAAACTTTGATCCTCCATTGGGGCCCCACCATACCCCTGGGGGTCATAATTTGAATGAATCTACTATGTCAGGAAGCTTTCACATAAGTTTGGTTCTTGAGAAGATTCTTCAAGACATTCACCCTATTTCTGCATTTTCTGGTTATCTCCCTCTTTTCAAGGACATGGCCCTGTGTTTTAACAAATTTAAATCCCCTTTACTCAAGGATGCTTTATGGTAAGTTTGGTTTAAATTGGTCCAGTGGTTTTGGAGAAGACGAAAATGTGAAAAGTTAACAGAGGAATGGACAGACAGACAGACAATGGATGACAGGTGATCGGAAAAGCTCACTTGAACCTTCCATTCAGGTGAGTAAAAAGAATGTCATATACGGTAATACAGTTTAAAAAGCCATAATACATGTACATGTATATCCAATACTTTAGAGAACAAAGTTGATATTAGGTAATTATTGCTTACTTAATTCAACATGTTGCTGGCATTGAGAGAACAAAGTTGACTCTACAATTCATACTAAGGTTATGATTCTCTACTCAACATATTCCTGGTATCAAATATACTGATATTCCAGCTAACAAAGTTCAAGGGTACTTAATCTTATCTAACTTTAACTCTAAACTAACTTAAGATTTTCTACATATACACGTAATTCAATGGTTTTAAGATGCTCACCTGGATTGAAGGGGTCACCATGTGATGCCATCATCCTCGGATCCTGTGGGGTGGTGGGGTGACTAAGGGGACTCTCTGGTAGACTACCCGGCATCTGACCAGGGGAGTGACCTGTCAATCAAGACCAATTTCTGATTCATTTGAAAACCTTAGTATCAGATAACATAGGCTTTTTAAATTAACATATCTTAAACCATTTAAGAAGCTGTATGTAGAGAGGTTCATCTCACTATACATTGAAACAAACTGAAGAAATCCTTCAGCAAATACATGTATCAAAATCACAACTCTTCTTGATCTTTGAGCTTTACATGTGTCCTGTTTCTATGCCAACATTTTCAGAATTCTCACTTCCAGTGCATCTCTGATGAATGCATGAAACAGAAGTAATCTTGTTACAAAGGCCCAAAATACCTTAACGCAAACCTAAAATTTTTGTTTTTTTTTTTATACATGTACCTATTTGACGAGTCGGTAACCATTAGTTCCACTTTTGGATATCTCTTTCTGAGAATTACATTTTTACTGAGAGTTTAGTTGAAATTTCTCTGCTTCTATTCCTAATTATCCAGAAACAATAAGAGCTATAAACAATGTGAACACTAGATCTACTTTCTTTAATTAATAAACAAGCCCCATACAAAGTGCACCTTCAGGAAATGGCTCGTACATTTTGCTCTTCCGCCTAAATTACAGTTCTATTTTCACTTCAGTATCAAAATGCTTTCAGTGTCTTTAATTTTTCACAATAATGTATGCTCACTGATAATAATGGTATCCTATTCTTAATATTGTTTCTTGAAGAATCTATGCATCAAGTTGAGTACACATAAGTACACATGAAACTTGAACATATGTTTGTACTCCTTAAACATTAGAGAGGTTTAGCAAGCCAATGTGTATGCAAATGTGTAGGAGGGGATTCCCCTTGGAAATTGGGGGGCCGTTTTACAAAAGAACTTACAACTAAGACCAAAAACTTAAAATGATTGTAAAATTGTGCAAAATTAATGATTCTTTTTAAAATTGCTAGCATAAAAATATCTATGTTTCTATTAAAAAGATTAAAACCTTTTTTAATTAATGTAAATTAGAAAGTTATAAGCAGATTTAAATTTTGGTCTTACATCGTAAGTTCTTTTGTAAAACGGACCCCTGGGTATTGGGTCATTTGCTATTGACAATTTTCTACACATATCCATTTCCGAAAAGAGGGTCGAGCACTTGCAAATCCAAACTTGTAACTTATATTTCCTTATTTGCTATTTATTTCAAGATGTCTGTTTTTCGAAAACCTGAAGAGTTAATGTGAATACTGACAAAAACAACTTAATTTTATCATCAAAAAATCCTATTTTATACAGTGTTAAACTCAAAACACACTAATCATGAAAGATTTTTTTCAAATAATGTGCATATATTAATATATATTAAACAAGAAATGTACTGTTAACATGATCATGTAATCCTAACTTGTTAATTACAATGTACAAGTCCAATTACATAAAATTTCTTAATCTCTCTATTGCATGTAAGTCTTTTTGAGAAGGAAGGCTGCAAATTTACATTTGTACTAGGAACTTATGGACACTGAGCAGTGAGGGATACTTCTCATGCCAGCATGGGACCTCAGTATTTACAGGCCTAACCAAAGGACACATCAACGTAGTTACAGTTACATTAAGAATTTAAATCCTTCCTAAACGAGGAAATACCTTCTGGTGTGGTCATCACAGAGGGACTACTGGGTACTCTGTTAGAAGGACTCATGCCAAGAGGGGAACCCATATCTAAAATAAGATTCAATATGTACACAATAAATAAAATGAAAATAAATGAAATGATGCAGACATAACGACGCTTAAAAAATTTACTGATATGTTCCTCCAATAGGACTACCATTTACGTACATGACCCGAATGTACCAATGACGCTAAAGATTTGATTCCTGCTCTGATCTTATGTTACCCATAAAGAAAATCTTACATATCATATATGTATTATTTTGATACAAAGTTATTACTTACTGTCACCTTGAGGTGGATAAGGAGAATTTTGAGCGAGAGGCATTTGTCCCTGGGGTCCTGGAGGCATTGGCGGTCCCATTATTGGGGGTTTATTCTTCTTTTTAAATTCTTGTGTCTGCTGCAGAAAAACATGTACAGTAACCACAAAAAGTAAATCCCTTAATCTAAATAATACTCAGTAATATAGAGGCACTGAGACATTTTAGCTAGATAACATACATGTACGAGGGTTGTCCGTAAAGTTCGTGGACAAGCTAAAATTTAAATAAAAGTTGCGTCATATATATTTATTATTAGCATATTTATAATCCTTTACTATATGTGAATTACAAAATGAAAAATTTTATTCAATTTTAAGTGTATAATTACAATTATGACTTCATTATCAAACTTGGGATGGTGACCCAGAGCACAACAAAGTTTTAATTAAAAAGTTATTAATCACTTTACACATTTCATTTGTATTTTGTAAAATTCCACGGAAATTTGGATGGCTTTTACATTATAAGGTTGACAAAAGTTATAACGTCAAACCTGTAAAATTTGAACGTTCAAAGTTTCGAAATGGCAGAGAAATCGAGGTCAGAGTTTTTAAGATAGTTTCGTCATTGTTCGAAAAAGGGACGTTTTCAGAAAAGGTGGAGCAGAGAGTAGTGATAAAATTGTGTGTAGACATCGGAAAAAACACCAACAGAGACCCATAAATTCCTTAAACAGTCGGGAAATCATAGTAAAGTAATCTATTCTTTAGTGTTTAAGTGGCACAGAAGATTTTCGGATGAAAGAGACTGTTTACTGGATGACATGCATGAAGGAAGACCATCGTTTCGAGATTGTAGTGCTGTAAAAAATGAAGTTCGTAACCTGACTTTGCCATATTTTCGTACATACAGTCGTTTTACGCGGACAGAGGTTTGATGATTTGCAGGATCTGAGACAGGAAGTTGTTAAATATTATTTCATGTATGAAACCAGAATAGATTGTGCACATTTTTGATGACTGGTTGAAACGACATAAGAAATGTGTTGAGTGAAACGGTGACTGCGTTGAGAAAACTTAAATGTATTTAGCATTTGACATCGAGTAACGTCAAGGATTTTCGTTTTACTGCTCCGGGTATGAGTGTGTATCTTTTTTGTATCTGATAAAATATAACTATTTGTGCTTTGTTTGTGATTAAAACTTGCATATTAATAAACTGAAACATCAATTTAATGAAAATAATAGTTTCATATGTTTTATCAATGTTTGTCAGTAAATATCAATGTTGTCCACGAACTTTACTGACAACCCTCGTTAGCATGACATGTCTATAAATTACAATTTTATACTGGGGTATGTTTCAGATGTAACAAGAGTAATTTAATACTACTGTATACAGGGTTATTTTCACCCCATTTAATTTTCACCCTTTCACACTTGCAAGCAATTTTGCCCCGTTTTAAATTCGCTCAGTCACAGTTTTGTTTAAGAAATTATATTATGTTCTTTGAATTTGCCCCGTTTAAAATTCGCACACCTGTGAGTGGGTGAAAGGGGTGAAAATAAAACGGGGGTGAAATTTTCCACGTATACAGTATACCTTAGTATTAGCTCGGTTTTTCCTGGCCTGCATCTGAAAAAGACAAAAAAAAAAATCATTAACAGGCAAACCAGTTATAATTTTTCATTTAAAACCTGCACAGTAATACTGAAAGAATTAACAATGCACATTCAAATACTGATTATAATGTTTTTTGACGAAATATTCAATAATAGATCCTATTTCTCACCAAATAAGGTTGCTTCTCATCAGAGGATAACTCTCGCCAAGCCTTGGCAATTTTCTTAACTCTTTCTGACCAATCTATTAAAAAAATACCATGAAAAAGGTATTATAAATCTCTAAAAAATAAAAATTCAATCAAAAATCTTACTATAAAAAGCAAAATTCCTGTATTTCATCTTTAAATACAAACTTCTCACCAAACTGATAGTGAAAACATGTCCCTCTCAGGTTCAAATAACAATCATCTACCTCCTAAACTTTACACATTTAAATATACCTGTCTTGTTGAAGCTAACACTGTACCTGGGTATTGTTGTTTAAGCTCTGGATGCCTCAGATTGCAGTACAACACGGCAGAAATGGTGGATTTCTCTCCTAGGTCCTCATCACACTCCCACTTCAGCATATTACGGCGGCTTGTGGTGGTGCCTCCACCATCTTCACCATCAGCCCCCACCTGTTGCCAGGAGGGCTGTTCTCCTCCCATCGCCCTGTCAAACAATAAATTACAATTAAGAACGGAATGGGTTTTTTCCCAAACAAATTTTACTGAACAATAAAAATGCATTTTTCTTTTGATACACCATTTCACTTTTTAAAAAAAAAACTCTCAAAAATACCACTCAGTCTGCTTTTCAAAAGCTTTTAAGTTTCCATTTAAATGTTGAATATCACAAATTTTTGACACTGTTATCCTTTGAGCCAAAGAGCGAAACAGTACCTGAAGTCTCCGTAAGGCATTCCAGGCATTGGTGGCATCTGTCCTGGGTGTTGCATGTGGGGTGGTAGACGTGGTACAGAGGGGCCACCCACAGGGAACTGAGGTCCTCCACCTGGTACAGCTGCAATTTTTCAATATTTAAGCATTTACTTTGCATGCATTAGATACAACAGGCTAAGAAAAAAATCGCTTTTACTTTTGCATTGAAAATTCTATTATCCTACTGAAGTTCTAAGAAAATTGTGTACTGTTTAATATCTGATTTTGTATTGTTTGACTGATTACATTGATTAGGATCTCCATCAGGTTGAAGGACTCCCTTGAATATGTCATCCACTGTCTGTCCATCTATCTGAGTCAAATCTGTAAAGTGAGATAATAATTGTTAAGCCTGATCTTGCAAGATATTAAATACTGTAAACTAGTTTATGTACATGTACTTTTAGTCATAATGTACATTGATGCATAATCATAATATTGATCAATCTCTATCTCAAAGTTAGGTTTCTTTCAGTTAGGTAGAAATTTGTTTAATACTGTAGATTCCTTATTGAAGGTGAGTACTTGATATCCCCAAATGACTTGTAGGTGCCAAAATGCAAGAACATGAATTTGGGAGTGGACTTTGATCTAGAATTTTCACATGTATTTCACCAGTATAAAAATTAAAATACTTTAATTTTAGGAGTGATGCTTCTCACTTACATTTAGGAATATACAGTAAAATAAGCAGTCTTGATTCCCTTTCATCATCATTTTCTCTGTACATGTATTTATGTGCTGTATTTGAGAATTTTTCTCCCTCATATTTCCATTATAACTTTGCAGAAATTTCTAAGAATGTTCTCATACTATGTATTAAGAAAGTATAAAATGAAGTATGTAGCCTGAATTATAAACTTACCATCAGGAAGCATTTTATCAACATCAATAGTGGTTTCCACGTCAGACAGGATGTCTGGAAGCTCCCCACTGGGTCCTGCTGTGGGTTGACTGGTCGAAGGCTGTTCCTCTGATATAGGGAGATCTATTAGAAGCAAAACTCATCTCATTTAATACATGTACTTATTTATAGAGCCATGATTAATTTCTTATCAGCTTTTGACATTGACTTCTAACAAATAAATTCCGGCAACCTGCAAATGTTGAAACTGGAAGTACATTTAATTTACAGAACAACAAATTAAAAAGCAACCACAAAAATTGTTCTGTGCATTTGGTTCAAGTTGTCATTCCTGATGGAGAATCAGATCTACAAATAAAACCTATATCTATTAGATATTATGTTCACTTTGTCAACACTTACCTCCATCTTTGAAAATACTCAGAAGATCATCAGGTGGTAGTTCTTCTAGGTCTGGTAACACATCCCCTGAAAACAAAGACCTCTCTCTCAATACGTACCAAATCTGATATACATTTAATTATTTAATTACAAAATGATCTAACAAATTCTTCCTACATTTTGTACTTCAAACATACATGTATAAAACCAAAGCATGTTTAGGAACACTATCAGCAACTACATGTATTTTACATTTGATAGTGTAGATATATAGTGTTTTTTTTCAGAAATACCTATAGGGTTAATGTCACCACTAGTTCCTGGAAAACTCGGAACTAATGATGCCCCAGCTGATAGAACAGATTGAGAGGTTCCAACAGAGGGCAGAGCTGCAGGGAGCTTAGAATTTCCCTGGTTTAACTCAGGAAACAGCGAGGGCTGGGGGATGTCTTTTGGCAGGTTAGGGGTAGATGCCCTTGATTCGTTGTCTGAATCTGAGTCTGCTCTGTGACCTTGTTTGACCTTGGCTTTACTTTTGTCCAGGATATCCTTTCCAAAGAAGGCTTCCTAAAGTAAAATTAATTTGTCATTCAGTTTTTAAAATATGGAATATGACAACATTTGAAGGAATTAAAAATAATTCAGCATATATAGATACACATACAGTATATGATGTTGTAAAATATTGTTTACATTTATAGAAAGAAAGGTGTCTACATCTGTTGCCTCAATTTGGAAAACAATAACTAGTAATTTTGACAAACCTGTAGATAGTTGGGAAAACTGTTTTCCAGTTGACTTTTCTTGCGTGCTTGGCGCTTCCTCTGTTTCTTCATTTCACCTTCCCCTAACTGAATTGGAACTGGTTCACCATCCTCACCTTATGAAAATACATGTAAAATGAAAGAACAGTGAAATTTTAAGTTACATTATTTGTGTAAAAACATAAACATGTACTAGAAAACTGACCAGTCAGCAAGGGCCCTGCCGAGGGGTAGAAATATAAGGGTGCAGCTTACAGAATGAGAATTTTAATACAAAAATTTAAAAATATATGAAGAAGAAGAATATGCATTAACAACTGTATTTATAAAATTTCAAGATAATTCTTAAATATCCAACAACCTGTAAAGAGTATCCCTGTATTTACATAAGGCAGTAAAAACATCTTATTTATAATAACTCAATTAAATGTATATTTAAACAAGAACAAAGCATGTGTTTTATAAAATGCCAGCCTTCAGAGAATGCAAATATCACCCAGGCTTGACCTTAACTTCAAAACAAACATCAGTTGCAGACAAAGGTTAATTTATCTTAAAGTGACAAATAAAGATAAGCCTGGAAAATTTTCTTCCCAGACAAGATATTTAATCCCTGGGGATTAGTTGCACTGCTCTCTCATCCTTTTCTTCCAAGTTTACAATAAGAACTTTTTCAGTAATGATAGAATGAGTTTATTATCCGACTACCTGTTAAAATTAATAGTATTCTTGAATTTACACAAGGGAACCAAAAAAAAAAAAAATGAATAAATAAATAAATAAAAAAAAACATATCTTAATGTATATCTTGTTTTTAGAATTCAATAAAATCATAACTCATTGTGTTTTTTACCAAAATAAAGTATGAACATTATTAAATCCATATTTCAGAGAATGTAAACATTATTAACTGACCTTAACTTCAAAACAAAATTCATTTGCAGAGGTATTAATTAATCTCAATTTGAAAGAAACAGATAATGCTTTGGATTTCCTTCAAGAGGAAAGTTAAATTAATCCCATGGGACTTGTTGCAGCTTTCATAGTTTACAATAGGAACATTCTCAGCAGTTATCTCTCTTTGCCATGGCATTCATTCAAATGTAAAGTTAAGGAATCTACCCCACCACCCAAGCTCCAAACTGGATGACATAGAGAACCAAACTTAGCATCAAAATATGTCTTACTGCCTCTTCAACCAACATACCAAATTTGAACTTAATTGGTCAACTACAAAAAAAGTTATTAGAAAAAAACAGAAAATTTGTGGATGGAAGAATGACAGACAGACGGACGGACAGACAGAGTGATTACTATAGGGCACCCGCAAATCCTTGCGGGGCCCTAATAAGCAACTTATTCATAAACTATCTAGTTATCATAAAAACATAAATCTAGTTATCATAAAAACATAAAGGATTATGCTGCTAGGAAGAATATTTCCCCTTTATTACAAAGATTTGTTAAACCATTGCTTGCCCATTGATATTTTACTTTTTATCTATAATATACAGGTAACATTTGTTGTGAAGTATTACAAGGAATGCATTTCATATTTTGATAATTATCGCCTTAAATTTGAATTACCAGTATTTCACTATAAATAGTGGGTCAATTATGAACAATTAGAGTTCTCATATGAGTTTTGAAAACATGCAAAACTCTTACATGTACATGTATAGTACACACAAACAAAACTTAAAATCATAGATTACATGGCCAGTGATCACCAGCATAACCTTTATAACCTCAAATCCTACCTTCAGGACGAGGTTGTCCATCTGCCAATTCCGCAGGAACTTCTGACATTTGCCTCTTAACATTTGCTTGTCTACTCCTTTGTTTGGCAATAAATCCTCCCACGCCTGAAAATTTATATTGAAAAAAATTAACTGAAACCAAAGGAGAGTATTTAACTGAAGGTTTTGAAAGATGTATCATTTTTTTCCTCTCTCTAAACAATGTGGGAGTTGATTTGATGTCAAAACACACCCAGTCCAATAGTTGTCCTCTTCTTTCTCTCTTTCTTCTCCCCCTCCAAAGGGATTCCTGGGGGTACCTGTCCTGTGGGGCTCAGCAGGGAGTCGCCATCCCCTCTGACTTCAGCTGTTAGTGGGGTAGTCACCTCACTCGTATCATCTAGGCCATCTGAAATTCCAATGTCTCATCATGTTAAAAACTTCCACCATAAAAACTTTTGAATATTTAAGATTTTTTTTAAAGAACAATTTCTGCAGATTTTGCGACCAATAGATTATATAAATTCTTCTGTTCCACTGCTTTCTTAAGAACACTTTCCTGCGATACTGTAGATTTAGATCAATTCCAGCAAGAGTTTTAAATTCTTCAGAAATTTTCCCCATGATTTACGATTTTTTCCTGTGAAATAACAGCTAACCTTTTTCTAATTCATCTCCCTCTGTAGACATCTGAGTTGCCAAGCGTTGCCCTGGTAACATATCAATTGATGGTCGTTTGTTGGTACGTCTCTGTCGTTTCACTTTTGGAATCTGTATCGTTATTTCCTGCATGTGTTGTACTCCTGTCTCCGACAAGTAAACTCCGTCCATCAAGTATCGCTTTTGAGGAATAGGTTCTATAATATTTAAGTGCAAATTGATCAAGCTTTAAACCCAAACTACATGTTATGGATTGTCTCAGTCATTAACAAACTCAATGATTTTAAATCAACCTGGGAGAATCAATCTTACAGTGAGATAAAATGAACATGTGATCATCATACATGATATACAAGTAAATCTGCTAAAATTTCCTCATCTACAATGTGATAAGACATAATACTGAAGTCAACAGCAATTATTCTTACAGTTAATGCAAATTAAGATTAAAAAAGTCAAAACATTTAAAAAATATGCAAGCTACAAATCAAAATTGTAAAATAATTTGAGATTTTTGACACACACATACAAATATGGTAGACATGTAGGTGCAGGCGACACATGTAATAAAGGCTTTCTTGAGTATATGTCAAAATCTGTTTAGGCATTTATATGGTCTATCAATCAAAAAATGTGTGCTGCAAGGCTTGCCTGATCTAAAACTTTACCAATAAAATTATGCAAGGAACAGTCTCAGAATTTTCACTTCAAAGTTTTTAAAATCTTACAGCTTTATTGTCACAAAACGTAATTCCCACATTTACATAAGAATTTGTATAACGCATCCTATACAAAAATGGAAACATTTGTTCATCCAGACTTGTCAAGCAGGGTTGATTTGAAAAAAACAAATAAAGCTTTTTGGTGTGCAGCAATAAAGGTGTCTTCTACATGCAGATATTACCGATAGGAAAATAGACTGGAGGAAACTTGGAAAAGTAGCTGCTTAAGCTCTCAACTGTCAACAAAAAGTCAAACAATGACCTTTCTATTTAGAACAAGATGAATTTAAAGGGTTTTAAAAAACATTGGTTACAAATTCCAAACAAATCTCAAATTCTTCCCTTGTTTTTGCTTATTTTCTAAATCAAGAATAAAGTTTCCTTTCCTCAACATATTACAAGAACATTAAAAGATTTCAAGTAGCTGTTGCTTTCTTTTGGCCCCTTTCCCTAAGAAATAGTTTTGAAAACAATTACTTAATGAAATAAGGTTTCTTTTATTGATGTTAAGAGAAATTTGCAACTTGAAAATTTATTATCATTTTTTATTCATTGCATGTTATAATTATCAATGGCAAATATTATATCATTAAAGTACACATAAATAAAATTTCAGCACTTTACTGTGCATATTTAAAATTCAAAGCAATTTCCAAAGAGGTATTGGAAAAAAAGTTAAAAATTTCTCCTCTTTCTTAAATTTTCTGAGTTATTTTTTGCTGGTTCTTGAAAGATCCCAAAGCAATTAATATTGTTATTTAGAATTGTTCACATAACTGAGATGTTAAGATTCTACATAAGCCTGTACATGTCCACTGTACATTTAATAGACTGGTTCTAGTAATTCTGCAAGGATGTGAGTGAGTACCTGGCTCTCTGTAGAATGGAGGGGTGGAGGGTTCTTCTATCTCCACAGGTGGTGGTGTCGGTGGTGGGGGAGGTGGTGGCACTACAATGAAACAGACAGAATCCTATGTATTATATGTAACTGTGCTGGATTACTTAAAGCACCTTAGAGCAATCTATAATTGAATGATATCATGAGCAATTTATATCGTAATTCAATCGAAAGAATTGACAAAAAACATTGTTTAACTTACAGACCTTAATCAGAAATTTTCTGAAAGTCTAAACTTTTTCAATTACATGGCAGACTGCTACTGGATTATGAAGCACTTGCAGAAAAAAAGCTTGTCAACAGTAGATATCAAAATCATGCCAATTTACTAAAGCATGAGTTGTGTTAATGCTTAGAACCTTTTAATTCACGCTGGATATCCTGTAAACAAAGCACTATAGAGGACAAGATATTCAAGAATTCCAGTTTAATGGATGCACAAATTTACTTACATGGTCCGTCTTTGCCTGTCTTTGGTCTACAGAACAAACACTGATAGTCATAATCAGCAGCCCTCTCCATATCATCCTCTGACCGGAGTCCATCACAGAGGGCGTGTAGCCAGCGATTACACTGCAGACACTGGATAATCATCTCATCCTCGTGGTACTTATGTCGACACACTGGACAGTCTATCTTACTGCGACAGGGACCACACTGAGTGTAATTGTTCTGCCAATTACAGCCAAAGCCTGGAGTGGTACTGCCACAGTTCACACACATTACACACCTATACAGCAAGTGCAATATGTAACTGGGAAATCTGTATATAAATGCTGCATTCAGCAGTGTCAATACACCTGTATCTTAAGATAACAAACAACATGGACATGTGTGTGTAATGTTATCTTGCTTCAAGTCAGTTGCAATCAAATACAGATGTACTTGTGTTCATTTCTAGAGATCTAAAAGAAAAACTGTGGACTCACCATTTACATTTCCAGGTTCCTTTTGGCACATGGTTCAAGGGTGGATCCAAACAATATATGTGGTAACTGATATCACACTCGTCACACAGGAGTAATCTCCCTTCATCATGAGGCTTCCCACAGCCCTCGCAAACAGTGCAGTCAAGGCAACGCCAGCCCTTCTGAAGAATCACCTTAGTTACCTGTAAACAACAATGCAGGCTGAAGTCATGAACTAGTGTTAAATCTAAAGCAAACTAGCATGGCGCGGCGCCATGCCCTTTTCTCTCGGCGCCATGCCCTTTTTTCCAGCGCCATGCCCTTTTTTCTTTGCAAAAATAAATAAATATGCCTAGCAGAGGCAAGATGGACTAGTGGCTTTGTTTATTCAGTGCATGCTGATTAGCCCCTTTGTTTATTTAATGCACCAAAGGTGTGAATTCAGGACAGGAAATCGCTTCTCGCTTGAACGCACACAGCCACCTGGCCAGGTAACATGCCTCAGGCTGTCAGGGTACAAGAGATAACACGAGAAAATATCATTTGATTGCATTGATAATGCAAGAATTAGCCCAATGTCAAAGATAGATTAATTTGTAAATTAAAATGTTACACATTTTAAATCAGGATCGTTTTTTTTTTTAAATTGAAAATAGAAAAAACACAGTTCATGAAGAAATGTGAAAAATAAAACTGCTGATGAATTAAGTCAACTTACAATGTACAGTACCAAAAAAACTGAATATTATGTGTGAAATGGGCTAGAAAACAACAAAGTATGAAGTTAGTTTCTTTCAACATGTTCAGTGATTCTGTGTTTTAACTTTTTGAGTTGACACCGAGAGGCTCAATGTTTCTAAGCCAGAAAAAAAGTTTTCACCAATTTATATATTATTTCAAGTTTAATTTTTTGGTATGATCAGTTTTCACTTGATTTTGTTGGTAGATTATTTTCAAAATAAAGAAAATGCCCTCTACATTTATTATCCAAGTAGCCCCCCCCCCCCCTCCCCACTTTGTAATTTTGTTCTGTTATTTACTTCATACACAAATAACAATATTAAAGCAAGGAAAAAAAATCATACCCCAAACTAAAATAATTCTTTTTAAGCATAACCTTGATAACCATACTAATTTCTTGATTAAAAAATTTGAATTTAAATTTTGGCTATAATTGCCCTCTCTGTGTGTATTAAATGAATTAAGCTGACAGATTTATAAATTTTTTCTTTTAGATACTTGTATAACTAAAGATTTCAGTATTAAATAATAATTTAAGTACATAAACATGATAAAGAAAATATTTATAATTTCAAAGACGTTAAAAAAGTGCCCTCATGAAAACTTGTCGCGGCGTAAAGTGCCCTTTTGATTATTGGATTATCATGCCCTTTTTAGGGTCTGGATTTAACACTATGAACTCTACAAATACATTGTCTACTTCCTTGTACAAATGTTTTGCTAAATGTGACAAAGTCAGATTTTTCTTTTTTCAAATTTTGACAGCTACATTGTTGAAACCAATTCTGGATAATATACCCATTTATAACTTAGGTAACTTTTAAAATTACACACAACTTTTGATTTTCATTACAAAGTCTTCTTTTACAAGGCATGTAACTACATGTAATACTTGTATTGCTTTCTAATGAGAATTAGTGTTGTTTTAATCTTCTAAGAATGCTATATTTGTACTCTGTTTACAGCTAGTTTTTATTCATCCCAACTAGAAATGCTTTTAAAACCCCCTGAATCTCTGACCTTGACACTGGCACAGTATGGATGATAACATTGGCCACACTGGGTGCAGACAATAAGCTTTCCTTCCTCTCCTCGACCAAAACTGCCACAACTTTTGCAAACATCCTGAAGGAAATAAAAATATTACTCAGGAAACTTTCTTTTCTTTGTAATAAATTAAATATTAAAGTATTAGATAGAAATTATTCAAAACGGAATTGAACAAACCAAAGGATGTACATGTTAAGGGGTACAGCTATACATTTTGTATCAAGTGCAGTAGAATTCTTACATGACTCATTTATAACCTTTTCTGACCTTGCACAAAAACACTCAACACCCCTAGTAAATCATCAGTTTGCTGAATACCTGATTAAGGACAAATCTGTCCTGAGCATTGGCCAGTATACTGGTCTGTGAATGATTACAATACCTGATCTAGGACAATTCTGCCTTGAGCATTGGCCAGTATAATGGTCTGTGGATGATTATTATACCTGATCTAGGACAAATCTGTCTTGAGCATTGGCCAGTGTAATGGTCTGTGATAGGATTACTATACCTGATCTAGGACAAATCTGTCTTGAGCATTGGCCAGTATACTGGTCTGTGATAGGATTACTTTACCTGATCTAGGACAAATCTCTCCTGATCATTGGCCGGTATAATGGTCTGTGAATTATACCTGATCTAGGACAAATCTGTCTTGAGCATTGGCCAGTATAATGGTTTGTGAATGATTACAGTACCTGATCTAGGACAAATCTGTCCTGAGCATTGGCCAGTATCAGGGTCTGTGGATGATTACTATACCTGATCTAGGACAAATCTGTCCTGGGCATTGGCCAGTATAATGGTCTGTGGATGATCATCACCATCGTCATCCTCTTCTGTTGAAAACTGAGTCTTCTTTGGAGGTTCTCCAGGAAGAGCTGGTGATATCTACACGTACAAGCATTGAAAGTACAGCTTTTGGAGTTTCGGAGAGAACATCAGCAATTTTTTTTTTTACATCTTTCAATCACAATTTTTTAAATTCTTTCTCTTTCAATCAATAAACCTTCAAGGCTCTTACTGAACACATTGTAATAATCTAAAATTTTGTCTCTAATGCAGTCTTTAGAGCATGAAAGGAATTATCAAAAAACGTTTTGGTTTTTAAAAATAATCATAAATGGAACAAACTGAGAGCCCTTTCCCCTGTAATAAGGGGCCTTAGCAATAATATTTCTGAGGAGATTGTGTGTTAATTTCCAACAGGTACCTGTGCTTGTAGTCCAGGCTGACTGGTTTTCAGCTTTGGTTTGGGTCCCCTCTTTCTCTCACAGAATGCTGGAGGTCTTTTTTTCTTTTCTGGTGCCATTGGTCTTCCCTAGAGGAGATATGATGTTGATAATCTATACGAGTATGTAGTGTAAGGCTGAGTAGTCATTTAAAGCATTCCTTTTACATCAATTTATCATGCACTTAAGTAATTTTGCTGTCAGGAATATTTGACAATTTTGACGTTAAAAAACAGAGTTGAAATATTGGCACTTTATATTTTGGCAAATTTTCATTTTAAATACTATGCATAACTCTGTGTAAACGTTATGCAAATGTTAGCACTATTTTTGTTTGATCTGCTAAAAAAAACCCCAACTTTTTGCCCGTTATACAGAATTTCCCAGTGACCTTTAATTTGTGATGTAGTTTTTGTCAAAAAATCTTGCAAGATCAAGATTCCAGATCTTAAAATATGTGGTATACAAAATACAATGTTTATATTCAAGTACATATACAAATAAATACAAGTAACTTAACTCAATCCTTGATTCCTTGTAAATTTTGATGTATGTGTATTCATGAATGTTACTGAACTTCGAAAGTCTTGTATGCACATGCTTTAGTTGATGGCATAAAACTAAAATGATACCAGCACTTACCCTTGACCTTCCAGGATTTGACACTCCTATTTTCTTGCGGCTCATGGCATTCAGTTTTCCTCCTTTGCTACCGATACCACACCCCTCTATATGGGGATGAATATGGGGAGGGCTAGAAAACTAATGAAGAAATTTTACAATGACAAAAAATCAAAAACACGTACATGTAAATTCATTATCCAAAAAATACCTGTATGTGTGTACATTGAAATTTGCAATTGATAACATGTCTTATGTAAATTTCACTCTTTTTTATTCCATATCTACACATGTATAAATGTAAAAAAAAAAAACCAAAAACAAAAACCAAAAAAAAAAAACCTTTTCCAGTGCATTGATGTCTATATCCATGCTAGAGATTGAGTCTTCATTTAGGAGGAAGGAGCTGGAGCTTTCATCCATGATGGAGGAAGCATTTTCCATGTCAGAATCTGTAAATAAAACATATTCACAGTCTTCAAGTCATTTCAGACATTTCTTAATCTTCTTTGATTAAAAATAGAAATTTGAAATATACATGTATGTATGTCTATCATAATATGAAAACACAAGTACAAATATTCCTAAACAAAAAGTGTTAATACTACTCTGACTTATTTGAATTTGCCATACATGTACAGTGTACTTTCTCAAATTAATTAAAACTAGTATATGTACCTATCTCAAATTGTAGAGAAAAATTGCTGACTGAAAGAATATAAAAATTACAAGTAGATATTTTAACAGCCTACAACACATCAATATACATGTACATGCACACATGTATTTACTTACAATTACCTTTGATGTCAAACATTTCATTACTTGGCTCCTCATGGTAAGGAATATTAAAAGGAAACACAGATTCCATCTGAAATTTTAAACAGTATAAAATTTGTATCAACTCTTATAAAAAGAACCCATTACCATTCTTGTAGAAACAAAAACTTAATATGAAAGGATGCTTGACAACATTTTGAGAGAAAACAAGAGATATACAGTGTAGTTTATTTGTAGATCTGTACTCACTCTCACCTCTGGATCTCTGTTGCGACAAACAGAACACATGTAGTCCACCTGTTCTTCATTCTTAACCCTCTCCAACATCACATTGTCAATGTAGTCATCACATTCAGCATGAACATGCCTTAAAACGTAAGGGATAATTTTAACACCAAAAATTTCAGGCCGTAAACATAACTTAACAAACACCTAAATAAATGTCTGAAGATATCAAGGTTCTGACAGCCAAGAAGCCTTATTGAGCCAAACACTTCAACTTCTGGCCAAAATTTTTGGGAAACATATATTCCAATTATAAAAGATCTGTTTCAGTTATGTGGATGTTTCATTAATCTAGATGATTGTCTTAAGAACACAAACATCTGGATTAACGAGACTCAACTTTAAATGTAATTTGGCAATATTCAAAATTGCATCATACTAATTTGAAATTTAATGAATATTTACAATGCACCTACTATATTTGTTACCTACATATTGTTAAATGCAAATAACATGTTGATGTGCACAATTCAATAAAAATTCTACAGCTGATTTTATTTTGCTAAACTTTATCTCAACAAACTTTTTGCAGGTGTTGCACTGTATCATGGCCTTCTGTGTAAACTGTCGGTAAGCCTTGCCACACAATGGACAGGACAGGCCCTTGTTTCTCTGCTGATAACAACTGTCACACACAGAGTAGTTCAAATGCCATCGTGAACTCGGTCCACTTCCTGGGGTTCGTGCACCACAGTCCCCACACACTCTACAGTTCTGCAAAACAAAGAACAAACTTACATGTATCAAAGTTTGGGGAAATTTTTCAATCAGATTTTCATCAATTTTGTACAATCACAGTTTTGACAATGTCTATGTAGATTGTCAACCTTGATTGTGTGCTTATGTACTGTACCTTGCACTTCCATCCATTCTTTGGTATGGCTGTCATGACAGGCTTCAGACAGAATGTGTGGTATCCCTTGTCACAGGTGTCACACACCAGCATCTTACTGTCCTCACCTGGTTGTCTGTCACAGCAGAAAATTGATTATTTTTAAACAATTAAGTGATTCACTACCTCATTTACAATATACATGTATCTGAGCATTCAACACTGTATCATGAGCAATACAGATTGTAAACATCAAGCAAGATCCATGTCAAAGAATTGGATCTTCAGTCAATTTTCAAGTAATTTATGCCTTTTTAATACATTATATCTGTTACGCCTGCATTTTCAATTCTAGGTTCATTTCCATTGAAAACTTCAAATTCTAACAAGAAAGGTTGATTTCCATTACAAGTTTAAAGCTGGATATCAGTTACCTCCCCTTTTCTTACCTGCACATTTGGCACACCTTACAGTCTGGGCATTGCCAGCCTGCTCTGACCTCAGGAGATAGAGCCACTGATGGATGGAGACAGCCACCATGATAATGATGTCCACAGGAAGTACAGAACAGCTGTTTATTGATCTTGTCAGCTTGGCAACACAAAACACAGTATGCTTCTTCACCAGCTGAAATCAAATGCAAACTGGAATATCAACAGCACATAAATTCTAAACTGAATCTAATATCCTTCATCAAAATTGTGCAACAAAGTATACACTTTTAAGTAATTCTCAATTGTTTTTAAAATTCAAATATCACTGTATCTACAAGTACATTAGCTCCCATTAGAGGAATGTTGATTTATGATTTTAATATTCTTTTGAAAATACTGTTCAAAAACACTGAGGTTGAAATCTTGCACATACCAATAGCCTCAGCTTGATCTGAATGATCAGGGCATAGAATGGCCAGTTTCTTCTTGTCCTATAATACAGAAACAGATGGTCATCACCTTATTTATATATCAACATCAAATACTGAATAAATAATTGTTCCAATATATAAAGCATAATGCGTGTCTGTCTGTGAGATGTTACCTGGAAACATGCACCAGCGGCAGCACAAGGGTAATGGTACTTCTTTGTACACTTGGGATAGACACAGTTGATAGTGGCTCCATATCGCCTACAATAACTGCATTTCTACAACAGGAAAATAATCATGTTTTATTTCTTCCTTCATTATTTTTTTCCCCCTAGTTTTTCTTAAGGATAAACCAATTTTTTTCTCCTGTAATGAAATCACTGCTCAACGGTATCAAGACATATTTTACTAGAAGTTTTGTGACATGGTTGTAAAATCTTAGTATACCTGAGAAAGCCCATTGAAGACAGCCTTGTCAACAAACTTGAGAGTTCCATCAACGGTAGAACTGACTCCATCTGACCAGGCAGCACAGAGATGATGTGCCCACACATGACCTAATTAACAAACAAACCCAAAAAAAGAAGACATTAGCAATCTCAAGGTTATATCTCTTTCATTTTCTCTCTCTCTTAATAATTTGCCCAGAAACTTGCAACTGTGCAAGTAATTTCAACACTCCCTCTCAAAAAGAAAGGAAAACAGGTTTCACTATTAAAAAAATTTTAATTTACAGTAGCCCTTCCTGTAAATAGAGTATCACTGGTAAAAACCATAGATGGCTACAATACCGGAGACACAATCAGCATCTCCAAATAAACAATTCATCTTATCTAACTCAAAATCAAAGTAGAGATGAAAATAAAAAATACAAATCTTATTTCATGTGACAGCTGCCAGATAAAAAATTTCCGCAGGAAACTTACCTGTTGATTCAAACACATGCATTGCTTCTATTTCCTCTGGGAATCCTAACACTGTAAGTTCATCCCCCAAAAGCATGCAAGGGTCATCCTCATTTCCAGTTCTTCTTGGTGAGTGACTCTTCTCTCTCTCCCTTTCACTAGAGGAACATGCACACATATTCAATTACACACATAATTACAAGACTGTATAATGTTCATAAAAGTGTTAGATATTTTATCCTACAGTGTGACAAACAAACTTAAATCAATATTTTACATAGCAGATTATTTTCTCTTTTCTGTGTTTATTCACATTCTTGAGAGAACTGTAACAGTTCATCCCTACCTCACTTCTTAAATAGGTCTTCCATTCATCCCTACCTCACTTCCTAAATAGGTCTTCCATTCATCCCTACCTCACTCCTTTAATATCCCTACTCCACTCTTTTAATAGACTCTCTTCATACCTACCTCATTCCTTTAATAGGTCCTCTGTTCCTCCTCCAGGTCAAAGGTTTGGAAGTGCCCTCCTTCTCTTGTGATCTCTCATCAAAATCAGCAGGTTTCTTGTCATTTTTTGCGAGAGTCTTTCGGAAGTTAAAGCCTTGAGTGGGCTCAAATCGAAAGATTTCCCCCTGACCCAGCAAGCTTCTTTCTCCACAGTTACACAGACCGCAGACACGAACTGGCCTGTTTAGAAAAATATGCATATCTTCAAAGGCTGTACTTTCTACCGATAGCTCTTTTGTGTTATAATTCAATGAACTGACTTAAAAACTCACACAAAGTTATTAGTATAGTTGCTCTTTTCACCTCTAAGAACTTCTTTGATTACAATTATACAGAACCATAATTGCATATATATAAATGAATACTTACAGTTGTGAGTCTAAACTAGCTTCATCCATGTTTTCAGACATCACTGTAGATACTTAAGGAAAAAAGAAGGAAGTGATAATATTTTCCTATTAACCTTTTAAACAAATTCTGTATCAAACAAAAAAAAATTAAATGGTGAGTCACAGTGCGTATTATTTCCTTGTCTTATTCTGTTTTTAAATGAAATATGATAGAATGCAGCATGTGAAAGGATTTGACTTGTAATATTACATTACAGGCCTAAATTTAAAACTTATATATTGTTTTGTTTTTAATATCTAATTTAAAGACTTCATTGAATTAATTCCATGTAACTTCTCAAACTTGAGTTTATAAATCTTTCTGTTATATGAAAAGATTTTACACACGTCACAGTATTATTGCACTGGTAATAAATACTTTCAAGTTTGTTTGTTTTTTTTTATTCACACAGATAATATGTCAATTTAGCAGTGATGCAAAGAATCTACAATTAAAATCAATATCCCATCCCTTTTTTTTCTCCTCTTGACTTACCATCTTCATCCATTTCATACTGGGTCGTTTCTTCCCCTGTGTCCATAGCGAGGGGAATCATAGGAACCTCTGCCTGAGACAGTGAACTCTGACTCCCAGAGTCCATTTGATCAAAAGGTGGAAATTTCCTGCTGATGCCTGCACTGTTGTGTAAAATCCTCTGAGCTTTTGTAACAATTGATTTGGCTAAAGGTTTGCTTCTAAAAAGCAAGGTGAAAAATTATACTTCATAGTATATCTTGTAAAATTTCTTGACATTTGGCTATTTTATCCTCTTTTCTGAATTTCTTTTACAGTCATAAAGTTGGGAATGCAGAATACAGAGAATTGCAATTGTTTTTTATGTAATCATTACTACTTACGATGATGACCTCCTCCTTGGTGCAGGTTCCTGACCATCTTTTCTTGGCCTTCCAGGTCCTCGCTTGATGTTTTGAGACAAAGACAAATTCTTGCTTTGTTGAAAGAAGTTTGGATTTGCCTGAGGAAGTGAAACAACAGGCAGAATATCTCCAGGGGCAACGGCCAGCAATGACTCGGAGAGACTAGACTCGGGGAAAGAGGAACCCAAATACCCCTCTGGAGGTGTTAAATCCTCCTGGTGAAGCAGATCAGGTGGAGGATCAGTGTCAGGGAAGATATTTTGGGGATCCTCTGGAAGTTCCGTGGGAAAGTCTGTGAACTCTCCCTGCTCTTCTAAACTTGTTAGTAAGGGGGCTGGCGAATTGGAGTCCACATAAGAATAATCTTTAATCTCAATACCCCCTTCCTCTTCAGTTTTCTCATAAGCAGCACTGGTAATATCAGGCGGGCCACTTGAGTCGCTCAACTCTGCTGCCTCATATGTTGTAAGTGTCAGAAAGTCACCTTCTTTCTTGATGGCCTTCGTGGGAAGGTTGGTATCCTCCTCTGGGTTAAGGTCAGGAGGATCACTGGTATAGGGGTCATCTAATGAGTAGGTGTCAGTTTGTGTGATATCTGGAGGGACACTCGTAGATGACTGACTGTTGTCAGAGTTTATATCTGCTGCTACAGACGACTCAATGATGTCAGCTGACAACTGAGTCTCTGCTTCTTCGACTGTGTTCTCCAACTTTACTGCGTCAGGTCCTACAAATAATATGCTACAACCTTATGGCCATTTCCTCATCTCTGACCCAAGTACTAGAATTCTAGTTCACAGTAGCAAGACCAAAAATGGGGAAAATAAATGCCTTTATTCCGTCATCAGGAAGAGGATAAGACTTCTCCCTAGACTCACTTAACATGTAAATCAAGCTGAAATTCACAATGATTAAAGACACCACAGACCTAATAAAAACATTCCAAGTGTAAAGTATGGATCAATATAATAATCTTTTAGTACTAAAATCTTACGATATTCATGAAATTTACTTAACTAGATGTGTCAGGGTGAGGATGACTCGAATGCCCCCCTCTGACATGCCAGAGTGTGAAAATAACAATGGGTGGAAATGGCACAAAAAGAAACTGGAATAATTAAGTTGTCTATACCACAACATATTTAAGCTGCATGAAATGGTGATTACTTTAATACAAGCAAAGTAATAAAAAGATCCAAATACAAAGAATAATTAGAAACTTTTAGGGCCATAACTTTTGTAAAAATGAGTCAATAATACAAAACTCATATTTGATCTGTAAATCATCGATAAAAGAAGCAAATCAAAGATTATTATCAAGCATTGCAAAAACATTGATTAGGAATTTTAAAAGTCCAAGCACAATAACTTTCAGCAAAAAATAGGTCAAGCATCATGGTACTTGACCTTGATTGGTAAGTCATCATAATCAATAGACATACCAAAACCAGCACAGAAAAAGTAGTCCTGAAAGCAGTGAATTAGTGGAAATTTTCAGGATCTAAGGGCCATAACTTTCATAAAAATAGGTCAAACATGAAACTGATCTGTAAGTCATCAACATCAAGAGAGACATACCAAAAATTAACTCATCATCAACAAGCATAGCAAAATAAATCTGGAAAACAATGATTATTTAGAAATTTTCAAAGTCTATAAGTTTATTACTTTCATAAATATGGGTCAATTAAAACAAAACTTGAACTTGATCTTTAAGTCATCAGTATCAAATGACATACTAAAAATAAACTTATCACCTGCAAACATAAGTAAAAAAGTCTGAAAAGATAAATTCGACACAATGACAATGATGGAATGACAGAATGACGGACAAAAAGGGGTAACACTATATGCCCCGGCCATTTTATGGTGGGGGCATTAAAATTTTCAGTTTAAAATTAAAAAAAAACAAAAAACAAAAAAACAAGGGCAAAAGATCCTACTGAGTTTTATTCCTGATCTAAAGTTTATCAGGCAGATATTTATTCACTGGCCTTCTTGTATTAGTGATGACAATAAACAGAATAAATAACATAAAATTGACTTTTGTTGATATTGAAGTCTGTATTAATATATATCACATGATAAAATTAATGACCACATAACAAACAATGGTTAAAAAAATAAATAATAAGTAAATAAATGAAACTTTCATGCACATAATTTAATACAAATAACAAAAATCACACAAAGCTTAGACCTATGCCAAGTTAAGGTCAGTAGTATAATACATGGTTCATGCAAGTTTTTTCAAACTTTATGTATCCTTTTGAACATCTATTTAAAATGAAAACTACAATCTCATATTACTGTTAAAACACTGTAGCTTTGATCTTTTTCAGCATGCTGGATCTGTACTCACATTTTAAACAGACACTGAAACACAACTATCAGTAGTTATATTTACCTACACAAAAGTTAACAGCATTACCACCCCTTCCAAGGACACTAACACGCCACTAGTATTTATGCTTATAAAGCATTACAAATTCACCATCATATTACTGTGAGTGAAATATTCTGTGTTAAAATGTTACATATGCATGTATAAGACATAGTAATACACATATATATTGATGACAATTTAAATAAAGATACATAAAATGAGCCCACAGATATGTAATCATTAGAAGTCATGTGAAAGACAAAACAGAGTGCCATGAGTCTGATGTTTCTATAAATAGTTTTTCTATGATTAATTTTCCTACAAGTTATCCCCCTGGCTGTCATCTTGAAAGTCAAGCTTGTGAATTTTCCTCTTTGAGCAACCAATTTTTTAAACATGTACGTCAGAAATAAAAGGAAAAAAAATCTTCACAATATTGAAATTAAAGTTGGTAAAAATAACCAAGGAAATACTTGTATTTCCCAGGATAGTGGGAAATGCTGGTAATTCCCCGGAATTTCTGGTATTTCCAGGGAAATACTTAAAAGTAATAATTCCTGCATTGGAGGAATTGTTGCTAGTTGGAGAATAAATACCTCTTTGGTCTTGAGATTTTATTTGGAAATAAAAGCCGAGCCCCAGGTGGAAGTTCTTATTTCACAACAAAATCTTGAGTCTGAGGGGTATATTTTTCAACAATTCCAATGACAAGTGAATTATTTCTTTTATGTTATGGTGATTTTTTAAACTTTTTAAACTATACAGAGAAACGGAAATGCTAACAGAAGTGTCTTATGATGTCACAAATGAATGCCACGTACTACTTGTTCATTTGCATTTCACACATTAGAAAAAGTTTAATGTAATTCAAAACCCTAGTTAACCTTTTTCCCACCCAATCACCAAAAGATGCCTTGATCCTTTTCCTATTAAGAGCAATCAAGTAAGATGAGTAAACTGATTTTAATTTACTGATAATTTGTTGATGAATGTTTGCAATTTATTGGAGAATAATGCCACAGCATTTCTTTGATCTTTGAGATAACCGTAGTAGAATGGGAAATAAAGTACAGCTACGTTTCATAATTTTAATCATGGCTGTTGGGGTATACACACATACATAGCATACCTTACTAGAAGTAGATGTAAAAGTCTAATCATCTTCCAAATAACCACAACACAGTTTACTAAAAGACTTGTGTCATTTGTCTTAATACTTGAGTCAGGTGTGCATACAGATTCTAAAACTGAAACCCAAAATTCCAATTTTGTTAACTAAAGATGGATCCAAGAAAATTGTTAAATGTAGAGTATGGTGTAAATGTCACACCTTTAGTTTTTCAGCCCTACTCAAGGTAAATATCTCTCAAAACAGGAGCACACAACTATCAAGAGTCAATTTGTTATAACAATGTTTGATCGTAATATATACAGTGTTTACAGGATTAAAACAAGTTTATTTTGTTCTTAGCTTAATTCATTACCTGTTAAATCCTACTAGTTTGAAAAGAAACTCTCATTAGAAAATTTCACATTTGTTTATCAGATACACAGGGAAATGTGTTTTCTTATAAAATGCTAAAAGGGATAAAGAGAATCTGGAGTGATGTTATATGTACGTAGTGCTGACACTATGAACAAGTTTGAATTAAAGTTTGAGATGTGAAAAAAAAATATCAAAAAAAAAAAACCAAAAAAAAATTCACTTCATATTTCCCAGTATTGAGAAAATTTGTACAATGTAGTGTTTTCCCTAAGAACTGGCCAACAGCCAAATTGACTAATTCAATTGATAAAAATGCTGCTGAGAAATCAAAAATTTTAAAAATAATTGTTGTAATGTCTACAAAGATTTTTTTCATAAACCTCACCCCTAGTCTTTTACAATTGATATAAATAATGACCCTTTACTTTGAAATAAAGGGAAAATCCTGCAATGTACAATGTAGTATATACCAGCAGGATGGGAAACACTGGTAATTACCACTGGTAACTACCATCACTTGTATTTCCCTACCAATCCTGACTAAAAGAATTAAAGGAGGCTTTCTCAAAATGCATATTTGTCAGAAAAAGAGTTTTACCTATACCTCAATGCCCTGTTTAACAATTTTAAATTGGTTGAAACTCGACATGTTGACATCCAGTATGACGGCCAATGGGAAATAACTCTTGCTCAACTAAAATTGAAAGCATATACCCTGGAAAATATACTTTCCCACAAAATTACAAGTTGATTTTCTGTATGTCTCTTTCTCTCTACATCTACTTTCTCTTAATTTCACAGAAAAAATAAAACTGCTTGCATAACATGACAAGTCTATGCTGGCACCAAAGAAAGATTATCACTTATTACTTTCAAAGAGCCAAATGTTGAGAACTTCTGAATTACACAGTGAGCATATAAAATGTATCTTTACCTAAAATCATAAAGTGCTTGTTATTAATGCCGAGTGTGTTAAGACAGTGTATAAGATGTTAAATGAAGTTGTTCATGTCATTGGTAAAGTTGACAAGTTCACACTACAGACGGATGATGCATTTTTGACACCTCTAATCAAATGATCACTATTGCATGATTCCAAAAAAGCAGGTTTGTTCCATCACCGTTTCCTTACATTCCAGTCAATAAACAGGGTGGATCCAGGGCAAACAAAGTTCAAGAAACTGTACTCAGAGATGTTCAAAACCACTAAACTACTTATGAACAATTTCTTTAAAAAAATATGCTTACAAATTTCGGTGCTTTTTTGTATGCTGGAACATGTCCAATCATTACAAAAGCAACTGATAGGTCCCAACTGATATGTTTATATAAATCCTGTAGAGATTGAAATACAACATTAATAAAATTTGGTTTTGGAACTTTATAAATATATGATATATTACTATGTTATCTTAAAAAGGTTAGTTCTCTAACAGACTCTTCAAAAATAATGCAACTACTTTGAACATCTCATTACATACAACTTTTTGAAATGCCAACATTATTAATCACATACAATAAAATGTGGTTATGTCAAACTATAAATTGACATAGTTTGGGGTACGTTCTTTATCAATCATGTTTGGATATGATGCACAAACATTTAGGAATGATCATCAACTTTTTCTTAGATGCAAGGTTCTCAAAATAATTTCAAAATGACTTCTTTATTGAGATTGATTTTCTAATGATGCATGCAGAATTTATCAAATCTATAAATGGTCCTGTTATCTGCAGCCAGCAGAATTCAATGAAAATTTACTGGCTTTCTTTATTTTGAGAACCAATTCAGGGTGTATGTAACAAAACAATGTGTGGAAACAATGTTCTCCTTTTTACTAGAACATTACAAACTGTGCTGACTCTTAAATTGCTTAAAATTAGAACTAAAGAAATAATTATATTTTTTTGGTGAATTGAACAATGTTAAATAATTGTACCATAAAGCATGCACTAAAACTTGAAAGAAAAGAATTGGACTGCTTAGCAAGATCAAATGACCTTTTTTAAGTGTTTATAACCAAATTCAACAATTAAACATAATCAAATGATGTTTTATGAAGAAAACACATGCTAATATAAACTTGTGATTGATTTAGATTTTACTATTATATTAATTTTCAAAATTTGATTAAGAATAAAGGATTAAGGAATTCAACAGAACAGTGCAAATTATATCTAGAAATACCTAGAAATACCATTATTTATTTTGCATGTTGCATAATGGTGAAAAGTTAAGTACTTCAATGTGCATGTACCAACAGGCTATAAATCATGTTTCAGATTAAAATGTCATGAAAAATGAATTGTATTTGGTAAGTATAAATTTTACAATCTACAAAGTAATCAACTGTCAGTAAGCAGGTCCAGCACAATCTCTTGTTAAAGCTATATAGCTTGAAATAGCTGTATAGCTTTATTAAGCTATTCAAAATAGCTTGATAAAGCTATTTATATGCAGGTTTTCACAAAAATGTTATTTGTACAAAATACACAAAAAGTCGCAAGTATTTGACTATTCATATATGTAATATGGATTATCAAATCAACAACCCAAATCAAAGATAGTTCTAACATTGCAGCATTTGAATACTTTTAAGAAAAAGATGAATTTCCATTGTTTGGGTAACTGTACACTACCTTGTGTGCTTTGAGGCATAGATAAGTATGATTGCCTCTCATTGTACATGTACTGAATTATTACCAATCAATTATCATCTTGTTGACCATAATTGGCCTCCTTTCAATTTCATTGAAGAAATAACTGTATCAATTGCTTTATATAGCCCCAAAACTTTTAGAACTTTGAGTACAAAATCTCTTAAGGAGACGCAATTTGATGAGTGATTTTTACATGCATTATTTTCATAAGAATTCAAGGTTGAATATCATCACTGCACCAAGGTGCAACTTTTTATGCATACTTGGAAAATAACACATTTGAGAAAAAAGTGTAATAAAATAGCTAAATCAAACTATTCTAAATAGCTTAATAAAGCTATATAGCTAAATCAAACTATATAGCTTAATCAAGAGATTGTGCCGGACCTGGTAAGTACAAGAACCATAACTCATGCGGGATTTAAACCTGGATCCACCCATATGGAGACTAGCATACGAGGCCAAGACTACAATGCAAGTGAAGAACAAACTGAAAATGCCAACTGATACCAACCTGACATGGAGAGTAGTAGCAAATGCTGACGTTTAAGAAGAAAGAGATGCCAACAGGCAGCGGCCTAGCCGAAATAAAATCCTAGTGTGGCGAGGAATGGGAACCCTGTCACCTCCATAAAGTCTGCTTCAAATCGAGGATATAAGAATCTTCAAGTAACAGAAAATATAAAAACAGAATTCTATATTACACTCAAGCAGGAAAAAAAATTAAAATAAAAAAAACAAACATTTCAAATAAAAGATGAATAAAGCAAAACAAAAACAATACGTTGGTGAACATATTTTGAGGATCCATCGTGAGTTAATATTGTCTGTTATTCGGATACGGTGGCACTGTTCTGATAGAATATAATGCATAACTGCACCTGAAACTTGAAAGCTATTTTGATATATCATAAATGATCTAATAAATGAAAAGCGGAAAACAAAGCCATGTTGCAATTAAAAAAAAGTTACGAAGCTCCACCTATTCTACTGAACAAGCTGTGCATATACTTACAAAATCTTTAAAGAAGATTACATATCACAGATACTCTTTACATTTAGGTGCGTTTTAACGCACTTCAATTTACTCAATTCTCATCGACAGAACAACTAGGCATTGGACGCCATCTTGAATTATCAAGTTTGAAGAAACTGTAGTCCCTTGTGCCTTTTCACCAACATTTTGAAAATGTCATTACATTACATTTACAGGTGAATTAAAACTTATTTATAATCATATAATTGAAAATCTACGAAAAATCTTTCGTATCAAAATGAAATATTAGTGTTTTTATGCTTTATATATTCATCCGCGCTGCTAAACTAGTTCTTCTACACTGGTTCTTAGCAATGAGAACGCGGCTAAATGGCTTAATGTAAGTACTGGACCAGATAAAACAACAAGGAGAGGTGGGGTGGAGTGAGATAAATCTATGCAGTAAAGTAACAAAATGAAAGACTTCGGAGTCAAGTTGGAAAGCGGCTTGACTATAATACACCAGAAGCCCCTTCCCCTCTTTTTCAAGTAATTGTTCCGTTTCTTTTTTTTTTTTGGCTTGTCGAAAAATTCTTCTAAGTGAAATTATGAAGATATACCGAACAGTAATCAAGCTAAAAAAACCGTTAAAACAATTCAAATTTGGAGCAAAGCTCATCACAAGAAACTTCAAAACCGGCGTCATTATCATGAAAAATGAGAATTTCTCCGCGCCCAACTGAACTCGATACTTGCAAATCGAATTAAATGTCAAACTCACAACTTATCAATTGCACAATGCTTCTAGTTCTCACGAATATCGCGTAAAAGAAAATATCAATTCACATTTTCATATAGGTCTCACAGATTTCAATACGCACGAAATCCAAACAAACCTCGAAAGTTTGATAAAATGTTTTCACCAGACACTTTTTATATTACAAAGGAACAATATTGGTAAGTACTAGAAGCATTGTTCTGTTGATAAGATATGAGTTAGATGTTTAACTCGGTGTACATATATCGAAAATCGACCCGAGAATGCCGCCTCCGGCTGGAGACGGCGAATTCCCACATTTCATAATGGCGCCGGTTCCGACGTTTTCCTGACACAACAAATATCGAAATCGTAAAAAAAAAAAACCGCCTGGAAAAAGTAAGATATTTCGGAGTAAGCTCATCATCTCATCACATCAGAAGTGGGATCAGGTGCCACAGAGAAGTAAGCATACCCTGTCGACCAGTGTGAGAATAAACTCCATGTGAAGGTGATCTATTGCTACATAAATAAGGGAAGTTGACGATAGAAAAGTTGAGTCGGATTTTTTTTTTCGGATTGAGTCATCTTTTCCCAGGAAAAATTCCTGGATCCGCTCTTGATGAAGTTTTTATTCTTCTAGTATTTTTCCTATGCTGTCATAAGTTTTGTTGATGTTTTCTCTGTGTTTAGAGCAGACTTATTGTTATATGATATCTGTCTCCAGTTTCATACACAGTTGGGGATTCAGATATTTCTGAACCGAGGGGGGGGGGCGCTGTTTTTTTGACACCCCCCCAAAAACCACTTTAATGGAGGGAGGTCAATTCTCATGGACAAACTGTTTTCCTTCAGATATAGATTTAACTCTTCTTTCTTACTAGAAAACTGTTCACGGTAGCACAGTCAGTAGAGCACTCGCTCCGTGATCGAGAGGTCGTGAGTTCGAATCTCGACCGCGACTGACCTAAGTCGATAAAAAATGGGTAGCAACTGTTCTTTCGCCATGCGCTCGCCACTTAATTTGAAGTGAAAGTTGCGGGTCCCTCGGATGAGACCGTAAAAACCGAGGCCCCGTGTCGCAGTAGGTGCTGGCACGATAAAGATTCCTCACTGCTCAATGGCCCTCAGTGCCGAGTAAAGGCCAAAATTTGAAGCCCTTCACTGGTATATGGTGATGTCTCTATATGAGTGAAAAATTCTCGAATAGGACGTAAAACAACATACAATCAATCAATCAATCTTACCAGAGAATCTTTATTTCCTAGGTGTAAAGTTATTTTATTTGGAAATTTCCGTTGCGGGAGTGGAAACAAGTCCTTCGGATGAGACCATATAAACCGAGGTACCTCGTCGCAGTTGGTGCTGGCACGAAAAAGATACCTCTTTGCTCAATGACCCTAAGTGCCGAGGATAGGTCTAAATTTGCAGCCCTCCACCTGCAAGTGTTGGCTTCTCCATATGAGTGAAAAATTCTCGATAGGGACGTTAAACAACAAACAAATATTTGGAATTTTTGCTCCATAAATCATATCATTAGGGACCCAGAACCCATCCCCAACCCCATACCCCAGGAAAACAACACACGTTTACCTTGTTGATTTTTATGTCGTCTTACACTACAAAAGAATCACGAGTCACCAGAAAGGAAAACAAATATTGGTTTTTAAGTCAAAAGGACATCCATTTGAATACGACATTTTTTTTTTGCCTCAGATAAGTGGTGTTGCATTTAAAATATTAACTTTCCGGCAGAAAATTACACGTTTAAGAAGTGTGAAATTCTTGTTTTAACGGAATAATTGATACTGTGAAATAATTATTTGGGAATATCCTGTTTTCTCTAGTCTGGTCCAACAACATCACTTCGTGGTTAGAAAGGGATTGGGGATTTAGTTGAATATATAACTGTCAAAGTTAAACATTTTTACCACTTTTTTTATGTATCATTGACATACATCTCCAGCGTTCGAGGCAGTATATTATTTAGTCTACTTTTCCCCAGCTTTCATCCTATATTTACGTCAGATTATTCCAAATATTCTCATGTATAACATATGTCATTTGTATGTTTCTGTATATGTAAAATAAATCATTTAACCATACAATGTTACCAGTGGACTAAACTGAGAGTATATACAAGTTGAGCAAACAAAATTTACACAAAAAGATAAATAAATAAATAAAATAAAATAAAAAAATTAAAAAAAATTAAAAAATAGGGGGTTGGTTGGTTGGTTGGTTCTGCCTTGGATAAAGAGCTGAATCTGGTTCTGCTGAACGCACTCTCAATAAAATTAATGATTATGGTTTATGTAACATGTATAACAACGAATGATACCCTTTAAGAAGTGTACATGTGTTTATGTCTGCATTTTAGAAAATTTTAGTGGTGAATGTTTTGCTTAATGTATCCATAAGATACGCTTTAAATATAATATTTTCTCTCAAAACGAAATAAAGTGATCAATCTTATAGATCTAGGAAACAAAGCGAATCGTGAACAGGGCAGGAACACGGACCCCAAGAAACATCAGAGGTGGGATCAGGCTTCATTCCCTGTCACACCGGTGACGGGTCACGCCCGCCGTGAGCCCTACGTATTGATTAGGTATGCGGAGTACTCTGTGATCAAACATTATAAAAAAGTGGCATACCAATTGGCATGGAACATATCAGTCAAAGTATGACCCAAGAATAAATTGTATTTAACAAACAAGTATATCATAACGACGGTAGAATTTGAGAAAAGATGACTTTAAAGACCTTCTATACACTGATAAAAATGTTTTTCGGGCTTTGAGAGAATTGCAAGGCGTAAAGGAGGTATCAAAATTTTCTAGTTTAGTTTTACGAGGGTCATTCATTAAGTAATGAAAAAGGTTATAAAGAAAAAAAAATAAAGCACAGGGAGCAGTTTCTTAAATTTTTAATCCCTTAAACTATTGCATGAAATATGGAGATAACGAACAGTATTCAAGCTCAAAGTCCATTAAAACAAGACAAATCGGAAGCAGAGCAAACACGGACCTCCAAAAACAGACAGAGGTGGGATCAGGTGCAATGGAGGAGTGAGTATCCCCTGCCGACTACACCCGCCGTGTGCTCCTTGTCATGATCGGGAAATAACGGAAAAAATCCGTCGACGATTCAGTGTGTAAATAATGGCCTAACAATTAGTATGAAAAATGTCAGTCAGCATATGACTTAATGATAGATTGTATTTGCTGACAAGGTCATTGTATCGACCATAGAACTTGCGAAATGATGCCTTTAAACGAGACTGTTGATATTCTTGTTTCATCAACTTGTTTGTCAATAACTTACCTCGTTTTAGAAATTGTTCATACGTAGAGCATGCTCATGCGTATCGAATCAACTGAGAGATATACACCTCATATGCAGGTGATAAGGGTATAATGCTGCATAAGTAAGGGGAGTTGACGATTGAAAAGTTAAAGTCATCACGTTTATCATAAAGCTTGGTTGTTAGATTACCATTAACGTCTTTTTCTAGTAAAATATCCAAATATGAAACAGATGTGTCAGACTCTGTGGTATCTTTTATTTCAAGCTCACTGGGATATATCGTGTCGACAAATGAATGGAAATAACTATTGTTAATTGATAATACTTTGTCGATATATTTAAATGTCGAGTTGAAGGCAACAGCAAGAAATTTCTTTTTCTCATGTATAAGATTTTGAATTAATTCTACTTCATATGAATACAAAAATAGGTCTGCTAACAACGGGCGCAATTGGTACTCATGGGAATTCCAAAAGATTGTTGGAAGACCTGGTCTCCAAAAAACCACATAGATATTGTCAATCAGAAATTTAAGCATCTTTTTAATATCAACTTCAGAGTACTTGTGTGTACAATCAGAATGTTTTTAACAAAATAATTTTGCAAATGACCAATGACAAGGTGAGTAAATTTACGAGTTCCATTTTTATTGAAAAAGCAGCTGTCAATGATGTCAAAAAGCCTGGACTTTAATTTATCGTGGGGAATGGTTGTATACAGAGTTGAAAAGTCATAAGTTTTTATGTCATTTATTTTAGTAAAATTTTGTGATTTCAAATTTTCCAAAAGTTCCTTGGAATTTTTAAGTATCTACATCTGATTTACACCACTTGTCGAATATATTGTTGCACAGTACTCCTGAAGTTTCTCCTTCACTGCTGTTAATATTTTTTTGAGGAGTAAAGAAAGAGACTTGGTAGAACATTTACTGAAACCCGCTATGTATCTTTGTTTGTAAGGATTTTTATGAAGTTTCGGAATCCAGTATAAATATGGTAATTCAAATTCATTTTGGTTATTGGGAATATTAAAAGTATTCAAAACTGACATATGATTTTGAAGAATTTCCTCCTTAGAAAGGGAGCTATGGAT